TCGGGATAGACTCGTCTTACGGCCGGCTTAGGCCACCTAATCCGACCAATCAATCCCTAGAGCTGATTTCAGCGCCCCACTTCGCCCAGCACTTAATACCCCCTCCAGCAGGTCAGTAAGTACCTAGGTACCTACAGGGTAACGTCCATTAGTGTGTGTTGGAGACGTCTGTTTCGGTGCTAGGTACTTTCGGACGGCACATTCCTTCCACGTATAAGTAGCCGTGATTTACAGGTACTGTCTACTCGATACATCAGGCCGCCGCGACTGCATCGAGATGCAAATAAGCGGATACTTACATACCCACAGATAGATTATAAATACGACGCAGCACGATCTCGTACTAGAGATTACTACCTGGACGCTATCCGCTTTGCAAACGAATCCCATGACCACATTCACCGACGACGGAGCGTGATATGTAGGCATATATAAATACCCCATCGGCGACGGATCTCAGTGCAACCAGAGAAACCTCTACACCGCGATTACCACCATCCCCGGACTCGTTGATAACGCCTGCGACAGGCTCGATTTCGCGAACACGGGCCGATCAAGCTGCAAGTTTAGCCCTTCGTCTTCCATCGTATCTTCGCCGCCAATTGCCCACCGACAAACGAAGTATCAAATTACTAAACAGCAGGTGCTCAGTTCCGCCATTAGAATTACGAGCCGCCTAGATAGCTCCCGGAAAGAGTGACATTTCAGATCGGAGTCCACGAATGGAGGCAATATGGGTACTCGCCCCGTATCCTCGTCCCATGGTATCCAGCCGCTGGTACGAATGACTCCAGGCGGCGCCAACAATCGGTAGAGGCCTATGCGGGGACAAGTTCACCGATCGAGGGCGGAGCTCCTAACCCCTTGGGTTTATACCAGAATCTTCCTGCATAGGTGATATCCGCGGCCCGTTTTCATTTCTGATAACTTCTGAATCAAACCGCCGTCAACGTCGCTCACCCCGTCGACTTCGCAAGACCCAGATTCTCATTTGAGCGGGCTCACCTGAAGCGCCTGACGTACATGCAAAAGTCGCTGCCTGTTTATGCGCTTCCCTGACCGAGGATCAACGAGGAGCTTCTACAGGCGTCCGCAACTCTTGGTTTCCTCGTATCGTGCGCTTCAAGCGATGGGCAAACCATCCCGTCTAGGTCTAGTAGCAGCGTATCGTCATGCCACTGTTGAAATGCCGGTGTGATCCTCGTCCGCATCACCTCACGTCGTCCCGTCCATCTCCGATACGAGGCCAGGTTAGCGGCACTGGTACTTGCATGGCTATTGGTTCCACCCGGATGGGGCAACCGCTAAACCGCGAGGCCCTTCGGGAGTAGCTTGCATCCAACGGCGAATGGGCCGAATTTTCAGCAGGCAGGAGGCGGCGTGTTCCCGAAGACGAATGGAAATCTTGCAAGAAATCATGTCTCGAAGGAAGACGTAGCGCCAACCCCTAGCCTGTCTCTAGGATATTGATGTAGCTTTGCAGGTTAGTCTTTCAGTCCAGGGCCATATGAGGTGATATATGTCCTCGATGCAGCATATTCTGCGCATCAGGCTCGGTCAACAAAAGGAGGCGATCTGCGGTGCTCGTAACCATTCTCGAGGCTTCGTCTCTCACGTTTTTAGAGAATCGATCGTATACGGCGTACACTGCGGCTATCGCGATAGCATTCACCATTATCCACGGTCTTGAATTCCTATTGCTATCTCTGGGCGTAGTATTATTGAGATCAGAGACGGAGCTCTGCGAATGGCGGGATACCCTTCTTCAACGATGTTTTGTGTTCCTTTTCACAGCATCCTGGGTGGTCGAGGTCATTAGGTGAAACATCCGCCCAGAAGTGAGCCAAAGTTTGGGACTATAGAAGAGGTTCATGCCGACACTCGTATATCTCGTCAGAGTGCCACGATCTCCCCTATTCCTAATAAGTCGTCCTAGACGTTAAGTGAGCCCACCTAGCTCCAGCAAGATATGGTGAAAAGGAGAGGTAATGCCAATGGTTATGCAATTTACCTCTTTGGGTACAGAACAACTCTCTTCTTGGCGTCCGAGTTGATGTCAGAATATTTAGCTATGGAAACGCTCAGCGCCAACTAGAAGTTGGATAAAGGGGCTGGTGAGTTTAGTTCCGTCCAAGCTTCGACTCACGCTCAACGCTGGTTAGAATATTGAAGGCCGAGACGTCAGCCACAACAGTGGCGTATTCCAATGGTGTGTTGCCTACTGCCTTATAGAGCATCAGGAACGATGTATGCGGCGACGAGGTGCGAGTTTGGATGCGGCAAGACTGAGTCGAAACACTCTGTCTGATACTGGTTCCTCTAGTTCACCATCAACCGGTATACCACCAGGGACGCCCGAAGTACCGAACGTGTTATCACCACGTATGCCTTCGTTGGCGAGCGTTCAGGGTTCACAGATGTTCGGAAAGTCGTCTTCGGTTTCTGCTCTTGCAGGGGGGAGGGAGGCAGCGGACGAAAAAAGAAAAGAAAGGGAAAGGGCCGTGTTTAGTTGGTGAGCGGATGAGGTACGATATCCGACTCAGGCCTTGCTTTGTACTGGCCCGGGGCCTTCATCGGAGACTCATCGTGGCTGGCGCAGTCAGTCCTAGGCGAGAAGCAAGTCGTGCCTTCAGAAGGGGTGTCGTGAGGAAGGCGAGAAGTATTGGCAGATACCGCCCATAGGGTGTGTGAAAGGGAACGGGCGGATGGAGATTTGAGAGAGGGGTTGGGTAGAGGTAGAAGGACTCGATTTTATGGATCATACAACCTCGACCACCGCAATTGAAGTCACCTCTTACAGACCCCGAGTAGCCATCAGGTTTCCGCGGACGTGAATGGGATCGGCCTGTTTTTTCTAGTCTAGCCCCCTCTACTTTCGCTTGCTGCTGCTATGACTCCCTAATGAGCGACCGGCCGGCGGTGACGGTAAGACCGTGATGGCGGATAAGGTGGCCGTGGTTGCAGAAGAGGAGCGGTGGATTAAGAGGAGCGGTGGATTACGAGGATGCGGGTGGACCGGAGTAGGGAGGCTGGTAGCAAGCACCGATGGCCGTCGCGGCGAAACGGGACGCGCTCAGTGCCGGAAACCGGGTGTTGCGTACTCGTTGATTATACCAGACCGGAGCTGACGCGGTCTTTTCACGCGCACGAGATAGAGGTCCGGTGCTCGCTCAAGGCACCTCTAGACGACCGAGTTGAGCAATCGCAGAGGGGGGTGTTGTATCATGGCGTATATGACTACCGCATAGACGTGTATATAGCGGTAAAGGGCGAAGGGGATGCTCCGGGCAACGTTTACCTACCCATAATCTCCCTTGCTGTGTGCGTACGTGTTTGTAGGCACATGGTCATATCCACCACCCCCTTAGTCCACATATATCCTACCCATCAACCAGCGGCGGTTAGGGGAGTCCGATATAGGTGCATGTTCATATCAAGTTACGTCACGCATCGTTTTAATTTTGCGACTACACAGTAAGCAGTTGGCGAAGCATGGCCCGTTCCATAGGTAATTCTATGCTGGAATCCTATTACCTATGTGCTCGGTGTCCAGTAATCTCGACGGCAGTTGCCGAGGCTTAGGGTTAAGATTGAGGCTACGCAGCATCGACCCCGAATAGACGGATGTGTCCTAAATCGAGCTACAACTGTATCGCTACGCTGGTTGGCAACTGTACTGCGGCTAAGGTGTACGGAAAGTAGGCTGTTAGAACCACCAGCGATGCCGCGTCCTGTCCGAAGAGCCGGAGAATTATGTCTGGGGCGCGCCGAGTGGTCGGGGATTGGTTGTATCGTAAAGCCCCTCTCGTGATAGAGCGTGTCGAGCCTTTTCCCCGGAAGAGGCGGCTGGTAGTGCTAACTGTACAGGCTTTCTGGGGCGGTGGCATTCTTTACGTATAGCGGGCAGTAGGCAAAGGGGTAGACTTATTGGCCTAGTGTAGTTAAATCTCTCAAACTCTTTACATGTGAATGTGCTGATGCCGGGCGTCAGAATTACCAGGATGGCAACACCAAAAAGCCTAGGCCTTACGCCATGTCGCCGTCTTCATACCTACCTATGCTGGCATAGAGTCGACAGGACGAAAACCTAACCTGGCCCTAAGTCACTAAGGTAGTCGTTAGAGCATGGGTGGGATGTCATACATCTTAGAAGTCGATAAGGAAAGGAAAAAAAGGAGGGGGGGGGGGAGTTCTAATATCACATGGCAAAGTATTATTGCCAATAAGATAGGTAGGCATCGATGGTGGAACCGGCTTGGCTTGGCTTGCCGTCTAGGAGTGTTTTTTTTTTCCCCTTCTTCTCATTTTCATTCCCACCTTCTCAACACCGGGCATTATCTGAGCGCGTCAGCCAGAGGACGATTTTATGTTGGGGGCATACAGACGGACAAGGGAAGGACAAGAAAGGCAACCCGGCGGCGGCTACATCTAGAGGGAGAAGGAAAGGAGAAAAGGCGAAGGCGGAAAAGTCTTCCTTCTTGATGTCACCAACGATGGCGGGGTCCATCGTCCATCTGCGTAGACTAAGCGGGCAGCACAAGCCTGGCTTATCGATAGCCACAGGTAGCGTTTGAGGTCGTCCTTGTACGTGATTTAGGCACTGCCGGCCTTCGGCATGGGATGCGGTGGAAGGAGGTACAGCGGCGGTAATAAGTCACGTAGGTACCTCATTCTGTGCTGTCGAGATGCACAGAGCATCGACGCGAGGAGGTGCTGGCTGGGTGCCGATAGCGGTGAAGTTAGCCCGCATGCACCGGCTCACCTCGCCAGATACCTGCTTCTTAGGTACAAGTGCGCGGCCGCCAGGGCCATTCGGTACGTGCCCGTCATGTCGACTGCGCAGTAGCGGAAAGTACCCGACGGCTCTGGGGCAGGTTGGTACCCAGAATTGTCTTGCCGGCTGCCGCCTGTCGTTGGCCAGTCCCGGTTTAGACTTGCGACCCACCTTGCCCTATACGGCAAAACCCTAGGCAGGTGGGAGGGAAGGGAAACCTCCATCCAGAGCACGAAACAGGAGGGGAGCTTGAGTCACTCGCTGGTGGCGGAATTTGCGTGTAGGAGGCAGGCAAAATTCAAAGCCCCCGTTGGCGTGTCCCGCCTGGCTCTGCTCTCTCCCTCCCTCTCCCTCCCTCTCCCGTGTCTACTCAAATCCCATATAACCTCGACTCGGGACTCGCCAGCCTCGATATGTGGCTGTAGCACTGCCAATCCATCGTCGAGCCTTGGAGCCTCCAAGATGCTCCGCGCGCCATGAGAATGCAACACGCCGCCTGCAAGAGGGCCTATTCGAGCTTGACGGTAAGCGAGATCGCCCTCTCCCGATCACCCCCCTTCTGCCGTCAGAAGCCGCGACGAGAAGCCATTGCACGATCTCCGAGCGAGACTCCGAGCGAGACTCCGAACCACACACTGGCGGGTCGCGCGTGGACGTGCTAGGCGTGCGGTTACTAATAACCTGCTAGAAGCGGTTGACAAATCCTCGCACCGGCATACATGGCTCGAGCTCGTCGTCGTTGCGACCCGCGCGGAGCTACCCAGTTCGCGGTGGGTACCCGGTAACCCTCGCCGTTCCGTATACCTCGATATCCGAACTGCAGAAGCATAAGAAAAGTCTCGATCGGGTAAAGGGATCCTCCCGATCCGAAAATGTTAGAACCCTGTCCTAACCTCAACCCAGGACTTCCTGGTGTCCGTCCTTGAGACCTCCGTCACGAAGCGAGATGCCAAGGCATACATGAACAAGTTCATACCGTTGCTGGAGAAGAAGGGCGCAACCGGATTCAAGGGGCGTGCAGCTCGCGAGAGCCAGGATAAGGCAAAGGCTGTCGTCGGGGAGATCGTGACTCTAGGCGCTGCCGTCGCGAAGCAAGATATCGTACAAGGGCCGAGACCGGAGGGGGATGTTGCTATCCAAGCCCCCTTGTATGTCGCCCTGGTCAAGTTTCGTGCTCCCCAAGAGGTCAACGACGCCACTTTAGATGGTGTGGGCAAGACCCTCAGCCAACTCCGGAAGCTGGGACTGATAAGTATTGTCGTCGTCGACTGTGCCGCTGCTGGAGAGAAGAATGAGGTTGCACAGCGGAACGCCGCCACCGTGCAAGCTAACCGCATCGCCATGGCCATAGATAACTACGATGCGCCGGGGGCACGGATTCTCGATCCGCAGATTTCCATCAAGAGCTCGGCCAAAGCGCACAATCTGACGTTTACTTCACACGGTCTCTTCGTCGGCAACACCAACGACCTTATGGCCGCCCTACAGGAGGAAGTTATCCCCGTTATCCCTTCGTTCGGATATACCGCCGACAACTGCGCCCTGAAGACGGTTGATGCAAACGATGCCATACTGGCGCTAACTCGTCAACTATCTGGTCTGCAATTTTTGGATCAGACTCCTCAGGACTCTCAGATGATTCCCATATCCAGATCTGCCGAAGTGTACCGCCTCATCATCCTAGATCCTCTGGGAGGAATCCCCGCAAAGAACCGAGCGACTGGAAGATACCTGTTCTTAAACCTAGAGCAAGAACTCCAAGAGGTTCGTAAAGACTTGGCAGCATCCGCGCTGTCAAGCTCGAACCCGTCGAATCCGGCGGGTTCAGACAATATACAGCACCTAGAGAACGCCGAGTTGGCCAAGGACGTCCTGTCATTGCTCCCCCCGACATCCTCCGCCGTCATCACTACGCCGCAGGAAGTGGCAAACGAGAGGGCACCAAAGGACGACAGTATCGACTGGGCTCTTGTCGGCACCAGGCGAGGACAGAACCCCCTGATACATAGTCTTTTGACGGATAAGCCTATTCAGTCCTCGTCTCTGCCTTCAGAACGTTTCAGGCCCGTCACATCCTCAACCGGTACGGCCCAGCTCGGCTCGTTGACAACTTTGGCGAAACGCGGGATGCCTTTGACTATCTTACCGGATCCTCGGGTCACCCCGTGGAGACCGCCCCAACCGGGACAGAAGGGCCTCAACTTGACTGATCCCTGCATAGATCTGCCTCGGCTAGTTAACCTAATTGAGGACTCGTTTGGCAGGAAGCTCGACGTAGAACACTTTTTAAAGAGGATACACGGAAACCTAGCTGGCGTCATTATCGCGGGAGAGTACGAGGGAGGAGCCCTGCTGACCTGGGAGAAGCCCCCGGGCTTGGACGGCTCCGAAGCCAGTAACCCGAATCGAATCGTGCCCTACCTGGATAAGTTTGCGGTGCTCCGAAAGAGCCAAGGCGCCGGCGGTGTGGCCGATATCATCTTTAATGCCATGGTCCGGGACTGCTTTCCGGATGGGGTGTGTTGGAGAAGCAGGAAGGACAACCCGGTTAACAAGTGGTATTTCGAACGTTCGCGAGGCACGTTGAAGTTTTCTGACATGAATTGGGCGATGTTTTGGACGACTCCGGGTCTAGTCGTCGACGGACAGAAGTTCCAGGACTACCAGAACGTTTGCCGCGGTATCGAGCCGTCGTGGTCAAAGAAGAAATAAACACGTTGGAGCGATAAGACGCCCCGAATACGTCAAATGAAGAGGATGATGACATGTGATGATGATGTCTTCGTAGTGTTTTGTGATAGAGGGAAACACGATGAACGTGCATCAACTGTAACTAAGAGCATCCACGGATCCGGCGCAAATCATTAGGCATGGTCACCTCTTAGAGGCAGAACATGGATGTGCGGGCTTGTCACATTAGGTAGGAAACTGTAAAACCCTACATTTCCCTGTGACGAATACCCATGCTTCCGCCGCTGATGGCACGGGCTTACGGGGTTATGTATGTGGAGGGGGCACTGTTGTTGTGATTGAAGCCCACTCTATCCGCCCTAGTATCTTGTTTCATGACTTGGTGCGGGGGGAGAATACTTTGTCATATGTACTGCGAAAGCACGCTCTTTTCTCTACTTTGATGATTTGCTCGGGCGCAATGACTTTTACGTCGAGTAGAACTCGCGGACTGGTCTTTCTCCTCGGGCAGACTCTAGGAGGGGCAACAGGGTCGCTGGCCACAGGGGGGGAAATTTTGAAATCAAATAAATGAATTAAGGGGGAGAAGGGAAAGAGAGAAGAAAAGGGGAAAAAATATTTGACTGACTGCGTCCAGGGGAGGATGGTTAGGTGTCATCGATCTCGAGGGTTGGATTGACGATACCGAGAAGTCGTTTGTAATAGTTGAATCGTGGGGCGGCTGGCATTGGCGGTCAGGATGCGAAAGCACCTAAGAGACCCCACCATTTGTGGTTGGCATTAGTCGTAGCGGAGGAGGGGGGGGGAAAGACCGGGCGTGGTTGGATTGGAGGGGTGGGGTGTGGATATAGTTACCTAGTCCTTGGACCGGATCCGGCGAGGAAGTTGATGTTCAGCGTACCCGTATGTGTAATCGATACCTACTGAGCAGGTCCCACGTGACATATCCGATAGATATTCGCACCTCGCGGCCCTATCTGGCAGCGGGGGGTCGCTACGTTTAGGTACCTAGGCAGGTGGTAGGTAGGTAATGCCGTCAGCAATATCGACGATAATACGCCATGTAGGTACAGAGTACCTACCTACCTCCTACATGCTTGTACCTGATCCATAGGAGGCACCTACCTATGTGATCACGGATGCATTTTGCTCCTGCCGCTGGCTGCGGCGCGTTTCATTCAGGGTACCTCGGGTACCTGTAGGTATTCTTCTTCCTCACCCGCGAATACGTCTGCAAGCGCGCGCAAGACGATGGTGATGAATGCATAAGGTGTAAAAGAAACACACCTACCTAGGTACGTTTTTCATTACTTACCTACCTACCTATATATACCTTACGCTGCGAAATGAGATAACCACCTATATACCTACATCTCAAGCAACACATTAAACAGGAGTCGGTTGGGTACAGTACGTCAGGTATGTACTGGGTAGGTAGATACCTAAGGTAGGTACCTACCTAGGTACCTACTATAGGTACTCTGGGCGTGTAGGGCAGCAGCCAAGCGCCAAGAGCACCTCCCCAGTGCTGATGGAGAGGGATCTCGAAATGTCCAGAAGCTTCGCGGGAAGGCTCCACGGTGAGGCGCCAGAGACACCCCCGGGGCGTGCCGTAGAAGAGGGGCACTACTTAGACGCCGCGCTGAGGTCTCAAAATTCCTTTTTGCGATCTCTCGTCTCGCAACAACTTCGGGCAGCTTTTTTTTTTTATTCTTTTAAATGGCATTTTCCGACCCTGCAATTTTCCACTGAGGCCAGGTCTTTTCTCGCCCTCCCTCTGCCGTCAACGCGACCCCAGCAACTGGAGACTACCAGACGACGAGCCTGAGCGCAGTCCGTCCCGCCCCCTTCGTCCCTCCAACCCATACTGCTACCTCATATCTGCCCAACAAATCACACCCTCCTCGCCAGCCACGGCCGATTCGTAGCCCGGTCCCGCGCACAAATAGTCACGGCTTGCGACGCTTTGTGACCCCCCGCAGACGAATTTCCTTTAATTTGTTTACTCCCGTCCGTACCGCGTTTTCTCCGGCAACATGAGTACCGTAGTAGGTAGGTCTCGTATACCCCGGCGTCGAGCAGGCTCTGGAGAGTCAGGGCGCGAGAACTCCCCGGCTGACATAAATCGCAGGTGTCGACTTCGGGACCCTGAACACGGTCATCGCCGTCGCCAGAAACCGAGGTGTCGATGTCGTACGTATCGCCCGTCCTGCCTCCACTATCCCCCCTTCACCCGCCCATATATAGGAATCTCTGGTTGTGGACAGGGCTGACGACTTGCGTAGATCACCAATGAGGTCTCCAACAGAGCGACACCGTAAGTGAACCCTAGCCTTCCTCGGTGCTCCCCTCCCGCGCGTCTTCGTGCTGACGAGGCCGGCCTCTCCTGTAGCTCGCTAGTTGGATTTGGACCCAAGTCCCGATACCTCGGTGAACCGGCCAAGACCCAGGAAATCTCGAACCTGAAGAACACTGTCGGCTCCTTGAAGCGCCTGACGGGCCGGAGCATCAACGACCCCGACGTCCAGATCGAGCAGCAATATGTTTCGGCTCCTCTCGTCGACGTCGGTGGTCAAGTGGGCGCCGAAGTCTCGTATATGGGCAAGAAGGAGAAATTCTCAGCCACTCAGCTGACGGCTATGCTCCTGAGCAAGATCAAGCAGACGACCCAGAATGAGCTGAAGCTACCCGTTTCCGACATCGTCATAAGTGTGCCGGCCTGGTTCACTGACGCCCAGCGGAGAGGCCTCCTAGACGCGGCCGAGATCTCTGGTCTCAAGCTTCTCCGTGTGATGAATGACACCACGGCCGCTGCCCTCGGCTACGGCATTACTAAACTCGACCTGCCTACGGCCGAGGAGAAGCCTCGACGTGTCGTGTTCGTCGACATTGGCCACGCCGACTATGCTTGCACCGTGGCTGAGTTCCGGAAAGGCGAGTTGAGTATCAAGGCTACCACATACGACCGTCACTTCGGCGGTCGGGACTTCAACCATGCGTTGGTAAGCCACTTCCACAAGGAATTCAAGGGCAAGTACCGGATCGACATCACGACCAATCCCAAAGCCATGGTCCGCGTCGATGCCGCCGCGGAGAAGCTGAAGAAGGTGCTCTCTGCGAACCAACAGGCGCCCTTGAGCATCGAGTCTCTCATGAATGACGTCGACGTGACCGCCATGGTCACGCGGCAGGAGTTCGAGGCCCTCGTTGAGCCGCTGCTGAATAGGGTCACTGCGCCCCTAGAGCAGGCCCTCGCTGACGCTGGGCTGACTAAGGAAGACATTGACGTGATCGAGTTGGTCGGTGGTGGTACCCGGGTTCCCTCTATCAAGGAACGAATCCAGTCTTTCTTCGACAAGCCGCTTTCTTACACGCTCAACCAAGACGAAGCCGTCGCCCGGGGTTGCGCCTTCGCCTGCGCCATCCTCTCGCCCGTTTTCAAGGTCCGAGACTTTTCCATCCAGGACATCGTGAACTACCCCATCGAATTCTCCTGGGAGAAGGATGTCGACATCCCGGATGAAGACACGAGCCTCACCGTATTCAACAAAGGCAACGTCCTTCCTTCGACTAAGATCCTGACCTTCTACCGGAAGCAGCCCTTCGACCTCGAGGCAAAATACGCTAACCCCGAGGACTTGCCGGGCAAGATGTCACCTTTCATCGGTCGGTTCTCCGTCAAGGGTGTCAAGGCTGATCCCAACACCGAGTTCATGATCTGCAAGCTCAAGGCCCGACTTAACATCCACGGCGTCCTGAATGTGGAGAATGGATACTACGTCGAGGACCAAGAGGTTGAGGAGGAAATCAAGGATGATGGCAAGAAGGATTCGGAAGTAAGTCGCATCCGCCTCAACCCCGATTGTGCTATTCTCCTCCCGCATAATGTCACAAAGCCTGGATTGGGTCGTCCATCTAGGGCGCTTCTTCACGAGAGACTCGTCGCCTTGAGGAGTCAAATATCCGCTAACAGTAGCTGTAGGCTATGGATACGGACGATAAGAAGGATCAAGACAAACCCAAGACTAGGAAGGTCAAGAAGCAGGTTCGCAAGGGCGACTTGCCTATTGTGTCTGGCACCACGTCTTTGGACGAGGCGGCGAGGAACGCCCTCGCCGAAAAGGAAGCGGCGATGATCATGGAGGATAAACTTGTCGCCGACACCGAGGAGAAGAAGAACGAGCTGGAGACGTATATCTACGACCTCCGGAACAGGCTGGACGACCAGTATGCGCCGTTCGCCGACGACGACGAGAAAGACCGAATCAGGGCCAAGTTGACTGAGAGCGAGGTGAGTCTGATTTAGGCTCTGACCCTTAACGATAACAGGCGCTAACCGCTACGTCGCAGGACTGGCTCTACGAAGATGGTGAAGATGCCACTAAGGCTGTGTATGTCGCCAAAATGGAGGAACTCAGAGCTCTCGCTGGCCCTATCACACAACGATACTTTGACAAGGTCGAGGCGGATCGGCAAGCGCTCCAGGCCAAGCTCGACGCCGAGAAAGCAGCCAAGAAGGCTGCCGAGGAGGAGGCTCGCAAGGCTGCCGAGGCAGACAAGGCCGATGCCAGCAAGGATGAAGAGATGACGGACGCGGAGGCGGCAAAGCCGGACGAGGATGGCCTATCTTAGAGCAGCATACGTTCTCCTCCCCGCAAGAGCAAGCGCAGGCGCAAGGGGGTCTCATGACCAGCTGCTCGTTCCTCTCGGTTCGACAAGGTAACTACGCGCTTGCTGCACGATATAGATGACGACGAATAAAAGACTAGAGAGCCTAACGACATGGACGAGGGCTGGTTGATAGGCACAGGAACTTGCATCGCTCCAGGGTTTGATGAATTGACCATCACATCGCGGTGTTCACGACGAATAGAACTTTTTTGACAGACACAGGGAGGGGATTGTCTCACTTGATTAGCACCCCTCGGGCATTTAGACAGACCAGGCAATTAATGGTACGCTTAAGTATATTAACGAATAAACAGTTACTCAGGGATAATAGCTCTGAGGTTCGGTGTTCCACGTAAGCTTCTCTCCCCTTTTCCCGCTCCAGATCTAGCCGGTGGGGATAATCTGCCCGCCCGTCAGACTCATCTTAACCCAGTCGAATTATCTTTGCTAAGTTTACTTCGAGATCAGACGACGAGTGGGACAGGAATGCCGCTGGGAACCCCTTGGCGTAGGTAGAAGCGTAAGTGGAAGACGGAGTAATGTAACAGGGGCGCCAACAAAAGGGTACCCTACCCTATGGAGATTAGGATAGACGGATGGCGTGTGGAATTCTGGAATAACGATTCGGTGGACGTAAAGGAAACGGGGATCGGGATGTTTCGGCCCCGAAGATATTCCTGTATGAAGGCCAGGTAGGAGAGCTGCCTTGGCTTTATAACTCCGACGCCGTCGCCAACCGAGCGAGCTACGCAGGGAACAAAATATCGCATATGCGCACCCGCCAGCTCGCTCTCTCCCAGTACGAGAGACCACCCCGAGCTAACTTGCAGCCACTTGGTTTTTTTCACCCGCGAGAACGAGAGTAGACGGCAGAAAGGAGGAGAGGGCATCCGGCAGTTTGTTTACTCGCACATTTTTGTTCGCCTCCCGCTCGCCCCTTACCTACCTCGCGCCGCACTGTCCCGCGCCGACGCCCGCGACACGATCGATCGACCTGCGATGGCCCGGGATACCGTCCTCCGCCGGCGCGACCCGACGCCCGGCGCGGGGCTCCGCCTGGCACTCGCAGCGCAGACCGCGGACCCGGAGCCGATTCCGGCGCCGCCCAGCGACGTGAGTTGTGCAGCGCAGAGAGGCCCGGCGGGCCTTCCCGGGCTGGCCCCTCGCCGGGCCTCCCCCCCCCCCCCCCTCTCTCTCTCTCTATATTGTCTTGTCTAACCGGCCGGCGCAGCCCGAGGTGGTGCGGGCGACGTGCGACACGTTCGTGCTGGAGCGGTTCACGGCGGAGGACGCGTGGGAGCTGGGCCACCTGCTGTACGCGCGGCTGGCGCCGGTCGCGGCGCGCCGCGGGCAGCCGACGCTGGTGTCGGTGGCGCTGGCGGGCGGCGCCACGGTCGCCTTCCAGGCCGCCGTCGGCGCCGGCACCACCCCCGACAACGAGGCCTGGGCCCGGCGCAAGCGCGCCGCCGCCCTGCGCTTCGCCGCCAGCACCTGGCTGCTGCGCTGCCGCTACGGCCCCGGCGCCGCCGGCGACGACGCGTTCCGCCGCCGCGCGGGCCTCGGGCCCGAGGAGGCTGCTGCCTACGCGATCCACGGCGGCGCTGTGCCGAGTAAGTCTTTCCCCCTTCCCGACGGCGAGACGTGCGCTGGTGCCGGTTGCTGATCGGCGGCGGTTTAGTCCGCGTCCACGGCGTCGAGGGCGTCGTCGCGGTCGTCGTCGTCTCCGGCCTAAAGCCGGAGGAGGACCACGGCGTCATCGTCGACGTGCTCAATAAGCACTGGGAGCCGGTGACGTGAGAGGGCAGGGAGCGGATGGGAATGGGTGCGTGTGTCTGTCTCGTGGAGGGGTAGCTGTGGGCAGGTGTAGCTCGGATCTGCCTGTATCTTCACTTGGATTCTAACGTCGACGAATATTCGGGTCTCCATGTCTATGTAGCCTAGGGTTTTGGCTGTCGCGGTCGGCTGAGCAAAGCAATTAGTTGCCTGCGTGGCGCACCCGAGGTGCTGTCGTTACGTGCCTCGAAGTGGGCGCCCGTTGGCCAATTCACATCACCTACCTAGCTCGTCTTTGACGAATACGCTTCGTAATAAGTTCCTACGTAATTGATATCTTTCCTCGAGGGCACCTCTACACGTTCTTGCGCCAATGAATCCTGGAAAGCGGACGATGCGACCGAGAGAGACGAGTGTCTTCGGAGCACACCCACTCTTAAGCGGGCCCCGGAAATGTCGAGAAGTCCGAATTGTGCGAGCGCTGCCTCGGCGGCGCACATCTGAGTCATCATCGTTTGGCCGAGACGCGCGCCGCATTCCCGGGGTCTCTCTTCTGCCTCCCCCTCGATCTCTCTCTTTCGCCCCCCCCCCCTCTAGAAACTACAGGATGAGGACGCGCAGCAGCTTCGGCGCTCGCGCCTAATGTCTGGTGCCGAGCTGCAACGGGTAGCTAGCCTACTTAGGGGGCCGCGAGGGATCGACAGCACCTCCATTGCTTGTTGTTGTCGGGTCGGTACATATCGTCTACGTACTTGAGCATCGAGGCAGATAAAGGCACGGTGCGTAGCCTCCCACCCCCCAGGTACCAGCATAAACATCCCGGTTCCGCGACGCCCCCTCACGCGCTTTGGGCGGCCAGACTGCCGCCGCCGCTGCTGACAGGCGCCTGCGATAAGGAGAAGCGATCGACGTAACGACGCGTTCCCGCCGACTTATCTCCTAGAGCCTGCATCCGGGATTTAAATAATTCGATCCCGCTCGCTGTCGACACCGCCGCCGCGAATCAATCCTGCCGCCCCTCGCTGCCATTGTCCCAACCTCGTACCTACGGATTCTCCCACGGACTGCCTAACCACCCTCACACCCCTCGCCTGTCCCCTTCCCGCCTACCTACCTACCTAGCTAGCTAGCCGACCTCCCTCCCCGTCTTTAACCCCACGCACGACGCCGCCATGGCCGCCGAGGACGCCGCAGCGCCGCGCATCACCGTGTTCCGCGGGTGGGACGCGGCGGGGGCGCACGTGTGGTCGCCGTACGTGGTGAAGCTGGAGGCGCGGCTGCGGTTCGCGGGGGTGCCGTACACCGTGAGCGGCGGGTCGCTGCGGGCGGCGCCGCGCGGCAAGATCCCCTACGTCGAGTTCCGCGCCGAGGGCTCGTCCGCGCCGGCCCAGCGCCTCGGCGACTCGGCGCTCATCGCGCGCGCGCTCGTCGACCGCGGCGTGCTCCCCGACCTCGCCGCGCCGCTGCCCCCGCCCCGCCGCGCCCTCGACCTCGCGCTGCGCGCCCTGCTCGAGGACAAGCTGTATTTCTACCACGTGAGTGCCCGCCGCCGGTGGCGCCTCTGCGTGTTTTGACTTTTTTCTTTCTTTCTTTCTTTTTCTCCTTTCCGAAACCTCCCCCCCCTGTTTTCCTCCGCACCGTCCCGCCGCTAATCACCGCAGACCTGGGAGCGCTGGTTCGGCAACTACTACGCGATGCGCGACCACGTGCTGGCGGCAGTGCCGTACCCGGTGCGCGTCGTGGTCGGGTACCTCGTCTACCGCACGGTCACGGCGACGCTGCGCGGGCAGGGGACGCTGCGCTTCGCGCCCGAGGAGATCACCGCGTTCCGGCGCGAGATCTGGGACGGGTTCAGCGCGCTGCGTAAGTCGATCTACCCCCCCCCCCCCCTCCCCCTCTTACCCCCCTTTCTCGACCGCGCTGACGGGCCCTGCTGCAGTCCTCGCGTCCCGGTCCGAGAGCGCCAGGGGCGCCGCCGAGCCTTTCTGGGTCCTCGGCGGCGACCAACCCACCGACGCCGACACGACCTTGTTCGGCTTCGTCGTCTCGGTCCTCGTATGCACCGCGTAAGTCCCCCGTAGCCCTGCTGCTAACTGCTCCCCGGCTTACGCGCGACGCGGCACTCCAGCTGCCCCGACTCCCAAGAGGTCGTCAAGAGCTTCCCCGTCCTCCTGGACTACGCGAGCCGGATCCACGACCGGTACTTCCCAGATTACGAGAAATGGACGGTGTGACGTGCACCCTGTCGTCGACGGAAAAGGTGGGGGTTGCCGCCGTGCTGACTGGACTTAGGGAGTGTGTCTGCTGCGGCGAGAGGGACGGGAATGGGAGTCGCGGGACACGATAGGGGAGAGTATGCTTCCTGCGGGTGGGCAGTGGAAGGCGAATGATATCCCGCTTTCAACGCGATGTCCCTCCTGTGGCATCCTGCAGTACATCATCCGCCTATTTACTGTCTACACCTTGCTACAGCTCGACAGGGGGTTGATTATTTATAACGACGGGTCGGTTTCCTAGCAATTGGTTGATAACGCCCCCCTTTCCATATGTAGATTGCGCCTATAATATCCGTGATATTACTTACCTATCCGTAGATACCCATCCGGCCGCACTCCCCGCATTTTGAGACCATGTGGCACAACAGCAACGACAATGTCTACCCTCAACCTGACAACGTGACGCCATCTACAGCAACGCCTCATCGTAGTAAAATCAAGTTGCTAAAGTCGTAGGAATCGGCCGTAGAGAGAGGTGCTGCTTATCTACCCTCCGTGAGACGACGCCGGACAACTCTCTGGCAACGACCAACACATCCCAGACTAACACATCCCAAGCCAACAATAGCAGCCAACTCCGGAGCAAACGCGTGACACCCAAGGGTAAGGCAGACCCCCGTTGAATTTACGAGCGATTCTATTGACACGACACGGCTCGCGTTGAGCGAGAACACACCCGTTCATATCTACTCATCGCTTGTGCTACGGTGACCATGGGAGATATTACCATGTTAACTACCTCGATCCTACATTGACTTGATTACAAGTCCCCCACCCCCCCTTCAATAACACGGGGACCTCGATAAAAGAGGCCAGCCTAGCCGATTAATCTATAAAAAAAACATGCGGGAAGTTAGTTGGCGCCGACGCCGCGCTCGCGGCAGTACTTGTCGACCTCCTTCCTCAGGGTGTCGTGCTGGCGCTCGACGAGGTCCATGATGTCGCGGCACTCGGGGCCGAGCGCGAGCTTACCGCCGCCGCCGCCGCCGCCGATGCTGCCGTAGATCTCGGTCATCTCCTCCATGACGGCCTGTAGCTGGTTCGGCAGCCAGGTGACGATGGGGCTGCCGCCCGTCGCGGTCGGGTGCGACGTCTGCTTGAGGATGTACTCGCGCGCGAAGCACCAGTGGCGCCACCGGAAGTCGCGCACCTCGTTGAGCGCCCGGAGCCAGAGCGTCCGCGACTCGCGGATCAGTTGCGCCTCCTCCTCCTCGCCGTCGGCCGGGGCGGTGTCGATCGCGAGCGCGAGCGCGAAATCCCTGGTGCCGAGCTCGTCGGCGCACCGCTTCACCTCGACGAGGAACTGGCGGTGGTTGCTGGGGCGGTACTGGCGGAAGTCCTGCAGGATCTCGGTGAGCGGGGTGTCGGGCATCTGCACCTGCAGGAAGTTGTCCATGAGCGGGATGATGGAGTCGTTGGCGCCGCTCTCGCCGCGGAAGCTGAGCGGCTTGCCGTCGTTGGCCCCCTCGTACACGACCCCGTCCGGGAACATGGACTGCGACGTGATGCCGAAGATGAAGGTCCGGAAGCTCGTGTACGCCCGCGGCTTCGACTTCATCCACATCGTCTCCATCACGCCGTTGACCTTGCGCATCGCCTCCACCATGCCGCGCAGCCCCGCGTTGAACGCGCGCCGGCGCTCTTGCCGCGCCGAGGGAGACTCTGACGCGGAGGTCCCGACGAGCGCTTGTAGTCCCGACATGGCGCCGTGGACGAGCGGCCCCGAGTTCCTCACCATGTCAATGTGCACGAATACGAACCCGGCCTCCGAGGATGTGGGGTCGAGACCGTGCTCAAACGCGCGGACGAGCCTCAGGTTCGAGTACTCGAGGCCCGCTTTGGGGTCCTCGAGCCGGTAGTTGAAGAGCGCGTACGACCCCGCGTACTCCATGAAGGGCTTGAAGCCGGCACTGCACCAGTTGTCAATTTTGAGCTCGGGGACGACAACAAAAACGAGAGAGGAGGGGGGGCGGCTTACAGCTCGGCGCAGCGGACGATAGGACGGGATAGTTGAGCAGGCAGGAAGGCTCTTCCCAGTCCGTACGGCTCGCCCTTGAGGAAGCGCAGGTGGCACGGCTCCAACAAGAAAGCCGAGGCCAGAAACGAGTAATCGCGGTAGAGAGCATTCATCACCGGGAGGTTCTCGCGGTACTTCTCGACCTCACCCGTCAGGTCTGGGAGGTTATTCAGCACGGCATCCCCTAGCCTCCCGTCAGCAAGCAACCCAGGGGCGCCCGACAGGGTCTTGACTGGCATCTCGCGCAGGAGGGTCTCGACAGCGTCAAACTCTGCCGGCAAGGTCACGATGGGATCCATGCGCGCCAAGAAGCCGCGGGTCGTCGAGACCATGAAGGAGGGCAGCGACGTGTCATCGGGCTTCGTGTCCTCGAGGACTTCGAAGGATGAGTTGGGGATAAACATCTTCTTCTCAAGATCGACGATGAGAAGAGGGGAGGGGGGGGGGGGTTAGTTTGGCTCGTTCAAGCACGGAGTGCACTCGAGTTTTGGCGAGTGATCTGGAGAGGAAGAAGGATGAAGAAGGGCGAAGAAGAGGCGGGGGGGTAGACAAGAGAGGGTTCTGAGCTGGTTCGTGGGAGGGGTAACCTTCTAGGGATGAGAAGCAGGACAGAACAACTGCGGGAAGACGGGATCGCTAATATACATCGTGGCCGGAATGGTTCCGGCCTGGAGGGGAGCAGTGCGGAGTCGACGACTAAGCGCAGTGACTGCTTACTGACGCTCTCGTGGCCGGAACTTTTCCGGCCACGAGCGAGACCGGAGTCGGGGTCCGCGTTGTCCGTTGTCAGAACCCCCCGCTCGATCCCATGCCCAGAGGCCGGAACTGTTCCGGCCTCGACACCGAGACCGAAAACAGCGTGCTGATAAGAGGCACTTGGCGCAGCGCGGGTCAAGATATCGGCTCTTGCAGAGCGTCAATACGAACGACGGGATTGGGCAACCAGGTGGACTCGTCGCATTGCCGACACGCGCCCTCCCGGCTCACCCCCCTCGCCCCCTGAGCGCACTTACACACATCCCAACCAGAGGGGAAGGGGGGAGAGACTCCTCATCTTACCAGCGACGCATTCCGGACGGCCGACCGCTGCCAAACCCCGAGAGGACGTAAGGCCATTGCCAGCAACGCCATGTGACCGAGCCAGAATTACGTAAATGCTGCTCAGCCTGGGTGCTCTGCGCACGAGGGCGAGATTAGGAGAGACGGGAAAAGTGGGACTGCCAGCGTCCAAAACCGGCAAAGGCCGGCCGTGGCCGGAATGATTCCGGCCACTGCACGTGACTCGCCTACGCCCAGCCCCCTCGCGCGGTGGATCGTTCCCCCCTCCTCCCCCCCTTTTTTTATCGTGCTCTTGCGCTGGCGGTCTAGGGGGGGGGGGTATTAGTAATGCTAAATACGCAGGATTCGGTTCGAAGGCGCTCGCGGCGGACAGCGATTAGACCAGCAACGATCAGGCAAAAGTACCTAGCGATTAGGCAAGTCTGCCCTGGGAAGTGGAGACGGCGGCGAGCTTCTGTCGCAGCTTCCGCGCTGGCAGAGTGCGTCACGGTGACTTACACCCTGAGGAAGTCGCAGCTGGCAACTCGCCTGCTGTGGCTTTTTCCAAATTGAACTGACCCCGAACCACGCATTTTTCGCCCTCCTCCTCCTCCTCTCCTCCTCCTCCTCCCCTCCTCCTCCTCCTCCCCTCCTCCTCCTCTCCTTTACCTCTCCTCCACCAGCAGTAATGCTGAATTGCCAGCACGCTGCGGGGAGTCAAGGGCAGGCCGACACGATACGAAGCGCGACGTTACGTATACGTATGTACAGCTGGCGTCGGGGGGGCGTAGATGCGTAATGCATTCTGTGTGTACATATGTAGGCCTCAGAGAACGAGAGATGTCTCCTGCCGCAGAGACCGCTGCCGCAGCGGGGTTCAACGTTGCGGTTTTGAGGTATATTTACCACCCCTCGAGCCGCACTCGCCTGTCATCGGGCACACTGGCTCCCCCCCTCTCCCTCCTAGTCACCTTCTCATTGCTTCGGACGCGATTTTCCTGTGAGCCAATCCCGGGCCCTTTCTTTCACGTTACTCTCCTCTCGCCTGCTGGGGTCTCTTCCAGATTAACCCCAAACCACATAATTCTCGGCTGATCTTGCTGGCTGCGGTTGGTTTAGCGACAGCGAGTCGGCATCTCGTTAGCTGTCTCCTCTGACCTCGGAATTCAGCCGTGTTGGTTATGACGTGCTGCCAGCCGCCGAAATTCTCCGGGCTGTCGATGTTCAGTGTGGGGGGGAGGCCGCAGCCTTCCTATACAGCGACCCTCGAGTTAGGGAAGCCTTAGACCTGGCTGGGCATGGCCTAGCCTGGCAATCCGACCTAGCAGTGGTCGGATAAATACTGAGAGATCTTTTCCCGGCAAAGCTGATGAACCAAATGGATGTCCATCCTGTCCAAGAGATCATCGAACTCCCACAGGGAGACGACGAACCCCTAGCCACGTATTACACTCGTGCCTAGAACCTACTCCGACGAAAATCATCCCAAGGCACATTGTTTCCATAACAAGATAACCTGACGATGCTGGAATCCCACACGCTCGAGCGGTCATCTGGTCTAGGTCTCCGTATCTTGGTCGGCGATTCGGTCTGGATCATACAGGACGGTATGCGTGCTCAGCGACGTGTCGAGGAGACGATAGAGTATTGAGCCGGTAGTAATTTAGGGCCTCGACCATCTTCCATCTGTCGTGGGGTTCCTGATCCCTAACGTATAATAATACTATCACGTAACTGAGCTAGGAGCTACGCCGTGGTGCGAGAGCACGCGCAAGGAGCAATTGAGCTAGTGAGGCGGGAGATAGAAGGGTCTCGTTCTTTTCTAGAATTAAATGAATGGAAGTAATAGGAGTATGTATATATAATAGCTCCAGTTGTTAAGGAAAGTATGAAAGAGTTGCGAAATGGGAGTAAGCTCTACGTGATATACACCTTGGTAATGATTAATAGTATTCCCAGTTACAGAAAGCCAACCAGACCTGTGATATAATAAGAAAACATCTACGCTCATTTTGCCTACTCAATTCGACCAAGCCGTCGATTCCCAACACGAGCGATGCCAGTGATGCCCCCTCTCCACCTGAGTCCTCTGAATGTATTTACCACAAGCAAATACCTATTCCTGGGACATAAAAAGGGGCAAGTGACGGGGATCAAGCGTGAGGATCCAGACCCCCTAAAGCGCACAACGCCGGCTTACTTAGACGTGTGCATAATATACCTAGGTACCTAGTATTATATCGGCCGGGCATCAGACGTCCTCGCCCTCTCGCCTCGTCGAAATCCGAGCGCCGTAACAGAAGTGAACGTGAACTGCCTCCTCCCCTTTCAACCCCCCCTCCCCCTTCGCTTTGTCCTATCCCCTTCCTTTAATATTTCCCCTCTTTCTTCTCGTCCGCAAACCAACCCCTTCCCCCCTTTCCTTTCCCCCCCCCCCTATACTCTCTCTCCCACATAACGCAAACGCGACGCGACGCAACCTAATCGCTAACATCACCGTCGGCGCCTGTGGCGGTGGCGGCGAGGTAGTCGCGGTGGGCGGCGAACATGAGGACGGCGAAGCTCTGGGCCTCGGGGGACTCGGAGCGGGGGGTGCGGTCGCGCCAGTCGAGCGGGTTGACGACGGGGGCGAGCAGGCCGCGGGCGTCGACGCGCGCCTCGGCGGCGCGGCGCTTCGCGTCGGCCCAGCGCACGTAGCGCGCCCCGAACTCGGCCGGCGCCAGCCGCGCCATCCGGTACGCCGTCGCCGCCAGCAGCGTCGTCCCCGCCAGCTCCCCGAACCACGTCGCGTCGTCCAGGTAGTTGCGCAGCAGCGGCTCTCCCGGCTCCGCCGCGTCCAGCCGCATCGCCGCGTCCAGGATGCCCCGGATCGAGTCCCGCAGCCGCCGCAGCAGCAGATCGTCCGCCGCCGCTGCCCCCCCTCCCAGCCCTAGCCCCGACCCCGCCGCCGTCGCTAGCACCCGGCTCATCCCCGCCGCCGCCCACGCGTTCCCCGTGCTCCACAGCCCCAGGTCCTCGCTCTGCGGCCCGACGATGTGGCGCCAGAGCCCGTCCGTCGCGTTCCCGCCCGCGGCATCGCGTCCCTCGCCGGCGGCGGTGCTCCGGCCGACGCCGAGCACGTCGCCGTACAGCAGGCACTGCTCGACCGCGGCCGCGAGGAGGTCCGGGTCGCGCGTCTGCACGGCCCAGTACGCCAGCGTCGGCGGCGCCATGTACACAAAGTCGGCCCAGAGCTCGGCGACCGTCTCGCGGTGGCTGATGGCGCCGTTGGGCCACCGCGGCACCGCGTCGAGGAGGTGCCGCACCTGCCGCCCCGCCGCCGCCAGGTACGCGGGCTCCGTCTGCCCGATTAGGATCGCCGGCACGCCGAGAGCGGCCGCGTCGCCGGCCGAACCTGAGAGCGAGGGGTGTCGTTAGCTTTCACTTTCAGGTTGGAATTCTTGGTGCTGCTGCCACCGCCACGCCTTTGCTCCCAGAAGCCACTACCTAGGTAAATGAAAAAGGAAAATGAAAAAAGGGGGGGGGGGGTGGTTAGTTAGGCTATCTACGCACGTCACGTACCGTCAGCGTCGATCAGCGTCGTCCCGTTCGTCCAGATCAAGGGCCGGGTGTAAGTGAGAGCCTCCGTACTGCTGACACGCAGCACGGGTACGCCGCCGCCCGGGAACGCGCTGTTGCCGCCGAACACGGACGCCCCCGGGTCGTACCACTCGAGAAGCGCCTCCGCGAACGCGCCATACTCCCAACTGTGCGTCGCCAGCCGGTACCCCTGCGCGATTACGTTGTTGATGACCTCGGCCGCCACCATCGTGTCGTCTTTCCTGTTCCCGGGGTTTCGTCTTGGTGAGGAAAAGAAGGGGAGATGTTTCCGATGGGTTCCGCCTTATCTCACTCTCTCTGTGTCACCTCTGAACTTGACTTTATTCTGTGCTACGCGGTGCTGTGCTCTGCCCCTTTTACGGTCCGCTGGAAGCTAAAGACTCTACCCGTGCTTGAGGCGCGAGGAAGCGAGTAGCCAGGTAGAATATAGTGCCAGCCCATCGTCAATCTTTAAATAGACGACGAACGACATGTACGACTATGTCAACGAAGCTGCCGCTGCCGCTGCCGCTGCCGCTGCTGCTGCTGCCGTCCTCGTGCCCTTGAGTCTTCGTGAAAACTGGGAAGCAGGATGGCCCGTGGAACGTAGGTCGAGCTAGCTAGGTAGGTAACCGGCGTATAGCGGGATGGACGAATTTGCTCGCACCATCACATGCGGACCGGCAACTGTCGACGAGCATCACCAAACTCGCCGATGTCACAAAAGCGGGTTGGGACGGGGTTGGGCGACGCGCGCAATTGGCCTGCTCGTAACAGACCCGAGATAAAAATAAGTGGCCAGGCAAGTCAATGCACGGTGCCCGAGAGCACATGGGCCCGGCGACGCATTGGGACTAAGCGGCGACTATAAATATAGGCAGGCGACAAAAGCGAAGAATGCGAGCACGCTTGGAGGCTCTCGTGTTCAGCTTGCCGTATCTGCGTCGCGGGATCGTACCAAGAGCCGCCATCGGCCTGCTAGTCCCTGCGCGGGCGGGTTCGCAGCTTCGTCTAGGCCTTCTCGCGACGGGGGTCACACGGCACGGTATGGCCACGCGAACAGACGCATGAGCCGATTCGGATGGGGAGACCTGCTGAGTCATAGACGTAGAGCTGCGTGGGTAGGTATACCCAGTGCCAGGTTGCGTCGGGATCTTCGGACGAGGCTCGCGTAGACGCACGTTCGTCGATGGTTCTTCCGGGCTATCTCAGATGCCCATCTATATTTAGCTACCCTGCCGCAGATACGCCCGCTGCAGTCGTCAGCACTAGAAAGCCAATATTGGGAATCCTCATGCGTGGAAGAAGAACCAAGAGGGTAGCGAGTGGGGTCGACTAGGGAGGGAGACGGCTGTCTCCCCCCTCTGCCCTCCCCCAGACCCCCTCTCTTCGTAGGTATGCATTTTTCGGAAGACTTGCCGGGGGGGTCGATCTCCGGGACCCAAGATCCCGGAGCGGAGCTCGGGTGGGGCGCTCTCAGTGCACTTGCACGGAGAGGGAGGTCACCGACTTTTGGAGCCGCCAATATTCGTTCGATCCTCCTATGTGTATACAATATTATACTCACATGACTCTCGAGAGTCGGAGGCTCAGGGTGCGGATAAGGGCTAGCTAGGCTCGGTTCGGATTCGTCCAGTTTCTCAGCCATGACCTCTTTTACGTAGGTAGCATGCATGGCACCGGCAATATAGCCGTGCTGCCCGCCCCCCATTCCCATCCTTCCGAGGTTTTCTCTACGCGACAGTAAGCGTCGTCGTTGAGGCATTTGCTGGGGTATAGCGCCGGGGAGATGAGTGCGATGGTGATAGCCAAATAGGGAAGCCCGCGCAAGTACGTATGTAGACGTCTACGTCTCCCCTCTCCCCCGTCGGCAACTTACTGGATAGGTAGCCTATATCTGCCACTGCGGTAACCGCCGGTTTAAAAAAAAAAAAAAAAAGGGCACGTGGGGCGAAAGACAGGGGATACGGGCGCCGTAGGCAATAATCCCTCGTTTTCCTGTTACTGAGCCATCGGCCAATCGTCACCGTATGTATTGTCGTCGAGTACATGCCTAAGAGGTAGTTCTAACAACGTCCGAGCAAACCGTGCGCTTCGTTGTATGCGTGCGTGTATGTACCTATGCGATCCCTTCTTTTTGGGGGTGGGGAGGAGTCGCTCTTCGCTTTCCACTCGCCGACCTCTCCTTTCCATTCCTTCCCCTTTTTCCCTGTCCTGATTCTGTCAAACTTTTTTTTTCTCGGGGGGGAAATGAGATATACGCGGATATAAAACAGTTACGAAATCGGTATTATGCGATTGAGGTCTGCATCGCCTACCCCTCGTCGCTCGTCCGTCACTATCGCACCCTATTAAAATGCAGCAGAGAGACGGTGAGGGAGAGGGCGCGTCGGGGAACGACATCGCTCATGAGGGTCGTGATGCGAGCGTCTTCTACTAATTGATGTCAAACAATGGCTTGAGCTTGATAATGAGCTGCCACTCCTCTGTCGACACGTCTTTCCGGTAGAATTCCTTCAGCGTGTCGATGCTGGCGCGGGAAATCAGGCTGTAGAGCATATCTTTTTCCTCGAGCTGCCGCCCATAGGTGGGCTGATGGCCTCCCATCTCGATCTTTACCGCCACCGAGGGCTGACCCTTCTTGCAAACTGGAATCTGCTTATGATCTCTCTCGATCGAGGTCCTGTAGTAGTAGTTAGCGGGCCTGAAAAAAGAAAAAAAAAAAAACTTCCCAGATTTCCCAGCTAAGACTTACACTCTCCCCAGACTGATGATCTCCTTGGCGCCCGTCGTTGGATTTTGCTTGACGGCGGCAATCGGGGTGTTGATCTTGAGGCTACCGTCCACAACGTCCACGCCTACGACGATGGGACTCGTCTTGTTGAAGACGGCCACCGGGTTCAGCACACAAGGGAAGACAGCCAATAGCTTCGACTCTTCCCTCTTCTTTTCGAGCTGTTCCTCCATGTGCTTCGTGAAGGCGTCGAAAAGGTGGTAGATGATATCGGCAGTAAAGATCTTGATGCCTTGATCGTCTGCGTACGCCTGAGCCTCTTTATCAATCTTAACGTCAAAGCAGAGCATGACAGCATGGTCGGGGTTCTTCTCAAGCATCGTCGCGCATTGGATGACATCTCGCTTGAACACGGGGCCGATTCCGACGTTGGCCACCGGAATCTTGCAATCCTTCAGGAAATCGAGCAGGGCCTCGAGAGAACCCAGGGTCGAGGCTTGCACGCTGACACCACGCCCAGTCGTGGCGACACGGCTGAATAGCTTGTTAAGATCGGACTCGATCTCTTCCTCGAGGTCCTCTTCGTCGTCATCCGGCCCAACCACGAGCAGTCGGGACCCGGCAATGGCTCCCTCGAGACCGGGTGCGCTAATCTTGACACCGACCGCGGCCTTGACTTCCTTGTTGTGTACGTATTGGGATTTGACACGCAGCTCCTTCATGGTGGCGGGTGTGAGGAGGGCGCGGATATTCGTCGTGATCGCCCCCTCTACACCGCAGACCACTATCCGGTCACCCTCTCGGAGGATACCGTTGGATAGGATGACGTCGATGGTCATACCAAAGCCTTCGATCGCCTTGACTTCTAGAACGGTGGCCTGGACCTCAGATAGATACATCAGGGAGCCCACCATCCTCTCCTGGGTCAGCTGGAGGATGAGCTTCAGCATGTCGGGAATACCTTCGCCTGTGTGAGCCGAGGTGGGTACCAACGACACATTTCTAGCCATCGACTTGTTTTCGTAATAGAGTTCGGCGTTGAAGCCCTGCTCGGCGAACGCCAGCTTCGTCGATTCTAACCGGTTCTTGAACTCGTTCTGCACACCCTTACTCTGGAGAGCCAAGCTCTCTTGGAAGCCGTTATTATCAACCTTCTTCCAGCCGTAGAGACGGTCTATCTTGTTGAGAGCGACAATAAAGGGCGTCTTGCGATCCCGAAGTAGCTTCATGGATTCGAGGGTCTGGGGCTCGAGGCCGTGCATTATATCGACGACGAGAATGGCGATGTTACAAAGCGACGATCCTCTTGATCGCAAGTTCGAGAAGGACTCGTGACCTGGGGTGTCGATGATCAGGAGACCCGGAACCTTGAACTCGAAGGCCCCATCCGCATTGACGACAGCCGTCTTCTGTTTGATGGCGTCGACGGGGAAGTACGTCGCGCCGATCTGTTGGGTGATACCGCCGGCTTCGCCCTCCTGCACGTTGGTCTGTCGGATCTTGTCCAATAGCTTTGTCTTGCCAGTATCGACGTGTCCCAGGATACAGCAGATTGGCGACCGGAGGTTGTCCTTTGACCGCGCAGCAAGGGCGGCCTGATGGGCCTTCTCTCGTCGTTCGGCCGCCTCCTTCTTCCGTTGAGCTTCCGCAGCCTGCGCGGCAGTTTGCGCTTCGTCTTCCGAGGATTCATCTTCGGATTCGGATTCGCCTGGCTTAGGCTGGGATTGGGCTTTCGCCGAGTCAGGCTGCGAAGCCTTCCCATTCGTGGCAGGCTTCGCCGACGCCTCGGCTTCCTCCTCCGAGTCGGCGTCCCAGCTATCTCTCACGTCGCCCTCGGCCGCGGCAGCGGCGGCCTCCCAATCATCTTCGATATCACTGTCCGCCCGCGCCGCCGCGGCCGCCCGAGCCGCTTCCTCGGCCGCGGCGGCTTCCCTGGCAGCGTTTTCTTCAGCTTCCTTCGCTGCAGCCTCAGCTTGCAATCTCGCGCGCTCGGCGGCTTCGGCTAAAGTTTTCTCCTCATCGACCTAATAAGACATACGTCAGCCACGGCTTCGCGCCTCCAACAGAAAAGTCATAGTGCCCATACCTTTTGTTGAATCTTCTTGCTGCGCTTCTTGTTGTCGTAGGCAACCTTCTTCTTCTCCTCGGCAGCTTCCTCGGAAGGGCCAACCTTGATGCCGGCATTGATCATCTGCTGTAATTTCCTCTCGTTCCGGGCTTTCTCTTCCCTTTGCGCCTTGGTCAGGAATTTGCCCTCTTTCTTAAGCTGCTCGATTTTTTCCTTTTCCTTCTGCTTCTTGCGAGCCTTCTCCTCTTCTCTCCGTTTGTTGGCCTCGGCCTCTTCCCGCTCTAATGCTTCGATCTGTGCCTTCTCTTCGGCGGCGAGACGTTCGGCCTCTTCTCGCTGCTGCCGCAAAGCCTCTTGTTGTTTTTGAATGGCTTGTAGATGTGCAGGTAGTTTCTTCCCCTTCTTACCACTAGCCTCGGCCGCGGGTTCGGGAACGGGAATATCTTTCTTCTCCTCCGCAGCTGGCTTTGCAGCCTCGGCAGCCTTCGGAGGAGCGGGAGCTGGCGTCGTAGTCTTCTTCTTCGCGGCCTGGGGAAAGCTCGAGTTAGCTAAGGAGCCGAGTTTCCCTCGGTAATACGGGGATTCGCTCACCTGTTCTTTCTTCCTCTGCTTCTCTCTCTCTTTTTTTAACTTCTCCTTCTCGGCTTTTGTTAGTATTCTTCCGCCTTCGCCAGTCTCATCGTCGCCGGCATCCCCTGCGGCGGCGCTGGCTGCCTTGGCCGGCGGTTGCTGCGGCTTGGCCTGCTTTCCGCCCTTGCCCTTCTTCTCTGGCAATGGGAATTCATCCTCTACGGAGGCTTCCTGGGGAGGCTTGACTGCAATCTCAGGCTCGGGCGCTGGAGCAGGGGCAGAAGCATCTGGGTCGACGAAGTCCTCCGACAGGCCTTTCTTCTTCCGCTTTTCGCGATTCTTTTTCATCATGGCCATGAGACCGCCGACGGGGGCGTCATCCTCGTCCTTGTTCTCTGTCTCATCAGGTGGTGCGGAGGCATTGCCGTTCGTAGGTGCGATAGACTCGCCCAATTCTGCCTCCCAATCATCGGCTGCCTTTTTGTTCCCCTTCTTCTTGGGCGGCATTTTGGCGGTGGTGTGGATGTAGACGGGTTAACCAGGGTCGCCGGTATCGACGAGGTGAAGAACGTGAAGAATGAGGTCGTGAGATGAGCCTGTGAATTTCAACACAAGACGAATGCTTTGCAAGTAGATGGTAAGGAGAGACGCTGCGGCAACTTCGCCTCCATACGAAGTTTTACTCTGTAGGAATGGGCGGTAGTGAAGCTCAGACAAAGTCAATACGGAAGGTCATGAAGGAATCCGGGTGGGGTGAATGGATCCTCTTCACCACCAGCAGCAATTTTTTGTTACTCCAGCCCGCTTACGGCTCCTAGAGGGAGGGGAGGGGGCTTAGAGAAGGGAAATAAGGGGAATGAATAGGCGACAAATTGCCAGCTGGAAAATGGGATGTCATTACGTGTTCGACCTTCGGCTTAGCCACATATCGACACCAACAAGAAGACGAATAAGTGCGTGACACTTCCTTATAACTGATATGGTGGCCCGGCCCACAATAGAGGGCAGAGAGATTCCGAATGGCGCGGGTGTGCGTAAGCAGGCGAGGGCGAACTAGGGCGAGATGACGACGGACGGCGGGATGCGATAAAGAAGAGATGGAGAATGGGGAATCCAGAGCAGATCAGAGGAATACCTTAGGTACCTCCTAGGGGTACACTACTCTCAAGGTACCTGCCGGTTAGGAACGCTTCGAGACGGTTAGGTACCGAAGGTGGTAGTAGTAGTAGGTGCGTAACCTAAGGGTTAGGGCCATCTACTCAAAAGTGTGTAGGTAGGTACCTGATGTACCTTTAGTATGTGGGTGCTATGTACCTACCTACTTAGGAGGTACCTGGTCGCAACGCTATACCTGCAGGCAGGTACCTACGTAAGCCAACTACCACCAGCCTAGCGAGGTAGTGAGGGGTACCTTGAATACTTGGGTACCTAGGTAGGAGGTGCTTACCTACCTAGGTACATTATTGCGGGGACCCCGGCGATCGGTAGGTACATCGTGTACATACCTACCTATGATTTAGGTAGGTACCTAGCAACTGTAACCGGCCTTGGTGCGATGCCGCAACACAATAAATACTAAATAATAAGGGCCTATTTATTTCTTACACCGAGTCAAACTCCCTCCCTAAAATGAAATCAACCAAACGCTGGTTATGAACAGCAACCATTCTAAGGTGTGGCGCTCATGAAATCATACATACTTAAGCAAGCCCCTAGGTAGGTATATCTAATCGATAAGATAAGCAGAGTAGGCATTTGGACACCTAAGGTAACCCAGGTAGGCAACATGCACACAGAAGACCACCATGAAAGTGTAGCAAAGTAGAATTTCCAGGTCCTAGGTTACATCTCCAGTCCCTCTTTTTCCTCGTGTTATCCGCTAGTGGCACACTCGAGTCCCTCTCGTCCATTCCGAAGAAGAAGTTTTGGTCATCATTCATCCCTATCTACACCTCACAAGACATATAGCCTCCCATCTCCTACGTGATCAGCTACCTACAATATCCACATCAGAGAGGTCCCTCGAAGGGAGGCCTTATAAGGAGGGGTAGATGCGTGCACATATCACGAACATAGCGTCGACGCCCTGCGTTTTCATATAAAAAAAGAGGCCCCCGAACGAAGCTCTTCCATCTCCGACACCCCCTGGTCCCGTCGATGCGGGCTAAAGAACGGGCGAGAGATAGTACGTGAGGATGCTATAGCCCAGTTCGTAGGAAGCCGTGTCCTGGCCGGGCCCTTCGCGCGACGACAGATAGCCTTCCTTGTCTAGGGTGCCGAGAAGCTCTCGGAAGCGTTCCGCGTGCTGCTCCGACATCAGCATCTCCAGCGCACGCTTGTCGAGGCATCTCTTCAGCACGTCTCCGTCCACTTGCATGTTCAGCTTCGGGTCAAATCTCGGCTCCGGATCCACCTCGTCCTCTCCCTGCCTCGACGAGATATAAGGGCAGATCGCCGGGGACGTCGCCGCCACGTTCTGGATGAATCGCAGGAGTCGCCACGCATTTTCATCCAGAAGTGTAAAGTGCTGGAGCGACCCATCGATAGTCAAGCCCAAGATATCCGAGCCGGCCGGGCCGCTCCTGATGCACCCGTAACGTGGTCTGTTCTTAAATGTGCCCCACAAAGCTCTGGTATACCCCCGGGCGAACCGCCTGATGGATGCCTGGAGCTCCGCCCGGAATATCAGCTGCAACGGCCTCTCGTTTTCTGGAGGAGTCCATAGGCCGTGGACGCCACACATAGGGTCTGACAGCATAGTTATAGTGTTCAGCGACGAGCCGACCTCGATGGAATGCAGGCTACTTCGACAAGTGTCGTCTGTGTGGAGTTGGCTCATCTGTTCTCCTGGGAAGGAGGGCTCACTTTTATAGTCGAGGACCACGAGCGAATGCTTGGTGGTGAGGGCGTGGAGCCGTCCATTCACTACTTGCATCCACGAAGCCGGAGATGGCAGTTCGCACTGCCTCACAACCCTAAACTTGCCTTGTTCGATTATGTGGTATTGGATTAGATTCCCAACGCACAGGAACACGCCATGCTCGTCCGTAGCAACTGACCAGATAGGTCCGTCTCGGATTTTCCGATCAAATTTTGTCCAGAACCGTATTAGCCGGGGCATACCGGTCTGTGTCGACGTGTTATCGGGCTCGGCTGAAATGATCAGGAGAAGGCCTTCATTTGCTCTCCTCCTGAGAGCGAGGACAATCCAATCCCCATGGACCCCTCCGCACCTGTAAGACCATGTGGTGAGCGAGATGGCTCTCGTATCTAAGCTGCCCAGACCAGTAATATAGTCGACCTCATAGTACGTATAAGCCTCCTTCGACTTCCTCCTCTCGAGCGGTTGCGATAGATCACGCCCGGTCGTAGGGTCGAGGAAGTGTAGCGAGGGTCGCCCGTTCTTCGAAACAACGGTAATGAGGGCCTCTAGTTGCGGGGAGAACATAATCTTGACTGGCGTGCCCTCGACTGGAAAATATCTCGGAACCAACTTAGGCCGGCGTTGCAATTCGGTGATCATTATTCGCGCCCCCGAAACCATCACCAAAATCGATTCTCCGTATCCGATAAGTGGTCGACGCAATTCCGCTACGAAGTTGATCGGCGGCGAAGGCATGCTAGGGCGATCTCCGTCTGTTGGCCAAACGCGGTGTATCCCTTCAAACCGCGTTCCGAAAGAGTCGCTGGTATAGTTGGTCACAATTGCCAACTCGGCGTCACTGCAGACCAGGAGAGAATTCGGGTCCCCGATGGCGCTGCCAGATAGTACATGGGACGGCGACACGCTAAGCTTATCCCAACATATTTCGTGGCTCGTAGCATCTCCATCACCGAGTTGCGTAGTGATTACGTATCCGTCCCTTGTCCCGACAGCGATGATCGCCTTGCCGGACCGATCGCCAAGATGTACGATGCTTGTCAAAGCTCCAACGACCTCGCCCCCTGCGGGATCCCCAGGGTTGAAGCCAGCACCTGTCGTAGTTTGGGTAAGCATTCACCGATAGATGTCGGTTCACGGCGGAGGGGCATACCTGGCCGTAATTCTACCAATATAGGCGACGCAGGAACGTGTGGCGTGGATTTGGTGTGATATACTGCTAGGGTTGAGCTTTCGCCTTGCCAGAGACCGGCCAGGATTACATCGTTTCCAGCCAACTTATCTACAGCGAGACAGGTTACCTCGCCTCCGATATCAAATACTCGTTGGGAAGAAACTTGGAGGCCATCGATGCTTAACAGCGCGATCTTGAATTCCGAACTAGAGTATACTGCGAGCGCAATGGAGTCACCCCGAATGGCAGCATCGGCGACGACGGCGGTATGATTGTGTATAATGTCTCCTATTCGAAATTGAGAGCTATTATAGGTTAGGCCGAGTTGACCACCAAGAAGGTCGGCTTTGGTGGAGGAACTCACCAGGCAGTCGGTGTCACGATCGTAATATAAGTTGTTGTAACCTGCACCACCACGCCATCGGCCTCTTGGGCAGTTAACGTGGTTGAAGAGAGATCATAGGGTATAGCGTCGTGGTCCAGTTCTGAAACTTCATTCAGGTCGCCCGAGAGATGCAGAACGGACGACTCATTCGGAAGTGCTAGCAGCAAGAAGAAACCATCTTCCGCGGCTCCCATATAAGGGGATATGGCCCAGCACCGCCTGATGTTTGAGGAGTATGAAAGATCCAGGCCAATTCTAGCCTGTATGCCATATCGAAATTCGGTGATGGCACCCAATATGCCTCTGCCGCTACAGGCAAAAACCTTCCCTGGTTGCAGGGAACTGGGGTCTCTATTATCGGTGGCACACGACGTAGCGGAATTATCCTCGTGCTCCTCCCCCGTTGCGGCATTAGTTACGGCGAAGTCCACCGTCGGCGACCAATTTGGGATAGAGCCAATTCTCTGTGGTGACTGTCTCGCTTCAACCTGTCGATAGCTTCGAGGTTAACCAAGGCTGGTACGCAAGGGGCAGATCAGATCTCACATTCCAAACTGCTCCTGGGCCAGAGTCGCCGCCTGTAACCAGAACATCGCCAAAAGGATGAAAGAGTGATGCAAAAGCCGTGTCAATATTGCAATCCACAGAGCCCATGCTAACGCTAGTTTCGATCTCGGACTCGTCGCCACATTCGAGGAAGTTAATGAGACCATCTTCCCTTGCCAAGTAGATAACGTCCTTCTTGTCATGATACGGAGGGTGCCTTATGGGCCGTGTCCAAGCTGTCCACAACGGCTCTCTTGTCCCGTGGTGCAATTCCGTGTCATCTCGGTTGGCTAGGTCGAAGGGAACAAATTCGGGAGGGCCGCTCAAGATATCGGAGCAAGTCGCTGTGATTCTCTCGGTAATCATCAAAAAGGCGTTCCGGACCTTTAGAGGCACGACCAACAACGGCATGCGGTAATTCTCCTCAAGTCTATATCCATTTCTCTCTTCCAGGAAAACTTCCGTCATGTCAAGCCTACGATCCCATTCGTACACTGCTAGTCTCGAGACCTCAGGTTGGACAACAATGATCAGCAGGATTATCTGATATTCGTTCCCATGATGAGGGTGAAGGAATTCAATTTTGTGGATGATACCCTTGACTGCCCGAGCCACCTTCTCCTTGATTGGCTGCAAAGTGCCATCGCGAGAGTATTGTTCTCTCAGCGTTTCCATCGACTCGAGATGATACATGATGAAAAGGTTCTCGGAGCAAGCCAGGGCTAGGAACCTCGACGAAGGGTCAATAGCCATGTGGAACCCTGGGCAGACTAGTCGTTGTCCCGGCACATGCTGGGTCGAGGAAACGAAATCCCAGCTTCTCCGGGGCCCCTGGTGCAGGAACAGAAACACCAAGTCTCCCCGTTCGAGCACTAAAACTAGTAGCTGAGGGGGCAGTGTTCCATTGGGGTCCGGGAGAGCCGAGGTCGGCGAGCTCGAATCGGCCATTTCCGTATCACTGTCCTCAGTTTTTACATAGGTAGAGTCCCCGATATTCTCGCCACCTGCTCCGCGAGAATACCGGGGCGCACCCATGACGACAGCGTTCCGTATCCGGGATCCGAAGTCCTTCTCTCTCGTAACTTCGTGGAGCTGCCTATCGCGACCAAGCTCACATATCTGAACAGAGTGGTCCTGCCCGCATAGTAAAACACAACGGTAAGGTTAGCATCCAGTCAACTAACAGATTGTGGAGAATAAATGCGAAAAAAGGAAAAATAAAGCCGGCATATAACATATGCTTGTCTTAATCCTCCCTCTTTTTCCAACGTCCCCACCCCATATTTAGAGGAGAGGACCAACGAAGCATAGAAATAAACTCGTAGAATAGAATCGAGCTTCACGATGTGTCATCGACTACCAATAACATGGTGGTTCCCCGGCGCCCGTAGGGCTCCAGAGAGGCTAGGAGATTGGCAAAAGGCAAGGAAATAGAGTGAAACCTACCCCGATCAGGGCAACATCGTTGAAGCGGGGCGAGCGAAGCTGTACAGGTAAGACCCATCTTGTGACCGGGCTATCGACGATTGTCCTGGTGAGTAGGCCGTAAGTCGGGGGTTTCGGGGGTGTTTGTCTTCCTATCCTCCGACCCGCGGTGCCTTGATCCCTCATAACCTCTTCGGCGGTGATCGTGCGGGACACCCACTGATCGTTTTCTAGGATGTAAGTTTCCAGAGATGCCATCGTGATAATGCGTCACTACTTGGCTAGAGGCGCAGATTCAACCAGCTGGCGGGGGCCCAAAGATACGCCGTACGAAGATATAGAGCCAGGCGAGGACGGATATAGAGAGCGCGAACGGAGATGGGTTACGGCTGGCAGCGAAACTCGCCACAACTTCGTCGGCTGGCAACCGAGATGGAAGGCAACGGATATGATGGCACGACCGCACCTCAGACGGCTTAGACGGGCAGAAGCTTCAAAGGCCACCCGGAATAGGGAGGTGGCTTGGAGGCAGGCAGCGCGGTATGCCGAACAGCCTCGAGGTCCCTAACAGTTTGCGTTAGACACCAGATAGCACGAGAAGGGGACCCAGATGCCGTCGGCAAGGTTGTGTCCCAGAGATGAGGAAGAAGTGGATAGCTTGGGAACTCCGGCTCGACCAGGTCGACCGACTGCCTAAGCTAACTGCGCAGGTACCTGGCCTATCTACCGGGGCAGCGTATGGCTGGAGATCGATATGCATATAGTATTCGTCGGAAGCAGGTGGGCAGAGCAAATAGGACGACGGGCGGGCTTAAACGATCGGCTGAGTTGGCAGGTAGGTACTATAGTCTCGTACCGTCCCTAGAGGGTTGTCCATGGGCAGACTACGGGTGTGGGTTGAGGGCGGGAGGTAGCAGAGGCGGGAATGTTGGTTGGGAGTTGAAGCCTGATATTGTTAGCCTCGACGAACCGGCTAAGACGTAGTAGGTGGGTATAAGTTTAGGTAGGTTGACGTCCTGGTGCAGATCCACTGTGTCGTACCTCTTGCTAGAGGAGGAGGTAGGTACTTACGTACCTGACTTGATAACCCCGTATCGCGGGTACCTGTACCATGACTACAGGGTTGAGTAACATGGATACGTACCTTGGATACCTAACTCCAGTATCTACCTCCTAAGGTAGGTAGGTGAGCAGACTCGGGAATAATGGATTGACGGAGTACCTGAGGCACCGAGCAGAGGTACCTGATTCGGTACCCGAGGTATTGGGGGGGTTCAACCCCAGTCACAACCTTCCATGCAAATGCCGATTACCTATCTGATGTCGCCCTAACCCTACCTACCTCCTCTACTACGAGCACAGAGGTACCGGTTACCCAGGTACCTTTCCCAAGGTCGATATCCGGTGCCTGACGTACCTACCTATCTTAGGTACCTGTGAAGGATCAATTTTAACAATACACCCAATCTATAATACTCGGTAGTTGCCCTTCTAAAGGTGCCTGTCCTGTCCCGTCCAAAGGAGGTCCATCCGATCAGGCCAACCCGTTACGTACCTGGAAAACACCCTATTAGGTCAGGCGGGGTTGCTATAGCGTCAGGCGTTGGGTTCATCTTGGGCTCCATCTAGGCGTGTACGAAGATATACGAGGGTGGGAAAATATCTCGGAAGACCTGGACGAGACCGGATGCAGGCGAGACACCATAAATTTGGGTAAGTGGCTAGCTAACCTAGATGGAGGCCACCGATGTGTGTCCAGATGCCGTTACCTACATGATGTAGGCATTGTCTCGCCCCAACTCGAAGCCGTGTAACTTGCCGCAATATCGTCGAGGATGATAACAAGGCGCCCTCTGCAGACAGACAGAGAGGCGCGCCGAGAGAGAGACGACGATATGGACGTTTGTTGCCGTATCCGTACAGTACCCGACAAGGCAGCCGTGGAAAGCCTATAACTACCTACACCTGAATACAACCTAACTAAGCACGTGTCGGGCACCTTGACCTTGAAGCCCACGTGTAAGATAGGCCCTGGCATGAGGGGGATGTTACGACGTCTGGGTGGAAGGAAATATTGGGGTTTCTCGGTCAGCACTTCGTCGGCGCGATAGAGCGAAAAAAAATTAGCAGGCAAGAGGTTCCAAAGACACCAACGAGGAGATGATTCGATAGAACGCCGTAAGAACACACATAGGTTGATATTGCCCATGAAAGAAAGGCACGAGACCAGGAGACCTCGAGACTTTGACGATGTCTTTCCGCCCCCTCTCCCTATATGAGCGTACGAGGCAAGGTATGCCGCTATGCCCGCCCGCAGCTCACAAGGTGCATCAGGTAACCTAGCGGTAGACCGTGGGGGGTGCCCGTGCCCCCCCCCCCCGGCCCATGAATCCACTATAGAGAATACGATACCCCGGGCAGAAATGACATGCTTCTTGCAGATCTAGTCTAGCGCCACGGCTCCTCGGAACAAATCCTAAACACTGGTTTGGTAAAAGAACTGATAGATTACGAGTATAGGGAAGAATCATATCATATATGCAAAGCATAGGAGGTTAGCATAAGGTAGTGTATAATAGATTTTTCCAAGGAGCCTACTTCTTACAATTCGTCGAGCAGGCGGTTTACTATAACGGCAAGTAAGAGGGAACAGCTTGGACGTACCCGTCCGTATAAAACAGGTACCTACTTAAGTACCGTGACTAGGCGGGCACCTTGATGACGGTGATCAAGACCGGTCAGGAGGCTGCCAGTGGCCGGGGGGGTTGTTTCTGCTTCTGCGGTCAAGTGCCGGGTAACTTATAGGTACCTAGGTTGGTGCCTTAGGTACCTCCTACGCCCGTCCGTCCGCTGATCCCTCGTCCACAACTCGCCATCAATGCATACATGCATAGCTGTGTGTGCCCGTACGTTATATCAACCTTGCCGTGCCTCCTTACGTCGATACCGTTGTACCTACATACTTGTTCCCACGCAGTTGGTTCAAATCGCGGATCTGGCAATTTACGACAATTCTACGCCCTCTTCGACGAGCTTCCTCGTCAGACACCACTCTTCCCTCTTATACTGCCTCTCCCCGAAGCAAGGCGCCCGGCAATCTAGCAGATAGATTAATCCAAGTCCCAACCTCGACTTGCCACCTCCACCCCGGAGATTCTAGAATATCTATTTACGTACGCCAACGTTACACCGAGACGAGATCCTACCGGTACAGCGTATTGGCCCTTTCGAAGAGTGCTGGGCGTAGGCGAGAGGAGAACGGCCGACAAAAACAAAGAGTACATGCCCATCCGGAGTGTCTGGGACTGATGCCGCGGTAGGCCTCCTATTGATGGTATCGAATGCCGGTTGTAACCCTTGTCAGAGCAAATCCGGCGTACTCATTCGCTCGCGCCGGCGTTTGAGGCAACCCGACGTGCGGCACTAGGAAAGGGGAAAGAGAGAAAAAAAAAAAAGAAAGGGAAACGGGGAGGTCGAGACGATCTGGTTGCCCATGGCCTCGGAAGCTTACTCTGAAAAGAACGGGGACGAAAACGCAGACGCCAAAGGTGACGAAGGCGGTGCGGATCGTGATGCGCCCGCATTGGCTCGCAAGCAAATCCGCATCTCAGATGCATGCGAGCGGAGAGACATCGACGATCTCCAGGCCCTGGCTGTGTCGAGGGGCGGGTTTCTCTCCGACGCCATCCGACGCCAAGCATGTGAGTCTCTCGCCCGTCTCACCTCGTCCACTTGCGGTCGATTTCCGAGAGATCTTGAGGCTCTGACCGTTCCCCGACAGGGCCGATACTGCTGGGTTGCCCTGCTGGCGAGGGCGGGGAACAGGACGGCGGTTCCGATTCGTGGAGACACCTGCAGCGACATCGAGACGAGGACCAGGTCAAGCTGGACGTTGACCGAAGCTTCGTCTACTACCCAGATGGTACGAGATGCTTACCTTTTTTTTTCCCCCCTTTTCCGGCTGCTACCTTACCGCCTTCTGTGCTACCGAACTAAGCGCTAGTTAGACAATTCCCAGGCGCAGCTCGCCCTGAAAAAGTCGGAGCTCGCGGACCTCATCACCGAAGTCCTGCGGCGCCAGCCGTATCTATGCTACTTCCAGGGCTACCATGATATCTGTCAGGTGTTCCTCCTGGTGTTGCCGCCGGCGATCCGGGCCACGGTCGTAGCGCGCCTGTCGGCCCTGCGCGTCCGGGACTTCATGCTGCCGAACCTAGCCCCGGCGGTGACGCACCTACGGCTAATCCCAGATATCCTTGACGCGGTGGACCCGGCGCTATGCGCGCACCTGTCGCGGATCGAGCCGTACTTCGCGCTGTCGGACACGCTGACCATGTTCGCGCACAACGTGCAGCGGTACAGCGACATCGCGCGGGTGTTCGACGCGCTGCTGGCGCGCGAGCAGGCCTTCAGCTTATATGTGTTCGCGCAAATCGTGCTGCGCCGCCGCGCCGAGCTCCTCGCGCACGACGAGCCCGACATGCTGCACTTCGCGCTGTCCAAGCTGCCGCAGGACCTCGACTTCGAGGAGGTCATCGCCGACGCCGCGCGCCTCTACGACGCCCACCCGCCCGAGACGCTGCGCTCGTGGGGCGCCGTCTCGCGCGCCAGCGCCCTCAAGACGACCCGGCCGGCGCGCCGCTGCGCCGCCCAGAGCCTCGACGACGGCCGGGCCTATTTCGAGAGGCAGCTCCGCGAGCTCGAATGGGCCGAGAGGCGCCAGGCCGTCCTCAAGACTTTATGGTCGAACAAGGTGGTCGTGGCAGCCGTGATCATCGGCATCGGCGCCGTGTACTTCCGCAAGGCGCCGCTCTGGGCGAATATCGTTGCGTGGTGAGCGGCAGGCCGCTATTTTTTTTTTAACCTACCCAGTGACGATTCATAATAGGTTCAGCTTTACGAATAAAGATGATTAAATTGTACGGGGCTGGGGACAATGTTCGGGATTTATTAGCCCCACGTTCACGCTGTCCCTATCCTGCTCTTCGTACGCATGCGGTTGGCTCGGTGGTACCCACTCGGGTCGAGTCTACATATGGGTAGGCTAGCGAGGGAGAAACGGGGAGGCGTCCTGGGACGTACAAGATGTATACTAGACGCTGGAGGGCTAGCCGAGCCAGCCGGCCTGCTAGGAATTGCCCAAATCCTGCTATGCCGAAGCCGTCAGCCTACTTGACTCCCTCGACTTCGCCCGAGCACCGGGGTCTGTTGTGGAGACGTGGTGATGTGGAACCGCCCCCCCTTTTTAGGTGCGCCGCGACCAGGCGCTGCCAGCCCGAGCCCACTCTCCGGCGTACGTAGGTCCTCGCGTAGCTGGGCGATTGTAGGACGTCGCCGTCAATACAGGCTGCCTCCAAGGGAACGCAGTCGGGCGTGTCCGACTACCCAAGCGACTAGGCCAGCCGACCAGCTGAGCTACGGATGTATTTCTTCTATACCCCCCCGCAGGGTAGTCGACGCTCCCAGATCGTGGCCTCAGCAGTATACGCAAACCGCCACGGTATCTCCGTCCTACCACGGCCCTAGAATTATTCTTATTCTTGTTCTTATTCCTCTAGTCCACGTCAAGAGAGGGGGGAGGGGGAGGTTGCACACATTACATACGTACATAATTCATCCCTCTCCCCTTTCTCTTAGCGTACCTCCCGGCCCCACCCCTCCCCCCTCCCTCGTTCATCTCGCCGCGATACTCCTAGTAATCGACACGTAACTACCGTTCGCATCCGCACATCCGGTCCGCCTTTACCCCGGCTCAAAAAGCAAAAAAAAAGAGAAAAATCTCGCACCTCCTCTCACGCCGCCTCCTGGAACGCGGCCTTGAGCCCTTCGAAGTGCGCCTGCTCCTCGGCGGCGAGCCGGCCGCGCTGCGCGTCGCTGATGATGGTCAGGACGAGGCTATAGTTGTTGTAGAGGAAGCGCTCGCGCTTGCGGCGGTCGGCGCCGAAGGCAGCGCTGTAGCGGGTAAGGAATGCCTCCATCTCAGTGCGGAGGCGGCGTGCGGAGGCGGCGACGGGCTCGTCGTCGTCGCCGCCGCCGCCGGGGGCGCCGTCAGCGGCGGCGCCGCTCAGCGCGAGGATGCCGTGCAGCAGCTGGCCGAAGCGCTGGGTGGCGACGTGCGGCGCGGCCGACAGGCGACTCTGCTCGGCCTTGGAGGTGGGCGGCCGCGCGGGCAGGCTCGTCGTCAGCGCGCGCACTGACTCGCAGTGCGCGCTCATGATGAGCTGCAGCCGCGGCCACAGCAGCATCGCCGTCCCGTTGAGGTACCCGTCCGCCGTCGGGATCTTGCGCCGCTGCAGCTCGAACTGGAACCGCTGGTTGAGCCGCACCGCGAGCAGCACCCCGATCGCGTCGTACGTGTCGCCGACCAGCGACTTGGTCAGCGCGTGCCCGAGCTGGAACGTCGGCTCGAATATGTACGCGAAGTGCCGCGAGATCGCCGCGTAGCTCAGCGCCGGCGCGAAGAAGGACGCGAGGAACGTGTACTCGGCCGTCGCGTTGTCGACGAGCGCGAGGTTGAAGTTCCGGAAGGGCGCCTCGAGGTAGTGCGTGGACTGGTCCTCTTCGGCTAAGTAGGAAGAGAGCGCGGTTTGGTTGCTGGTGCGCAGGACGTCGATCCGCCGGCCCAGGTTAAAGGCATCGTGCGGTGGCCCTACGATTTTAGAACTCGATAGGACGGACCCCTTGCGGGAAGTATCCTCGCTGCCCAGCACATCTGTCTTATCCAAGGAGTACAGCTTGATTTCTTTTAAGGCGCTCTCGTAACGTGTGAACCGGTCGGCGTAGTACCATCTCATAGTATTCCTATAAGCCTGGCATATCTCGTCCGCCAGCGCGGCATGATGTTTGTGAAGGAAGGAGTATAAGTCTCTAAACTTGAGGAAATTTTGTTGTTGGATGACCTGCGCATTAATATGTGGCGATCGGAGGGCTTTGATCTGAGCGACGAGGAAGTCTCTTATTCGTTCGATAGCCTTGAGCACCAACTTTTCGAGTAGAGGACCGAGGTCTTCCAATCCTTTGCTACCCTGTGCGGTGGATGCATTTTTCTTGTACGCGGTAGCCCTCTTGTCGATCTCGGCGACGACCTTCACCCACGTCTCGTCGATCTGGCCGTCAGCAATTTTCGAGACTACCATCGGCGGAACGCTCATCTCCTCGACCACCGGCACTAAGCCCTTCTCCACCGCCTTGCGGTTTTCCAGCCGCACGTTGAGAACAGCCGACCGTGCCTGTAAGGTCTCGATGTCGGCAGACACTGCAGCGAGGTCATTTCGGAAGCTGGTCAGATTCGTCTCGACGGAGCTCAAGACCTCGTCGCAAGCTTGTATCGATCGATGGAGGTCCTCGAACTTGGTCTTCTCTAGCTCATCTGCCCAGGATAGCAAAACAGTAAGTATAGTAAGGAGAGAAAGCAGGGTGTCCATAACAAACAGGGGACGTACATTCCTCAGCCGACTGGGGTCCGTGTACAGCAAGGTCATCTGCCGGCGAGCCCTCGGACAAGGCTAACTCCCGAATAGATAAGCCGGCAAAGTCATACTCGAGCTCGAGATCCTCCGCCGATATCGAGATAACCGACTTGCTGGCCGATTCGGTGCCGGATGCTGCATTCTGGCCGTCGTCTCCGAGAAGTTTATTGAGAATCTGCGAAGGCTCAGGCCCAGCATAGGCCGTCTTTGATTCCTTTAGCGCAGAGCCATTGGCCTTCCGAGAAGATGCCAGAAAAGAGGAGGAAGACTCGGTCGAGGCCAAAGAAAGCGACGACGACCTCGGATTCAGGCCGGGGCGTTGCTGGGAGGTGATATAGGGGCCGAGGCCGCTCGGGGTTCTTCGAGGTGCGGGAGAGTAGGATCGACTACCCGGCGGCGAGGGGGCTGGAGACGCGGACTGACCGGCAAGTCGATCGAGCCACATGTTCTCTGGAGGTGTATGCGAAGGCAAAGGGGGGAAGGTCGGGGCTATGAGTTTGGTCGAGGCATGGCTTGGCCGGGTTACGTTCGCGAGCGGGCGGCACCAGGACGATCGATCGAGAGAGAAGGGATCTAGGGAGGCAAGCCGCTGGGTATTGGCACGGAGCCGAGCGGAAGACCGTTCGGGGGGTGTCGGGGTGTCGGGGTGTCGGGGTGTCCGGGGGGTGTCAGGGCGTCTGGTTGTTGCGATAATCAGCCAAGAGACAGCTTATGTGGTTACTTTGGTTAGTTGACAACTTCCTAGACAGCAGACAAGGCCGTGCGACAGCCTCTCCCGAGTCCACGGGGCAGAGGACGCTGATTGGCCAGGGGAGCTAGTCGCAGGTGATCCCAACGGGCAGATACCATGTCGGGTTTAGCGTTGTTCCGGAGTTGATTTACTCTAGGGATGTGGACCAGGTTCACTTCCCTTTCCGAAACAAGCGGGGCATGGGAGCCGGGCCACGGTCGCGTCTTCCAGGTACGTGTGCAGGGTGAGGCATGTGCGCTGGATACGTGCCATTTTCAGGTACCTGTGGTAAGTGATGCTCCCACATCCCACAGGCAGATCTTGACAAAGCACGACGAAGAGAAGATCAGATGAGAACACGAAACCCGGCGGGCGCTGGCAGACGACATCCGGTGGTTCGCGCGATACTCAGAGCAGTTCTGATATGCCCACTCGGAGCGTTTACATACCTACATTCAAACAGCACACCTCCTTATAGGCACCTACCTACCTATATACCGAGGTGTAGGTACCCACCTATGTACCTACAGGTATGTGCTGTAGGGCTAGTGTCGTTGCAGGTGGTCCAGCACAGATACAAAATATGCACATACCTAGGTAGGTAGATACCTGCCTCAATCATATACGTGTGCATATGCGTAGGTACCCAGGCGTCTTTCCCATGCCACCATGGCGGAGAAGCAGAAGCGCGGGTCTGGCGAGAGCTGCCGATGTCTCTGTTCCGCCCTCAGCTGTAGGAAGATTTGGCAGGGAAGTCTATTGGGCGCCGAGGTGAGTCGAACTACCTAGACCAGGTCTCTGCGAGAAGAGACCCCTAGCAGCATTAACTGGGCCCACTACCAGCGCCGAAAGTATACTATAGGTACTTACGGGATGTGGGATTATGTGGGATATATTATACAACGGAGCAGCGTGTTCGGGGTTGTCGACTATAGCTTCTAGCGGAGACGGGGTACCTACACCGCATCCAGCCCTACCTACCTACCTAGGTACCCGTAGGCACCTGTAGTACCTGCGCGCGCCATAACCTGCACAGAGCACAGAGGGGGGTTGCCTTCTGGGCCCTGCCTCTCCTCCTCCTCCTCTACCTGCCTGCCTATACATGACGTACTGCAGAGGTACTGCGACCACAGCGCAAGGAGGTTTACGTATGCATGGACCTTACTATCTTAGGTACCTACAGAGGACGCCCACAAAATCCCTGTTCGGGTGTCCGCTAGCGCTCATCGGGAAGGGCAGCAGTTGGGCGGGAAGATGGAAAGTATGAGCAGAAGACGAGCGAGAGCGAGCGAAAAAAAAATTATTCAAATTGCCCAGGGCTTCCAGCCTACAACAACTTTACCGCAGTGCCAGGCTCGAACGGGCCAATCAGGCGTGCGCTAAACTGTCAGGTGTGCCCAATTTACAGTTGAAGAAAAGAATTCCCGGCCTTTTCCCGTTGAACATCCCGTCCATTCATATTTATTTTTTTCCCCTCCTCTCTACGACCTCTCCCATCTTCCCTCCTCCCTCGCAAATAACGACCACCAGTTCTCGAGCCTCGCTAACCAACTGCTGGCCCGTCAGCCCATCCCGCTTCCTTGCCCGCATCGCCTTCCCGATACTTTCATTTCTTCAGCTAATCTTTCAACATGGCGGACGAGGTGAGTCCCAGTTCATCATCGCCCCCAGCACCGCTCGCAATCTCCCCGTGCCATTCTTCCCATCCTTGCAACTCCCCATGAGCCACCCCGCATTCCGCATCGAGCACGCATCGCTGCTATGCCCCGCGGTGCCTTCGATGTCGCCGGGCGCAGTCACCGGCCGCACACACGTTCTATTTTCCCCCTACCCATTTGCATTTCCGTTCCCACCATTCTGCCACCGTACCTTTCGTGCGCTCCGGCGTCAAGACGAGGAATCCCCAGCGGGCTGCGCGGCCTGACCATGACGCTGACTCCCTTGCTCTCTCCAGTTTGAGGTCGACAACCAGGGCGACGCTGGCGCGTCCAAGACCTTCCCGATGCAGTGCTCGGCCCTGCGCAAGAACGGTCACGTCGTCATCAAGGGCCGCCCTTGCAAGATCGTCGACATGTCCACCTCCAAGACCGGCAAGCACGGTCACGCCAAGGTCCATCTTGTCGGCATTGACATCTTCACCGGCAAGAAGCTCGAAGATCTCTGCCCCTCCACCCACAACATGGACGTCCCGGTTGTCTCGCGTGTCCAGTACACCTTGGTAAGTAAAGGGCCGGACAGCTCTGCAACCCGTGCCGGCTCCGTCGTGCTAACCCCTTCGCCTTTTAGTCCCATGTCACCGGTGACGGCTTCCTCGTCCTCTACGACGAGGAGAGCAGGGAGAAGGGGGACATCAAGAACCCCGAGGGTGAACTCGGCGAGAAGCTCCTGGCTGCCGAAGACAGCGGAGCTCAGTACCGTGAGTTTTCGCTACTTCGATGAACAGGTTTCGGGACAGGGTTAACAGACAACGCAGTCGTCACCGTTCTAGCCGCGATGGGCGAGGAGGCGGCCGTCAAGGCTGACGAGATCAGCCAGAAGGATTAGGCGCCCGCTCGGGAAATAGCCTTGGACTTACGCCGACGATGCCAATAGATTGGACCGTCGGCCCACGGCCTCTCTCGACCAAGACGTGGCCTGCGGGGAATTGCTCAGGCCAGGGGCCCCAGCTGTTTGGCTCCTTCCTGGAGGCATGTTCGTGATCGATTCGCTACGGATATGTACATGAGCGTGCTATCCACGATGGGGCCAAGCATCTAGCGCAGCAATGATACGAATTACGTACACATCCGGCCCCATATTCTCTAAGGGTCGGAGCAGGGGGGGAGGGTGATTGTGGAGGGATCTCGGCAAACGGATTGTCTCTTTATTGGCGCTTAACTTATCCTCCTACAGAATCGACGAGATGACCCGTTTCCCTCTCAGATCCCCGTGATATCTGTGATAGATCGCCACCTGTTAAATATTTCCACTTAAGAATTACAACCGGTGGCCCCATCGGATTTTCCTCGCATACAATTAGATATCTTACCTAGCAAAGCCGTGGCAACAGATCGGTCGAGAAAGGTAGGTATATACTTTTGGGTCAACACACACACGCTTAATCTCATAGTGACTATTTAAACACGCATGTAACCATCTTTCTACTAATATTGGTTCTGTAGAGAATAGAGTGGGTCTCACACATGCTACTTCGGATTTTCTCAATTTACACTACCGACCTAAGTTGAGAGAGAGAGAGAGAGATAAAGGGGGGAGGGGGGAGGCAAGCAAAAAAAAATCGATATACCTATCTGATTTCTAGTACTCAAGAAATCGTTATCGTAATCGATTATTTACCTGACGTGTGTAGATGCGACGCATAATAATGGGACCACCTTAGATACGTACCTATACCTCGGAGCTGCTAGAACTACCCCGTTAAATACTTACCTAACTCATCTATCTACACGTATAGCCCCGACACCCGGGCGCATTTTCAATATAACGAAATAGCAACAACTCCTATCCTCAGTCTTACCACGACGTCGCAGGCCTATTATCTGAGCTGTCTAGCGCTATCTCCCCGCTCTTTCGTTCCCCGCGCCTCCGCCTCATCCACACACATGCCGTGACTGTGTAGGTAAGTATAAAGGGGAAAGACAAGGGGGGTAAGGCGGGGGAGCGACCAGAGTCTCTTCGAGATGGCACCGACTATGTTCCACCGCTTCCACGGCAGGGAGCGGTGCGATGAGTGCGGTGCGCGGCAGTGGTACGCGGAGGACACGCTTCGGTACTGCCGAAATGGGCACCGGCTCGAGGGCTTTGCCGAGCACGTCGAAGATGAAGACGCATTTAGCACACGAGGGAAGGTGTCGCGCCGCCAACGAGAGCCCCGCAGCAATCGAGACCACCCCGCCGTCAAGCTCACCGGCGACGACGCCCGGGAGCTCTATCTCGAGGCCCTGCAGTTCGTCCTCATGAAGCTCGTGCGTGGGCTCCTAGAACGAGGGAGCTTCCCCGCCGACTACGAGGCCATCGTGCGCGCGCTCTGGACTCTCAGAGTGAGGGACCTGCCCCTGAGGGAAGTTGACGATAGTACTAGGGGGGCGGAGGCGGCCAGGAGACGCCGCTCTAGAAGCGCCTCGTCGGCAGCTAGCTTCTCCAGCGAGTTAGGGGCCGACGACGGTTCCGTCTTTTCAGACACTACAACAGCCTCCTGGGCCCCGGACGCCAGACGGCGGTGGAAGCTGCCGAGGCTCATCGACGCGCTGGCGCTATGCTACTTGGGAGGCCTGGTGATGCGGCTACCGATAACGACGGCGGACTTCTGCAACTGGGTACAGAGGGGGGAGTTGGATTATCTCGCGGTGGTAAGCTTCCACTTTGCTCTCGGGCAAGCTAAGTAGCCGGCTATATTTATGCCTGCGGGCGCATTATGTTACCTTAACTGTCTTTGAGCTACTCCCTCTCTGTATGGTTTGAAACAGGCTAACACGAGGTCATCTACCTATATTCGCTGGTTTGAAGATCAATAGCATCCCTCACAACGTCCGGCAACGGCTCCCCGCAGAGTACCATCGCGCGCTACAAGTCAGGGACCACATCCCGCTAGGGCACCTGCAGGCTGCTGTGCAGGGCCTCGTGATAGCGTTCAAGATCGGTGCGGACGTGGTGTTTCCACCCCTCAACTATGTGCCCATCCTCGTTCGGTTCATAACCGAGCTGACTCTGCCTGGTAAGCGCCACTTTTCTCCCCTTCTCTTGTGTCTTTATCCCTCTCGTCTCCGAAATGAGTCGATGCGCAACGGAATACCCGGCTGCCTTGGCTAAAATCGATAGCGGAAATATACTCTACCGCTAAGTGCATCGCCGCGATTCTAAAGACGGATTACTCGTACCCCACGAGAAAGGGGATACGAAAGATGAGTAACCCCGAGGTGCTCCTGATATCCCTAGTTGTCGTATCCGCGAAACTTCTCTACTCACTCGATGGCGTTGAGCGACCTCCAAGGAACCACCATGATCCCCGCGTCGTAAAGGTAGACTGGGCGAAGTGGCAGGAGGCGATGCGGGACGATGTGGGCAAGACCGCTTCGGGCTTGCCTCGCGGTGAAGAATATAAGGTCACGTCTGAGGATGTACTTACCATGGAGGCGGAGAAATTAGACGACTTCATGGACTGGTTTGAGAAGATGTGGATAAGCGACAGGGATCCGAAAAGTAGGTCATACCATCTCCAACTTCTTCACACACTGGACCAAGCAGTGCTAACTACTAGCATAGCTGCTGAGGGGATCCGAGAGCTCTTCGAGACACCGAAACGCCCACCCGATCCAGCAGACCTAAACGAGAGTCCACAGCAGGATAATGGGAGTGACATTGAGCGCGCAAAGAGGAGGTTTGAGGTCCTGAATAACTCCATGGTGATGGTTGAGCCGGTACCCGACGATGATCAAGACGGCAGAGGAGGCAATGAGAGAAGCCGAGTACTCGGCTTGTGTCCGGTCTGGCGCAGCCAGGAGGACCTCCCAGGTGCGGCGCGGGAGCTGTATGAGAGAGCCGCGAGTCTCGTAGCCATAAAATTAGATACCCTGATACGCATGTCAGTGCACATCGAGAGACAGTTGGAGTTGTGGTGTATGGAACGCGCGAGACAGCAACGAGGCAAGGGCAAGGGTAAGGCGACTCGCACAGGTGAAAATGAGGATTCGGATAACAGCGGAGGGCATTCGGATTTGCTTAGCGAGGATTAGTGAGATACCCATGGGATAGATAATAATCAGAATTTGCCCATTGATAGGCGGCTGCTTGTATATACCCAACGGCAGAGAGCCTTCTTCAAACCAAGTTAAGGTCACGATGCGATAAAGGGGAAAATACCTGTGAAATCGGCCTCGATATCTACACAGATACATCTGAGAAAATGACGTAGGGCTGGTAAGGGATAGCTAAGGAAATTCCGCTTGGAGAGACTTCCGGGAGCAGCTGTCAACGGCTGCCAAGTACGCACACATTTCGCGGACCACTAGTCTTTTATTTCGTTTTTGAAGGAAGCTGTCACGTGGCCTACGGACCCACTAGGGCTTTTGTGTGGAATTTCATCAACCCCCGCGTAATTTCAAAGACCGCAACCTCTACCCCGATCTCTCTCACAGAACAACCACAAATCCTCACGACAGGCCGCCAAGAGTAAGTCAACATCCCTCCCGAAGTAGCCGTATTTTCGCTTCATGCTGACGATACATTAGTGCAGATGTAAGCTCCATTCCACGGCCCATCTCCCCATCGAAATCGCCAAAAATCAATGCCGAGCGCGCACCGATTGCGCCGCGCGAACCCGGTCGAGATGTGGCAAAAGGATGAAATGAGTTGATTGACTGACATAACCCGGCGTGGCAACAGCTTCGTGAAGACCCTTACGGGCAAGACTATCACCCTCGAGGTGGAGTCTTCGGACACGATCGACAACGTCAAATCCAAGATCCAAGATAAGGAGGGCATCCCTCCCGACCAGCAGCGCCTGATCTTCGCCGGCAAGCAGCTTGAGGACGGCCGGACCCTCTCCGACTACAACATCCAGAAGGAGAGCACCCTCCACCTCGTCCTCCGTCTGCGCGGCGGCATCATCGAGCCCTCGCTCAAGGCCCTCGCCTCCAAGTTCAACTGCGACAAGATGATCTGCCGCAAGTGCTACGTGAGTTGGCTTCCCGTCCTGTCGCAGCGCTCGCTCGCGCAAACGATCTAGGAATGACATGTACACGGGGGTGCTAACCCGGAGGATGATATGTAGGCCCGCCTCCCTCCGCGTGCCACCAACTGCCGCAAGCGCAAGTGCGGCCACACCAACCAGCTTCGGCCCAAGAAGAAGCTGAAATAGACGATTCCTCCAGCACTATTCCATCGATTCGGCGTCTTGGTTTGGGGCATCGCGAGCACGCTCGGGTGCGCAGGGGAAGGGAAACGAACATGATTCAGACCACTATGATGTCTGGTCGCTTATGGTTCTTCTTGACCTTTTCTTTGCGGACATAGCATACTCTTATGTAGTTCGGTAGCAATCAAGATGCGATGCATATGAATTGAATATCTTGGAGTTCTTGTGGAAAACTCGCTTCGGCGATTACCTATGATTTATGCAATTTGTATGGCTGATACGCAAGCAGTATTAGCTCAATCCATGTTTGAGGAACTCGATATATTTGAGCTCGCGAGCCACCGCGGGATGCCTCTAATGGACTCGCTTCATGGCTGACCGTGGCGTTGATAGATGTCTTCTTCCTCTTCTGAGCCCCCGCGTGGCCCCCCTTCCCGCTGTAGTCGCTCTGAGCGACCTGCGCCCGCCTCCCCGACTCCTGACCGAGGAGAGCAGTAGTGCCAGCAGCATCGCTGCTGAGCAGGCCCGCGTGAGGCTGACCTTGCTTCTCTTGTTTCTCCTTCCGCCTGGCTGCTTGTTAACTGGTTTCCTTCAGTAGCCCACCGCTCGCGCCGCATCTGGCGCCGCTACCACCCCTCACAACCTTTTCACCCAGCGACCAGCCGTTAAAACTGTGATACAGTCGCGTTTCACAGCCTTCCGTACGGTGATCCATAACGTACGTTTCTGTTTTCTGGGCGGGCGGGCGGCTGGCCGGTATGTCGCGTGGGAGACCCAGAGCAAGGATTTCTGGGACGTCGCCCATCTGCAGTCCCACGCCACCCCTCTCGCCCGATGCATCCAGGCTTCCCGGCGCAAGCCGCTTTTCATGGAGATCAACAACGGCGGGCCGGTCGGCGAGTACTTCCGCCGGTTGGCGACGGATCCCCGGTGCGTTACTGGTTTATTCGTTCAACTTTACGGGGTACCCAAGGAGGTACCGTGTCAATATTGCGAGCGCCGGCTGGCCACCTCCGACTCCGCCAAGTACGCCGGGATGTGGCCCTTTTTCTCCTGTCGCTCCCTAGCGCCCGATCGTATCTTTAGGCACTCCTATGGTATCTGCCTCTTCTCAATCGACGGGACCCGCTGTAAATTCCGTAACGAGCGGTTCGCCTATCTGCGGGCGAAGGCAGATCGAATGAAACAGTAAGAGTGAAACTGGGACCACTGGTATCTGAGGAACTGAAGCTGAAGATCGCATACGGGTTGTATACCTACACGGAGTTGGCAGCAACTTCAGTGCTGGATATGCCAGCCACGAATCTCTAGGTATCAATACCGTGTCAGGCTAAGGCCCGGCACCCTCCCGTGGAATAGGTCCAAGCGGAAAAGCTGGATGCCTCCTCAGAAGTACTGGCTCGACCGCCTAATCTAAGAAGGCGTCAGACCTGGGTGATTCGAATCTACTAAGGTAGCCAATGGACGCTTATCCGACTGGGCCGCCCAGCCAGTATTGATACCAAAGGATAAGGATTGTACGTAGGCATATAAGGGCTGATTCCTAGGTAACAGCATCCTAAATTGATATTGGCTCGATATCGTTCACGATAGCTTCTACTGTGGCTCAACCTAAGCCCCAGCTGTAGCTGTGAATACCTGCGCTTTTCCGCCCTTGTGCGCGACGAGGCCCGTGTCTTAAATAACGAACGCTCCTCGACGCATAAGCTTATCTCGGCGATCAACTGCGATGGTTTCCCACCAAGTGTAGTTTGTTATCGCGTCGGCCTGCAGTTCGTACCTAGACGAAGTCATCAGTTAAGAAGGCTAGACTACGTATCAATACAGGTCCTTTTGGGCGGTCTCCAGCCTGCTTAGGCAAGAATGATTATGTAATAGAGATGCGCCCCCGCTTCGCTCCGTGTCCTCAAATGCAGCTCGCCTGCCTTTCAGTTGGTATGGCTAGAAAGCTACGTAGGTACATCCCGCTTGGGTCTCATTTGGCTTGCGTCCTCACGCCTTCGTCTCTCTTTACCTACCTACCTAGGCACCATATCGCGAAGGCAGACTCCAACAACGAATCGAGGTAACCATCCACCCACCACCTCGCCTCTCCAAATTGCGACCCGCGCGAGTTGCATGCCCCTAGCATTCGAGACGACAACCGGCCTACCTTTCACCCGACGGTACGGTTGCGCGCTGCGTACGTTCGGACCACCGCGATCGTTTGCGCCTGCGATATTGTTTGCAAAAGGAGGGGAGGGAAAAGAACAGACTTGTCTGCTGCCCAGGAGAGGTCCTCTGGAGGGGCTAGAAAGGGGGAGCGCACTTGCGAGCGTGAAGGGAGAAGACCAGAGAGGGAGAGAAGATGTCGAACGCGGGCTACGATGCCGTCGTGGACATCGACGATGAGGTATGATCTCCCCATTGCCGTCTTCTACTGGCCATCCCGAAATCTACCGCAGCGAGGCATCCGTAGCATAGCATGCTGCGGCGTAACAACCTCGCTAGCTATTTGCCTTGCGGCTCTAGACCGGAGACCAAGGACGGGATACGCCTACAAAACACAGACAGTCGGCGAGTCAGGCAAACTAACAACTCCCGCGCGCAGGGCGACCTCGGACACACGGACCTCCAGGAGGACCTCGAATTCCACAACTCCAACTTCAGCGAGACCCAGGGCCTGACTGGCAGCAGCCGTAAGGGAGGGGCTGGCGGCGGCAGCGGTGGCAGCGGGCTTCCACCCCCGGCCACCGCGGGGTCGGGAGGCGGCGGCGGCGGCGGCTCGTCCAAGCGATACCTGTGGACGCTGAGCTTCTACGCGCAATTCTTCGACGTCGATACGTCGTCGGTGCTGGCGCGGTGCTGGGCCGCGCTGTACCCGCGCGCCAACTTCCTCGACGTGCTCGAGGGCAACCCGGACCTGTACGGCCCTTTCTGGATCGCCACCACCGTCGTGCTCATCCTCTTCCTCGGCGGCACCATCAGCCAGTACCTCGCCAGTACGGGCCAGGGCCCATTCGCGTACGACTTCGGATTGCTCAGCGGTATGTTGTTTCCTCCTTTTTTGCAGTGCAGAAGAACGCTCTACTATGGGGGCTATATCCGCCGCTCCTAGCAGCACTGACGCGAGTGTTTCTCCTACAGGTGCCGCCGGCCTCATCTACGGGTACACGTTGGTCATCCCGGTGGCGCTGTTCGGTGCGCTGCGATACTTCGGGTCGGAGTCGGCGAACCTGCTCGAGTGCTGGGCGCTGTACGGGTACGCAAACCTGATCTGGGTGCCGGTGGCGATGATCAGCTGGTCGCCCGTCGTGGTCCTCAACTGGATCGCCGTCGGCCTCGGGTTCGGCCTCTCTGCCGCCTTCCTGCTGCGCAACCTATACCCCGTGCTCAGCGCGACCGACCGCCAGACCAGCAAGGTGCTGATCGTTGTGGTCGTCGCCCTCCACGCCGGCCTCTCCTTCGCCATCAAGATCCTATTCTTTGCCGCCGGCAGCCCCGTCGCCACGCCGGCTCCCGGAGGAGGAGACCCTGTCGACCAGCCACCCCCGGCCGATGGTGGCAATGGCGCGGCTGCGCTGAGGGCTTTCTTGTTCTAAGTATGAGAGGCAGTTATGGAGGGGCGGGGGGGAACAAAAACCAACGGTGTGCTTGTCAGGCTATGCGAGAGCCGGGGAAGGAAGTGAATAAGAAAGGGATCATGGTCGGAACTGTGTCTAAGCTGAAGCTGTGGGGGATTTTACCCTGCTTCCTCCCCTTTTTTGGTCCGGTTTCCCGACGCCTGCCTAGGTTCTAGGATCTCTCGCTCAACGTGACGCGACGCGACACCACGCACTTTTTTGATAAAAGAAAAGAATGAAGTTCTATGTGCACTATTCTACCTCTCGAGTTAATTGGTCGGCCGATCGGCTAGGTAGAGCTGACGTCGACTTCTCTGTACTATGTAGGGGCCGCCAATGGGACGACGGACGTCAAACCACCTACTGGGTTCCTCTGTGTCTCGTCTTCCTGCCTGCATGCCGTCCCTACCGCACGCTGCTGAAAGAGGCGGGGGGGTCGCGAGTGGCGAGACTACGTGGATGAATGACGCTCTGGGGAGTGGTGTGCGGGTTCCCTGCTATGCCGCCGCTTGCTTCTAGGCTTCTCTACTGTCTCGAGTCCGCGCGCGTGTAGCTAAGCAGCGTTGTTGCTGCCCAGGAGCAGCAGAGGGCTGGGAGGAGGAGGAAGGGTATATTGATGGCTAAGTTCGTACCACTGGTGGTCGACGAACCGATCACAATAGATCCTGAGGAAGCAGGAAAGTTGGGGTTTTCGAGTGACTTATTCTCGTAAGCACCAACCCGTCTATGTAGCTTATCCCACAACCTGCCCCCGTGTACCATCGTTATCACGGACCTCGTGCCTCTTCTTCCTCTCTACTCCTCCAAGACTCCGCCTCTCCACCCCGTAGCACCCCCTTTCCCCCCGGCGTTGTCCTACCCGCTCTACCTCCCCTCAGCAAGAGCACCCGAGCGCGACAGCCTCGCGAGTCGAGCCAAAATAGCGCGCTCGGGAAAAGCGAAGGAAAAACCGCCTCATCTCACCGCTCCACGGCACCCCCGCGCGCAGCCCACTCGTTCCAGCTGCCGGGGTACTCGGCGACGCGGGGGAAGCCGGCCTCGCGGGCGATCTGGGCGGCGGCGCGGGAGCGGACGCCGGCCTTGCAGTAGAAGACGAGCTCTGGCGGGTCCGCGTCTGCATCCGCATCTGCATCTGCGGAGGCGGGGGCGGAGGCGGGCGCGGGCGCAGACGGCCGCTCGAACCCGAACCGGTCCCGGAACTCGGCCGCCGACACGTGCCAGCTGTCCGGCGCGCTGCCCACCGGCACGTTCAGCGCGCCCGGGATGCGGCCCGTCTGCGCCAGCTCGTCCGGCTCCCGCACGTCGATGAGTACCGCGCGCGCGCCCCCCTCGCCGCCGCTGCCGGACTGCGTGAGGGCCTGGACCTGTGCGTTTGGGTTAGCGTGGGGGGTTGGGGGGGAGGGAAAGGGAGGGGAAGGGGGGCAGGCAAACCTCCTCAAACGTCCACGTCTTGCCCGCGCCCGGAGGGTCTCCCGCCGAGGACGACGACGAGCGCCGGACCCCAGGCGCCGGCGCTGGCGCCGCGATGGCGCTTAGCTGCACCGTTCGCGGCGTCGTGGTCGCCGCGGCTAGTCTGTGGATGGGCCCTGGCGCGCTCGCGCGGTTGTTGCTGCGGCTGCTGCGGCTGCTGCGGCTGCTGCTGCTGAGGGCGGCGGCGATGCGCACCACGCGCACGGCTCGCGGCGCGGCGGCCCTGCGCACGGCGCTCGCGAGCAGCGCGGGGCTGGGTCCCCTCGCCGCGATCGTCGCCATGTTCTGTCGGTCGGTTTTGGCCTGTGTGCTCGCGTCGGGTCTAGGGGTGCGGGGGCTCGCGGGGCTCGTCGATCAAGCGGTCGAGAAACGACGGGGGCGGCAGCTGGGTAGGCGTGTATAGGCGCGGCAGGAGAATTCGATCCGTAGCTCCGTGCGTCTCGCGCCGTCGTCGCAGGTGAGGGAAGAGACAGAGACTAAAAAAAAAAACCACGCGCGGCAGAGCTCCGAGACGCAACGCTAAACCTCGTCCCAATGATGTCACGACCGGGCCTCGGAGCTCGAGGTTGCTGGGGTACATGGGTACGTGGGCCTGGCGGGTAGTGTCGGGTGGCCATTCCATCTATCGCTTACTCATCATCACCCATCGCCCCCAAAGACAGCCAGACAGGTAGCACCATAGAGAGTCCTAGGGATGGAAAAAAAATCACGTCTCGTCCATGCAACCAACCAACTCACTCACCTTCTTCAACCTTCATTCAACACTATCGTCTATAGCGGAGCCTACGCGGGCCTGAAGACAGACGGCCTAAGCTCTCGTTAATATATCTGGTCTATTCCATATGTTCTACGGATACTCTCGGTACTATCGCTAGTCCGTGACAACATCCTCAACCATTAGCCTATTCGTACAAGGCTCGCATTACTATTAGTATTCTATTGTACTTCGTGTCTCTCGTTATCGAACCTCCGCTCCGCAAAACCTGATATACAAGCGAGCGGCCCAAGCGCGGCCCAGCCTCGCCCGCTGGAAGAACACCCAAAAATCCCGACCCCTCGTCGGGCCTTTTACCACTGCCTCTCTGTGAACGTTAACGGGCAGTCATCCTAGAGCGCAATTAGTTTCGCGATGCCTACGAGCCGAGCGCGGAGGTGTGACATACCTTGGGGAATATGGTGGCGAACACCTTGATCTTCTCCGAATCCGGCGTCGCGTGATGCTTCCAGTCCAGTTGGACCGACGCCTTCCCGATCATGAGCGCCAAGTTCATCTGGGCGTAGTGCTGACCGAGACAGTAGTGCGGACCCGTGCCGAAGACGAGATAGTTCTTGGCGCCCTTCTCCTCCGCATCTCCGCTATAGTACCGCTCCGGATCGAACTCGTCCGGGTTCTTATACACGTCGGGGTCGCGCAGGGCCATGTACGTCGTCGGGATCACCATGGCACCCTTCGGGACGGTATACGAGTCGGTGACGGGGAACGCCTTCTTCGTCTTATAAGGGACCATGAGGACCGGCGGTCGCCATCGCAGCAGCTCCCTGACCACGGCGCGCGTGTACGTCATCGACTCGAGCTGGTCCAGGTTCACGGGGGCGTTGGGGTCGCCGTTGCGCGCCCGGTAGTTCTCCTCTCGCAGCCGGTCCAGCACGTCGGGTCGCTGGGCCAGGACCTGGAACATGTTGGTAGCGGCGCTCGACGTGGCATCCTGCGAGGCGAAGAGGAAGGTGAATAGCGTCCGGGAAATCTCCATATCGGTGAAGTCACGCAGCAGAGGGGACGGCTTGACCAGGCCCTCGGTCGAGAGACCCTTCTCGGTGGCCTCGACCCACCGCCTCGAGTCGATCATATCCTTGATCCAAGCATCCATGATGCAGGTGATGTCGCCACCGGCAGCCATGCGGGCCTTGGACTTGGCGGCGCATTTGGCGAGCTCGTCCATGACCATAACCGCGGCTCTCTTGCCGTACCAAGTTCGGGTGTAGGGGATGATGATGGGGAAGTTGACGAGGTCGAGGGCGGCGGTGACGAGGTAGTAGTCGTCAGCGATCTTCTTGACGGCGGCATCCGACATGTAGTATCCGGCGAAGGTACGAAGCGAGACGGCGCACATGAGCTCGCGGAACTCGTGCATGAACGGGACGGGCTTCCCTCCGGCATCCTGGGTGATCTTGAGGAACCGAGCGAAGTACTGCTTGTAGATGGCCTCCTGGCCGGGCAGGTAGCAGTCGAGAGCCCGGCGGGTGAAGAGGCCGTTCAGGCCCTTGCGGTAATCGACGTGGGCCTTGCCGTCCAAGAACACCCAGCTATCCTCTCCGAGGATCTTGGTGGCGATGTCGACGACGCACGGCTTTACGTAGGTCGGGGAGTTGAAGACCTTGCGAGCCAAGTCGCGGGTAGAGGCGATGACGACGAATCTGGCAAAGGCGGCGGTTAGCGACGTCGAGCAGAGAACGATCCCGGGGCGTCTGGCTTACTTGTGAAAGATGGACACGCAGCTTAGGGGCCCGCTCTTCCACTTTTCCAAGTACTCCTCAAACTTGGGATCTAGCGACTCGATGAAAGGGCCCATGAAGGGAAGCTTGAACGAGGGCCCAACGATGGAACCCTTCTGTACAAAGTAGCTGACTACATTTCACGCCTCGTTAGCGGGCGTGCTCCCGGGAAAGCGACGCGAGGACCTTGGTGCGAGCGAGCCAAGACGTACTTTGGTCGTACGCAACGGCGAGAGCGAGCAGAGTAAACAGCCAGGTCACGACGCTCGTGCTCGCGATGGTCTCGAGGATGAAGTCGGCCTGAGGCGGCAGGCTGCCGGCCGGGAGCCGGAAATCGGCCAGAGGCGACGTGAAACTGGTGGCGTTGGCCGCCATAGCGACGGTAGGCAGGCTGTGTCGGACTGCCTGGGAGATGATGGAGCTGGTGGGAGGTCGAGATGGCGGCGCCCACTGCAACTTGTCGATGCACCGCGTTACAATGGCAGAGTGCGCCGAGGTGGGAGCGGGACGGGAGAGGAAGAAGCGAAACACCGGTAGGGGAGGGTGTTTAGCACCAGCGACGACCCTTCAGGATAAGGAAGAAGGAAGAGGAGGAGGAGGAGGAGGAGGAGGGAGGGCGGGTAGAAGTAGTAGACGGCAGCGGTGGTGGGCATGGGCGAGATAAAAGAACGAGGTGCGAAGTGGATAGGGCAGGGGAAGACCACTAAAATTTGTTGATTGGCATTGCGAATGTGCCCCCCATGTACCCGCATCGAGGCGATAGCGCAGCGTCTGCAGCGGGAAGTACCTTGACGCTACCTCCCCTGTCCAGGAGGAGGAGGAGGAGGAGAATTGATTGAATGAGGCATGTACCTGCGCAGCGTGGGTACTCCGCGGTTTTTTTTCCCTTTTTTTTCTTCGGTTTCTTTTTTTTTTCCTTTTTCGGCTTCTGGGCGGGATGCGCTTGCGCTTTCCACTTTTCGGCCTTCCTGACTGGCCCGCTCCGGCCGCGACCCCTGCATAATCTCGAGTATATGGAACCTTCATTAGAAGACCAGCCGTCGCAGCTCTGCTCTCTTGCTGCTGTCTGTCTGCTGTCGGTCTGCTGTCGGTCTGCTGTCGGTCTGCGTACATGTAGGCAGAGGTATGCAGGTACCTACCTGTATGTTCCCAACAAGTACCCCTCCGACCCGGTCCCATATGCGTTTACAAAAGTCAGGTAGGCATCTTGGCTGCTGCTGGCCCGGGCCAACCCCGTCCAGCTCATTCGATATGGTCAACTACGCGCAGCTACGTAATCAAACCCCATCCGCAGCGTGCCACAGGCTCATCTTGCAACCGGCCTGACAATTGCGATATCTTTCCCTACCCATTGGCCCCGTCCGAGCTTCCCTCCGCTGCCGTCGCCCATCCATTCACCCGCTGATCGCTCCATCCGGTGTCGTTCTGTCACCTTTACCGAGTGGTCTCCGGTGTCTCTTGTTTCCGGTCGATCGGGACCTTGCTTCCACCGCCCGAGCTCGATCTAGGGTACTTATACACCGACGGCACACCAAACGGCGCGAGAGAGATGTAGACACTTACTCATACTGCGACTCTCGCCTCGCTGAGACTGTTGTAGCTACACGCAACACGTTGGGTACCACGTAGGTACAGCATGGCCTGCTCCGACGAGGTGGAATCCTAGCCCTGTGGACATTGTCCCCGTCTCCACCATCTCTCTCTCTCTCTCTGCATTCTCCGTGTCCAGTCGCAGGCAGGCTTAGCGGCCGTGGGGAACCTGCCCGCGTCAGGTACCTGCCCACTGCCAACCCTGCGCGCGGTACGTTCGTCTCTGGACAAATCAATTTCCACACGTTCTGCCACCCATTCTACGGCCTGCCTACCTCAATGTGCACGTACATGTGTGTATGAGTAATTGAGTAATTGTATGTAGAGTCAACATAATCAGAAGGTAGGTAGGTAGGTAGGTACCTCTTTGCCTCAGGCAACCTACGCCGGGACCCCTATCCAGGTACATCCGTGCCTGCTCATCATACGGTGCCTACCCAGGTATCCCACAACCCATGCCACCTGAGAAACCGAACGTAATTGCATCTTCCTGCTGCCAATTTCCTCCTCCCGCTGGCGCGCCGAAGGCCACACGTACGATGGCGTGCGGATTCCCCGTCTCCCCCAGTAAAAACTGACGATGTTCTTCGACAACCAGGTGGCCTCATGTTGCTAACGGCACCGGATGCCTAATATCCAGCTCTTGTTCGTATCGTTCGTATGTAGTAGGGTGGTGCGAATGTGCGTGGCGCATACCTGCGCGGTACCTGGCTGGTACCTGACCGCGACGGGATTAGCTCGATCTAATCAAGTCAATTCTGCAGGAAGGCGCCTTCCTCCTCCCCTGTCGCACGCGGTGATGCATGGCAAACTAGAAGCAGGTGGTGGCCGTGTCGGCTCGCCCCCATTGGCCAATCGCACCAAGCTCGTCCCCCTCGTCGCTCCGTCCCCGCTAGTTCCACCATTCACCGCCCGTCCTATTGGCCGGAGCTTGGACCTTTCTGGTACCCCGGTACCTACCTCGAATACGAATACGACGGCCAAAGTCCGGCTCATCCGAGACTCGGTCTCATTGCTGCATGGCGTGTACCTGCCGACCGACGTTGATATGGAGATATACCTACTGCCTTTCTGGCTTCGCAGCAAGTCGGCCACCCCATGTCCCTCTAGAATCCCGTCGCCCAAGAGAAACTAGCGTGATTTGCCTAGCGATCCTCATTACCCAGGGCACGAAGTGAGCGAAGAAATCTAACATTGGTCCTCATACCTACCGGCAGCAATAGGAGACCGTGTGTTCACTACGTGTAGGTCGGTATACCTACATGCCAGCAGCCAGGCCGGTCTCTATAGGAGGGGGGAGTTAGACGCGCCGACGAGCGGTTTTATTTATGCCTGCATACGTGCATGCATGCGATTGCATACCTACCCTCCTAACCCCCCCTTCCTCTCCCAAGTAGTGCGGATGTGTTGTATACCTGACATAGAAACGGTCGATATCACGCTTCCCTCTCGACTATCTACATATAGTATCACCTACATACACACCCACACACAGGTGCCAGAATTCGTTGAGCGGCTACTCTCGATAGCCTCCACCAGGTCCCGCTGCGGCCACCAAGCGCGTGCGAAGAAGGGAATCGTCAACCTCCACCCGAACTCCAAAACGTAAAGGAGCTTTCACACGGCATACGCACCTGGTCGCAACACGGTTACCGCACTTGGCAGCATATAGCGTCGGGTGGTTATAGCTGACTGCGTGTAGTGGTATAGCCGGCGTCAGACGGAGATGATCCCTACCTCATTCCCGCCTCAGCCAACCGTGCGCGAGGGACAACACCACGGGCATGGGCAGCAAAGACCACCCGTAACCACGGCAGCAAGGCTCAACGAAGTCGAAAAACGCACCTAATCTAGCTACGTACAAGTACAACTTCTGAGAGAGGCCAGACGCCTTTCAATCCGCCTTAGCAGGCAGTCCCTTCTCCTCTCCTCGATACTGCTAGTATATATATACCGTAGCACTCCGACCCTCCACGCTGCCACACGCCCAGTCCGTAGAGTCGGGGCCTATTCTATTCCAGCCCAGGCACGGCAGCGAGTTTCCCAGTTTCGTCTTCCCGTTTTGCCAAGAACCCACTCTCTCTCTCTACTCTGTCGCTTAGCTCCGAAGCCAAGTCCACCCGGTCAGGCCTGTGCGGAGGCCCATCGCCTAGCCCAGCCCAGAGTGTGTGCAGACCCTCCCGTGGGAGCTTGGACTCTGCCTCTCTCCCTCTCTCGTTACGCATACACTACTTATCGTCGCGTCGATGCCCCTCTATGCAATGCGCACGTGTCTACAAAGAGACGGAGGGAGTCGAGGCCGTGGGCGGGGGCTGTCGAAGGATAACAACCGTGGTGGGCTGGAAATCTCAGAGCCAACGAAGACTCGCCTTGAATACGAACGAGCATGCCGAATCTGGGACCGACCGCAGCGCCCGCAGTTGAAGACAACCGGCCTAGACCACGGTATAGAAGCTCCCCGTGCCAGACGATCTCGCTATGGGGGCTGGTCCCGATCTTTCCCGCATGAGCGTACCTACGAGTATTAGCATTGCTCAGTCCTCTCTTCCTCATTCTGTCTATTCACCATGTGGCAGCACCACGGACGCGTCTTGGCGCCTCCGCACAAGCTTCTTTTTCCCTCTGCGACTCTGCGAGAACTGACAGAGACCCCCTCTGGCTCGCCTTGCCCTTATTTCCCTTTCCTCTGGTATCTCCAGGCCAGTGCCACGCGAAACCCGAAACCCGGCTTACACGACGTTGTCATTTTTGTCTATCTGTCTATTTATCCCCTCTCCTATACATTTGCATACTCTCACTCACACCCACACATATGTATACCCACATACTTATATATGCCAGCGAGCTTCTCACTGTGGACCTACACAATCGCCCACACGCCCAACCCGTGGTTCCCATTCCCGAAGAGCGAGAGAGCATGAACAAGCAACTAAGCTTCCCTCCGCCAAGGACTCGGATCCCGTGCCCCTCCCCAATGGCAGCGCGCCCTGTCCACGGCCCCGCCCTTTTTCCGAACCGCGAGCCCCCTCCCCGGGATAGATACACAACATAGACCACCAGGTTTAGATAGGTAGGCATTGCCTACGCAGGGGGATTACGTAGATAAGCCCGCGCGCCCACCGCCAATTCGTCCGTTGGGGCATCGGATAACTGCCCAAGCGGGACGAGCTTGTCGCCGCCTAGATGATGACATACTCCCCCTCCCCCTTCTCCTGCCCCCCTTCCCCGCGAGCCGGCGGCGGACGCCTGCTGATGCTGACACGCTGACACCGCCTGCCTGCTACTGCTGCCTCCTCCCAGCGAACTCGCTACGAATTTAGGGAGCGGGTGAGGGACAAGGCCCCCCGAACTAGGTAGGTAGATGCTATATTCCCAGCAGCTCGGCCAGGATGTCCCAGCGATGTGACGTCCAGAGGGGAACACTAACGCAGCTTGACTCTGTAGGGACGCGCAATCTGTCCGCCTGTCCATCTGTCTGTCATATCTATTGCGCGGCCACATCGTCAGCTCCCTACGTAGGGACGTGTCTTTCCCTCTCCTTCCCTCCCCTGCACTCTCCCCGCCTCCGCTCCGCACGGGCGGTGGTTGTATGCGCGTATGCGTTGCTGCCGCGAGGCCCTCGTTCCCTTTTCTTCTTCTTTTTTTCCTCCGACCCGGAGACCGTAAAACCAGAGATAGTCCCGCCCGCCTTTTTCATCGATGCACCGCCGGTCGCCGCGCGCGACGAGTCGGTGAGCCCGCCGGAAAGGGGAAGGGGGGGTGTGAGTGTGATTGTAGAAGCACGCCGATCTGACTCACATCCCACGTCGGCTACCTGCGCTGCCTCGTCGCCTCCCCTCCTTCTCCAGCCCGCCGTCTCCTTCTCTTTTGGTCTGTTCTCTCCTCTTCGACGCCGTCGCGCCTAGCTAGTACAGCGGTGAGCTGCGTTGGGTAGTACGTACGTAGATTGAGCGAGGCAAGGGGGGAGTATGTGGAACTGGCTGTGCCCCGATCCGGCAATACCCAGGTAGGCAGAACTCCGATGTGCGCTGCGCGGAGGGGCGAGGGAGCGCGCGCGCGCGCGTGTAAGTGGGCTATGTAAGACGGGCGAGCCGGCCGTGGTCGCGCGTATATAAGAATCGAGGCTAGCCGGCTCTCCTTTCTCGCTCGGGTAGGCATACCAACCACCGCTTCCCCCCTTTCGCTCCTACACCACACGCACCTCGCACACAGCCCGCCCGCCAGCTTCGCTTCCCACACCCTTACCCTAAGCACCCGGCACCCGACGCTCTCGCGCAGGGCCTTCGCTGTCCCCGCGAACACCTCCGACACCGCTGCCGCGATGAGCTACACCCAGGACCGCGCGCACTCCTCCGCGCTCCTCGGGTCCCTCCTGTCGGGGCAGCAAGCCCTGCAGCAGTCCTCTGCCGCCTCCTCCTCCTCCTCCTCTTCCTCTACTTCCTCCTCCTCCAAGGACCCCGCGGACACGGCCTCGCTCCTCTCGACGGCCAGCTCGACTGCGGCGCTGCTCCCGCGCACCGAGAAGACGCCGTCGCCGGGCGCCGCCGAGAAGGCGCTGTCGCGCGCCGCGTGGAAGAGCCAGGTCCGGATGACGTTCTAGGGCGCCCGCGCCGAGGGGAAGAGGGTTGTGAGAGGGGCGCTGGGAGGAAAAAGGAATGGGGGATGGGGGAGGGGTTAGGGAAAAAAAAAAAGGAGAAAGGGAAGAGCAGATCAGTGCACGAATGCCGCCCATCGGCCGTCCGGACCCCCTTCGCCTCCGACCCCCCTACTCACCCGCTCGCCGCTCCGCAGAGCGTGTGAGTTCTTGGAGTGCTTGTGGGGACGACCACACGTGTGCCTGCGCAAGGCAGGATATCGGCGGAGAGGTAGGGCGACGCGGTCGTCCCGCTGGGTTATGTGCGGCGGTGCGCAGTGCTCGTTCACGGGTGTACTATAAAAGGGTAGCCGTCCGGCCGGGAGGAAAGAACCGGGGAAGGAGAGGGACGAGAGATCAACATCGGGAGAGAAAAGGTAGAATACGCTTATAATGTATGGCCGAATGGACGGATGCGCAGGAGAATATGGGATAAGGGGGGGGGGGTATCTCGAGTGTATTTCGTCTATGTAGTACAGGTATAGACACCGTACTCGTATCCTCGCAACACCTCCCTACCCGTGCTCGCGAGTGCGCCGCCCACCTGGTTCTACGTCCCCTTATGCATCCTCCCTTGGCAGTAGCAAGCAATGCCGTCGCCCCCTTTTCGCCTCCCTCTCTTCTACTCATCCCGTCCTAGCTAGGCTGGCCGCAGGTCCGCGTCTAAGAAGTAAGCACGCGCGTATATCCCACACGCTCTGGCCAAAATTGCCCCTTCCTCCTCCTGTTAAAACGTGTCGTCGAGGATGTCCTGGTTCATCTTGACCAGCGTGGGGCTGTACTCGGACGAGTCGGGCTCGGCGCCGGCCGTGATCAGGATGTCGTCGACGATGCGCCGGCTCGCCTCGCGCGCTGTTTTGTCTCGGTCAGCCCCGTCCCGCGGCCCCCGCCGATATATCGAACATCGCACGTGGGGATAAAGTAAGAACCGGGCACCGCCGCAGCCAAGAACGCACACACGCACACACACACACACAAAAAAAATGAAAAGAAATCGGGCAGCTCACCCGGCGTCTGCATCAGCTTGCTCGGCGGCAGCGCGAACTGGATGGTCTTGGGCGGGCTCATGCCGGCGAAGCCCTCGTCGTCGTCGTCGTCGTCTTCGTCGCTGCTCCACCGCGGCGCGCCGCCCTCCTTGCCCCTCGCCGCGCCCGCGTCCAGGCCCTTGCCCTTCGCCTCGGCGAACACGTCGCGCGTCTTGCGCGCCGTGCCGGGCGTCTGGACGCTGACGCCGGGCGTCCTCGGCGCCGCCGCCGCCGCCGCCGCCGCGCGGCCGAGCCGCAGACGCACCGGCGACATGTACAAGTCGCTGCGCAGCTTGGGCACGGCCATCTCGGGCGAGCTCGCGGGGCTCTCGGCCCAGAGCGCGCGGCGCTCGCGGTCGGCGTCGTCCTCGGGCTCGCGGCCGCCGCTGCCGCTGCCCCGCCGCTCCGGAGACGCGGCCGCGCGGCCCCGCAGCGCCCCCGCGCCCTTGTGCGGCGTCGCCTGCAGCCGGTAGTTGCGGTCGAGCAGGCGGTGCAGCAGCGGGTCGCGGTTGGGCGGGCGGCCGGCGGCGGACGCGGCCGCGGGCTCCTCGAGCAGCAGCGACGACGACGGCGAGCGCGGCGCCATCGACATGTCGGGGAGCCGCGTCCGGTGGGCCGGCAGCTGCGGCGCCGTCGCGTCGCCGTCGTCGAGCGGGTCCGCGTCGTCCTTAAAGACGGCCTGCTCGCCCTTCAGCTCGCGCCGCAGCCGCTCGTACGGCGAGTCGAACTCCGCGAACTGCGGCCTCAGCGCCTGGCTGGCCGGCGGCCGCGGCGTGCTGCCCGACAGCTCGGTCGCGTCCTCGCCGCGGCCGCCGTCGAGCAGAGAGTCGTCGTCGCCGACGCCGCGGCCCGCCCGCGGCCGGTACCCGGGCGTCGAGGCGGCCGTGGCGTCCGCTGCTGCCGAGCCGCCGCTGGTGTCGTGGTAGTCCGTCGTCGTCGTCTCGTCGAGCGTCGTCTCTTCGGCTGCCGTCGTCTCGTCTTCTTCCGCCGCTAGCTCCTCGTAGCCCGACAGCGAGACGTTGGCAGACGCTTCGAAAAACTGCTTCCAGAACTGAGGGGCGGGTTAGCCAGTTATGCACCAGGCTTGCGCATATGTGTATGTAGGTAGGTTGAGATTGGGGTGCGTACCTTGGACGCTTCCCAGACGGCGTTCGACTGCTCTCCATACTGCTCGACCAGGGGCAGGATGTTGGTGGTGACGATGCGGTGTGCCTTGCTAAAGTTGTGGTCGATTTCCTGTAGGGTGAGGGTGATGGACTGCTCCAGCTTCTCTAATTCCTCGGTCAAAGTCAGGTTTCTACCTAACGAGGCCCCGGGTCGAGACATGTTAGCGTATGAGCTCGCACACAGACGAGTTGGACGGCGTGAGAAGGTTGGGGGTGTTGCGCGACGAAAGAAAACAGTTTACTACATTGGGGCCTGGGTCAAATAGATATACACATGGCCACTTGGCGACAGCTGCTACCCCGCGGCGCCAGGCATTGCCGCGCCGGGAACGCGATGAGTTGGGTGGCAGGTGGGGTATTGTTATGTAAGCAATAGCCTCAGGGGGGCGAATTAAGGGGGTTACGATAGCTCCAGATCCCTCCGAGGCTGAACTTTAGGTATACAGGCCTCACTATGTAAAACCATGCCTCACGGAGGAGAAAATAAGGGACCACTCATCTAGGGTATCTTGACATTCATGGTTTTTATTTTATTTTAACCCCTTGTGTGACCGTAGTAGCCCGACATCTCAAGCTTGATTAAGAGGCGATCAATCGTGTTCTCGTCTTTCACCCCCTCGCCCTTCACCCCCTCGCCCCCTCCTCCATCGTCAGTCATCGCGTCGTTTGGGGTGGGCTTCTCCGCGTACCCCCCTTTCTCGCTTAGACCGCGACATACCGTAATGAAAACATCCACCTTCTTTCTAAAGGTTGCGTAGAGCGCCTTGGCCGACGATCCCTTCGTCTCCTTGTCTGCAGCTTTCAGGTGCGTTACTTTGGAGAACTTGAGGATTGATGTGAAGATATCTTCGAGCAGCTTCATCACCGGTTGTTGCCGCTTTCGCAGGAGAAGCGTATGCATAATACGATCTAGCATCCGCTCGTGTTCCCCGCGCAGCTCGTCCGGGCTTAGAATTCGGATGCCCTCCGACTTATCGTCGGGTTTTGCGAGATTGCGTTGCACAGCCTCAAGCCAACTTTCGAACCGCTGCCACGGCGTCTCGATCCCCGCGTCGAAGAAATACGTGCTTACGCTCGCGACGAAATGTTGCGCCTCGAAACGGAATCGCCGCGCGGCATTGTCGACATTGTGCCACCTAGACGTCCTCGCAGTGGTATCCCGGAATATCTGCTCCGTCACGTGCTGCATCCGTAGCACTCGAAGCAGTAACCTAAATATCCTGTCATACTTCAGCAGGATCACGGGGGTAAATACTGGCATGAGGGACGGAGGAGGTTTATATAAAAGACGGAGAAAGTCTAGCGCTTCTAGCGAGCTAGGGTTTAGGCATTTATCGATTTCCTCGCTGGAAAGATCCCTCACCGCGAAGCTGATATCGCCTGGCAGGTCATGTTTCTTTTCTACCAGGCGGGCCCTTGTCGACGAGGGTGGCAGATAGCTTTCCACGAGGACGCCCATCAAGGAAAGTCGGAGTTCCGAGCTCGCCGGCGGCCACGTCTCTCTTCCGTCAAGTCGAAGTCCCATCACACCACCGCTCATAGCGACGCCTGCGTGCCGTTCGGCCGTTTCGAGGTTGGGGTCGAAGAGCGCATGAGAAAGGCGGCTACAGAACACGCCATTCCCAAGGAGATGGAACTGCTTTTGGAGGGAGAGGTGGTCCCGTAACCGATGGACGCCGAAGAGTAATTTCATATACTCCCGGTTGATAACCCGTGCCTGTGCCGCAACGAGCGGCCCAAAAGAATGGTACGGTATCAAGGACCAATGCGGCGAGAACCCAGCGATCACTTCATCGATGATAATTTTGTCCTCGAACAGTCGGGCGCCCATCAACCTGGACAAGCTATCTTCCTCGACCGTGGCGCCCGGGGGCCTATTGAGGACTTCGATTGAGGCCAGCAATTCTCTTTCAAGTTGGGCCCCCTCGCGCCCAAAAAGATGCAAGCCGTAGCTCTCGTCTACCGAGTTGTCAACTAGGTCGGCGCGCTGAGGTATCGCGTCTGGGTTTGAAGACCAAAATTGTAAACCTTTTTGTAGGCGCTTGGCATAGTTCTCTACTTCCTCCTGAAAGTTTCCGATGGAGTTCCAATCGAAATGCCACCGGAGCGGAGGAGGCCTACTAGCGGCAATGAGCCCCATCTGGCAAAGAGGATGCTCTGGGTGATATGCGCGAAGAAGTCGTAGTGTTTTACCCGTCTCAAACATGGCCAAGGCTATATCGCTGGGGATGAACTCCGGCATACGCCCGTCGTCGAGAATATAGTCAGTCTCGTAGGTCTCGAACCCGGAATCGTCCACGGCGGCGACGTTTTCCACCTTGACAAAACCACCCCCAGGATTCTCTTTAGTTAGTGGAACCCCTTCTTCGCCCCTTACGCCCATCCACTTCTCCGCAAAGTTGGCCCACGGCTCTGACACCCGCGACAATACTTCGCGCATTATCTCTTTGAGAAGCGCATTGCCATGTTCTAGAGCCCGAGTTTCCTCGAAGATTAGCGATAACGTCCGCTCATCGGTCTTGGTTCGAGAGGCCTTGACGATCAAGGATTTTAAATATACCAGGATCGAATGAATCGGCTCGATGAGGGATTGTAGCTGCAGGAGAGACCGTACTTTGTTTACTCTCCCTCCGAGTATCTTTTGCACGGCGAGCAAAATAAGATCGACGGATTTTGCGAGCGCTACGCCCACTGCACCAGGATGCGTCTTGTACGTGTGCTGAACATACGCCGAGAGGAAACGGGTCGTATTCCCGCAGTCCAGACAGCGTCCTTGAAGGCCCTGGAGCACTCCTGTAGAGTAACCGGAAATTCTCATATCCTCCAAACCTGGCGTGAAGCTGGCCTTTTCCGCATCCCACACGAAGAAGATGGACCCTCTACCGAATGCGAGTCCTAGGAGGGCGATAAGATAGGGGCCAGTCTGGACCACGTTGCTTTCGGTACATCCTATCCCTAGAGGGTCCCCGCTGCGCTTTATTGCGGCGTCATATGCCCCGGGGCCAGCCTCAGTAATGAATAACGGCATCACCTGGGCAACATCGGGCATCAAGAAGCCATCCCAGGTTTTATACTCGGGCTCATTAGTGACTGGCTCCTCTTTTTGAAGCCACGAGTCATCAAAGACGTCAAGATCCTGTAAATCGACATCATGAAGCGGTTCGGGGGTGACGGCGGGCAGACCATCAGCCTTCTCGGTCCCATCCAGGTCTGTAGTGAGTAGCGAAGTGGGCAGCTTGAAGAAGCCGTCGACGTCTGCGTTGGCGGGCTTGACGCCGATGTAGCCCTCAGTCGGTCGACTGGCGTGATCTAAGTCGACATGGAAGAATTGGCTATTCAGCTTCGGTGACAGGGTTAGCCAGTTTGAAGACCGGTTGAAATCGGGAAAGGCGAAGACGTCGGCAGGGTCCTGGTCTGCCATCTGGTAGAATGAACAGGCGGGTGTGTGCGATTCATTTGGGGTTCGGCCTTCATAGATGTAGTTATAAACTTGGGGGGATCACATGTGTGCTCGATCCACGAGGGGTCGCGACCAAATTGATACTCGGTAATGGCAGGAAGGAGAGATGCCCGACAGGAAGACACACGAGACGGACCAACTCCTCTCAGCGGGCGTTTTGGGTTGGGCGCTGCGACGACGACGCGTGTGGATGTGAGAAAGCCACAGAAATATCTCTGTAAGCCGTATATTTCTTAAACGAATACAGCCGGGTCAGCAAACACGGATGGCCTGTCCCAGCAGGCCAAGTACCTGACCTACTGCTAATAGGTACCCAGGTGGTACCTATGCACGTACCTGGCTTCCCTAATGTAATGGATCTACAGGTAGAAGCCGGAGGTATATAGAGGCCCCTAAGGCACCTAGCCGACCTAGGTACCTACCTAGGTACCTCATAGTACCTAGTGATTCTGGACCCTGCATTTTCCAAAGCTCGGATGGCTGGTGCAGGTTCAAGCTGAGCTCTCCCTTCTACCCCCAACTCTTCTCGCTCCGACTCGACCGCGTCGCACCTCGTCGGCGTTTCGCCACGGACACAGAAATTAGAGCCCGAGGCAACATACGCACGCGTACAGAGACAGCTGGAAGGCCCAGAGGCGCGATCAATTCTCCTCAGAAGGGCAAGCATGCCTCCGAAGCGCAAGTCCAAAGCCGTGGGCCTGGCCGAAGTGTCCACACCCAAGGCCGCATCTACGCCCGCACGCGACGACGATGCCATGGACGTCGACACCCCACAGGCGTCCGACACCCCTCGCGCTGCTGACACTCCCACGGCTATCAAGCCCAGTCTGCCGCCTCCCTCCGAGATCCTCAGCAACCTCTGGACCGACGATCAGGAATCCTCCCTGTTCAAAGGCGTCATCCGATGGAAGCCCTCAGGTATGTGGTCCATACACACCGCACCCCCTCCCACGGTCCCTTTGGCGGCGTGCCTACGTTCTACCTACCTCCTGTATACGCTCTCTGTATGAATTACACACGCAACCTTCTAACGTGCGCTCCCCTGCCGCCGCAGGCATCCACAAGCACTTCCGCATGATCGCCATCTCGGAGCACCTGCGCAACCACGGCTTCGACCCGGACGTCGAGACGCACACCCGCATCCCTTGCATCTGGAAGAAGCTGCGCCTCTTCTACAACATGGACGCCATCGACGACCGCGACAACTCCTTCGACTACGTCAAGGGCCAGGAGCAGGACGAACCCCCCGAGAACAAATACCACGACTTTGACCTGCCCGCCAACGAGTTCCACGACCTCATGTGGGCCCGCGCCATGGCCGGCCCCGGCGAGGAGTCCGTCACCGCCCCGTCCCCCACCCCTGATATGGACGTCGACGGCGCAGCCGCGCCACCGCCGCCAGCAGCATTGGGGGGCAGGAAGCGGAAGCGCGGCGGCACCAACGCCACCGCCATCGCTGAGACGGCCAGTGTCGCGGGCAGCAGCACGGCAAAGACGCGGCGGTCGAGCACCGTCGATGACACGGACCGGGAAACGCCCTTCCCCAGCAGCCCCGCGGGACGGGCGACGACGGCGAGGACAGCGCGCAGCCAGAAGCGCGCCGCAGCCAAGGCCAAAGCGGAGAGCCTCGAGCCGCCCGACGGCGACGAGGGGAGCTCAAGCGGCGACGAGGAGGAGGAGGAGGAGGAGGGGCACCACCAACAAGATGAGGAGGATCGCCGCGGTAGGGGCGGTCGGGGTGGCAGCAACGACAACAACGAGGAGGAGGATAGCAGCGAGCCAGAGAGTGACAACGAGGTGGCAGCGGCCGAAGCCAGCACTGCCGCCGCCGCCGCCCCTGCCCCTGTCCCTGCCCCTCTCCCTGCCGCCGCCGCCGCTGCTGCTGCTCCGCCGCCGGCTACGCGGTCGGGTCGAGGCGGATGGGGTGCTGGCGGGAGAGGGCGGGGAGGTCGAGGACGGGGACGGGGTAGGGCAGGCCGTAAGCGAGGATGACAATAGCAATGGTGACGGCGGCGATGACGACGGTGGCGACAAGAAAGGAAAGAAGCCAGCAGCAGTGGCCGGGGGGAGGGGGGGGGCCCAGATCCGAACGTGCGCGATGGTGCCGTAGAACAAAGCGCGTCAGATCGCGCCCGCGCTCGGAAACCGACGCCGCACAAAGAGATCTCGGCGCTCCGTCTCTTTCCTTTGTCCTCTCGCCGGAGAGAGAGAGAGCCGCCCAGATCGTCGGGTAACGCACACGCGAGCTTTTGGTTTTTAATTGCTTTTTGCTCCCAGACCCGCCGCCCTGGTGCGTGGGCCTCCGCAGCCAGCCAGCCAGCGCCCAGATCCAGGCCGTCGGGATGCAGCTGGCAGATCGGACGGACACCCCGTCGCGAGCGTGGCCGTTGCCAAGACAGACTAGAGGAGAGAAGGCCGCCGCTGTGGGAGGGCGGCGGCTGCGTCACTCGAACTTGGCGCTGCGCTCGCTTTGTGCGGGTATAGGCTCCGCGGCGCGCGCGTGATGGCTGTTCCCGTCCTCGCCGCAGTACGGAGAAGGGGGCGGGGGGGGGTGTCAGGGCGATGCGCGCGGGTCTGGGCCTCGCCGCCGCGGATGCTGCGAGGACGGGTGGCGTGGACGCCGCCACGTCGGGCCGAACTGCGCCCTCGTCTCTCGCTCGCACGTAGGTAGATGGGTAATTTACTGGCACGCGACGGCGGGAAATGGGCTTGCCTGCGTAACCGTCGAGGTGACGTTTAGGCGAGCGGGACACTCTCTCTACTACTAAGGGGACGGAGTGACTGGTGTACGCGACGGGGTGGGGGGCGGCGGGAGGAGGGTCTGAATAGGGGCGTGTCTCCGTACGTGCTACTACGACCTGGATAGATCCTCCCCTGGAGTTGCCGACAAGTAGGAAGGCTACGGAGGCTTAAGGTAGTTAGCAAACCAAGAGCAACAGAAAAAAAAAGAAATACTGGGAATAGCCCATTTTATTACTTCCAGCGTGAACGATTGATCGATCGGTCCTATCGATGCGCGTGTGCGCGGTATACGCGTATGTACAAGTTCGTGTCTGGGCGTCAGTCATCCCATCCCCTCTATACGGCCCGCAACGATATGCTTCAACCATATATCCCACTTCCTCCGTAACCAAGGGAAGCCAAGTTCAGTCCAGCCATAGGACCCATCCCATCCCAATGTCCAACACCTATTCCCTTCCTTATCCACCTAGACACACAGTCCAAACGCCTACACGAGCGGTGGAGATAAGAGAGTAGAGTTTGAAAAGTGGAAAAAACCCAAAATATAATAGAGGTAGGGAAATCTTTAAAAAAATCTTGAAGGGAAATTTGTTGCGCCGATGCTTTTTCCGCCCAAGGGAAAAAAAGATGGTTCTAGTAACCCCTTCTCAAAGCAACCTATCGCGTCGTTCTCCCTGGTCGTCTCCTTGAAGTCTCCCTTGGGCCTCCCTTACGACGTCGGACCCCGGCCCCCCAGATCCCCCGTATCCTCGTGGAATATGCTCCGTCTAAGCGGGCTCCCCGCGCCCGCCCTGTCGCCGCGGTCCCAGTCGCTGCCTGCTTGGTTCGCCGTCGGCGGTTCGGCGGGGGCGTTGCCGCGTGGCTGTTGTTGGTTGCCCGCGCCCTCGTTATACGCCGGCGGCGCTGCGCTCCCCGCGTCCGAGCTCACCGTCACGTCGCTGATCTGCCGCAGGTGCGCCGAGTCCCGGCTGCTGATGCCGCTGAGTCCGCTGACCACCGCTTTGCGAGGGCCGGACGACGGAGCCGCTGCAGCTGCTGCGTTGTGGCTGTCTGCGCCCTCTGGAGAGGCGGCCGCAGCAGCAGCAGCAGCAGCAGCAGGAGGTATGCTAATAGGGCTGGGGGCCGGCTTGGGGAGCACGTTGGCAATCGCGTCAAAGCGAGTGTCGGCACCGAGGGAGGGGGAATCAGGCCGCTCCTGCGAGCTGAAGGACGCGGCCGGTGGCACGGCGATCGCGGGATGATCATGGCTGCCGAAATGGGGTTGGCTGGCTGGCGTGGAGAGCTGATGAGGGTTTGAGCCTAGGTATGCGTATTTCGTCGGGTTGCCGCGGCCGTATGTGTTGTCCGGCACTGGTAATTCGACACGTCTTGAGTCTGTTGTAAATATGTTAGTTGACGACAGGAGATAGATCTGGGAAGAAGAACCGCGTAGGGCGATTCTGCTTCGGTTGCTCTTACCACTTTGGAGTTCAGCTATTTGGCGGTTGGCGACTTGGAATTCGGAAATCTGGTGTTCGGAGATAGGCCCATCTGGCATCTCAACAGGCTCCATCATTCTCATCTCAGGGTGGCCCGGCGGGAGCATCGGCGTAACGCCCCGGCTCTCCATTTCTTCGTACTGTGTCCGAGTATCCTCTGTTGTAACGGTCGGAGCTTTGTAACCTTGTTGGGTCTCCATCCAGGTCCTTACCCTGTTCCCGTTTTCGTCTGTCGACTGGTCGCTGCCGGCGCTCTTCTTAAGGAGCCTCCGCCTTCTGTATAGGAGGACTGCCACGACAACAGCCGTGACGAAAACTAGACCGAGGACCACGCCCAATACGGGCGCCACCCACGAAGGTGTCCCCCCCCCTCCTTGGTTGGCTTCATAGTCTTCACGTGTACTGTTACCGGGGCCTACTGAACTGTAGGGGTAATACGTCGCCAACTTCGTCGTGGGATAGGCGGTGGCAAAGACGCTGGCAAGCCCCGACGTGGCCCAGCCTGTCGGTGTCGGGGTAGTCATGGTCGCGCCTCCAGCATAGTCGCCTCCGATCATCAGGTGAATCATCTCGGGTACACCATAGTCGTTCCAACTTGTGGGGTCATATGACTCCATCCAGTTTCCAGATGTGAGGTTGAAGACGTCGAAGAGTTTACCGTCGCCGACGCAGGGTAGACTGTTGCCTTGAGTGGATCTGCGGCCACCGATCGTAATCATCTGGTCCGGGTAGGGCATGACGCAATGATGCCCAGCTCGAGCGTGTTGAGGCGAACCGGAAGAGACCTTCATCCACATAAACGACGGGAGCGAAAGGATCCACACGTCATCATTGAAATCCGAGTCTGTGTCTAGACCATCGTAGCCACCGTAATAGTATATGTTGAAACTTGAGTAATCTGAGGCGGGAGCCACAACGGCACATCCCATCGCCAGCTGAGTCGGACCGGCAATGGTAGGTTGTTGATACCATCTGTCGGCCGCAATGTCGTATATGTCGACATTTGCCATGAATCCTGGGCTATCGCGCCTCTGCCGTCCAGTTAGTTGATATCCCAACGGTTGAAATGGCCGACCAGGCTTACGCTCTGTGCCGCGTTCAGCGACCGTCCCTCCCCGGATCCAACCCCGTACCCTGGGTACGAGACACCTCCCAACGCCACTAATATGCCTTCGGCACCGACAGGAACCCATACTACCGAAGGGTTTGCGCGGCCCGGGATTCCCGGCGGAAGGGTGTCATTACTCCAGGTCGCCTGCCGATTCCCTCGCATATCAAGTGTGATGAGAGTGTCCGAGACATTGGACGGGTCGAGAGAGGAGTTGCCGGTATACTCATAGATCGGACCCCAGGATTCCGATCGATACCCGCCAAAATACCAACCCTTGTTCTCCGATGGGGCGCTTACAGCGCCCCCATATGCGACGTACCGAGTCATGCCCTCGGGAAGCTCATCGATAATAAAGCCTGGTCTAAAGGTCCCCGTCTCACCTCTGGATTGTGACGCCTCGTAGTTGAGCACGTCTTCGCCCCCTGGTGGGGACGCCGTGTCTGTCTGAGCAAGCAGACCGCCGTAGAGGAAGAACTCGTCATTATTATGAAGCATGGCTCCGTCCAGGAAGTTAGGTCCGACATTACTAGCAGGGCCGCCGTTTAGCCCCTTTGAGATTGTATTCCCAAGCAAAGCGGTGAAATTTGAACTCGAGTTAAACGGAGTACTAAAATTGAAGGTGTATATCAGACCGAGAGGATTTTCTAGCATAGAGGTCAGGTTACGCCAGGGTGGATCGGAGTTGTGGTGCGACTCACGATCATCTTCGGGGGGGAGAAATGAACCATCGGCCATACCCCGAGACCAATATAGATGGCCACCATCTATATAGACGGTGTCTTTCAACGTAGCGACTGCGTGGACGTCAACAACTCGCGATACCCAACTGGCGATGTATTTGACGGTCGAAGACAAACTTACTCCGATGGTTATACCAGATACACATAGTTGTATTTGCCTGGCCTTCCACCCATCCTGATTGCTGGCCGTTGGTAGTAGAAGCCAACCCCGCGGCATATGCCAGCCAGGCTACCCTAGACCGATACATCGTGCGTCTAGCTGCTGTGATCACCGATTACGGGAAAGGTGGTTACAACAGAGTCGAATTAGAGAGAAGGTGGTTTCGGCAGAATAGTTGAGTATCATTTCATGGAAGGAAGGGTATTCACAAGGACGACGGAAATCCTGGGGCAAATTACGGCGTCAAAGAGGCCCCCAGTACCATATGGAATGTAACCCGGACGGCAACTCTGCCTTTCATTTGTTAATTCAAATCGGGACGCTCATTGAGCTGGACGGCGAAAAACGGAAGCATGAAGATGGAACATAGAACACTAAACAGAAACACTCTTTGTGGAGGGTAGTTGGGGCCGGCAAAAGGGAACAAGGGACTTACACGGCAGCCCTGTGATGAAAAACGGAAAATGGTAAGAGGATACCGCAGGACAAAAGATCTTAGCCCAAAGTGCTGGACTTATTACGGCTTAGTCGAGATCTCGCTCATCAAATGATTATCCGTGATGGGGTAATCTTTTTTTTGGGCCAGGTATACTGCGTCAATATACGAGGCATCAGACATCGCGTACCTTGACTTGGGGCAACTATCAACTAGGCAAAGGGGCAGCCTTGGTCTTTTCGCCTCTTCGCAGATCAAGGTGTGCGCAAACGAGACTTTTCAACCCCGCCCACATGATCGATGCTACCACTACGCAGCAGAGGGGTGACAGTCAGGTCAGACCAGGTCAGGTCAGCCTCATCTCCTACCTGAGAACATTCCCATCGAGGAGCGATATTTGACGGAGGATCACCGGCGAGGACAGCGAGGAAAAGGCAGGGAGGGGTCACAGATTAGTAGAGCTGCCAGCCTATTGCTGATACATCAGGTGGGAAAAATAGCAAAATATGAATAGACGCAAACACGATAGCCACACGACAACCACGTCTAGATGTGAAGGGTGTGCCAAAAAGAGAGAGAGAGAAAAGATCATCATAGCATACTCGGATGGTGGGGGCAGGGACTACTGCTGCTCTACCGCAAGTACCGGGCAGATACGTCGGTGAGGTGCCAACAGGTAGGTAGGGCATTGGACGGCTCTGGCGTTGGATATGACAAGCAGGTCAGACCCCAATCGGGAAGAGGGCCGTATATTGCCATACATAGGCGTCAGAACGATCCCTGCAAGACGGTTCGCTTCTATTGGGACGACTGCGGCGCAGGAGCACTTCGGGAGCCTCTCGATTGGGCTGGCGGCATCCTGGCTGCAGCCAAGGTGAGGGGTGGGTAGGACTGCGTTGGTGCGGGCTGGAAATATTGTGAACTGGCAATGCGACTCTCTCTCGTTAAGGTGGGCTTATAAGTCATTCGAGGGGCGGGGAAGAGTGAGCGGTGGAGGGCCTTGTCCCATTCCTCGTCACTCTCCAGCTGCGCGTATGTATTGGAGATATTGGCGGTCGACGGATATGAGTGGCCGGCCGGCCCCCCCCCTCCTCCCGGAATATTCGCACATACCGGCACAGGTGCGACCTCAGGGTGTGCCACAGGCTCTGGATATAATACGAGCCTCGTGTCGTTCCTAGAGAGTTACGAGCACGAGGGGGGGGGGGGTTTGAGGTGACGAAGAGATTGCCCGATTTCTCGCAATGGGGAGGAGGTCGAGGTGACTTGCTCGCCCGATCTGACGGTTCCGGGCAGGGCATGTGGTGACGGCGTCGCTCTCCTCGATTATGGCAATGTTAACAGCAACCAAATCAACGGATCGACAGGGTAGAACAAGAGACAGACAGATCTAGATAAGACAAGGATGCGCGCAGAGGACGAAGTCGAGGGCGGAAGCTTAACAGATAGGTGTCTCGTTACCTAAGATGGAAAGTCTCTGGATGGTTGCCTGGCGCCATCTCGTATGTACCTAAGGTAGGTATGGACCGCGGAGTGTGGAAGGTACAGCATACCAACGTACCTACTCATGGTCGCGCGGATCTGATCTGCTCCTTCCCCTCTATCCTGTGTGGGTCGAGGAAGAGGTACCTTACTTAGGTTGGTACCTCTACATAAGAGGTATTAGAGAGCGGAATCTAAGCGCCATAGGTAACGATCATGTACCTCCCTCCTGATGTCTACCTAAGGTTCTTGCCGTATGTTGTACTACCCCCCCATAATTGATGTAATATAGGTACCTACCTAGGATATAGGTAGCGGGAGGTAGGCATGTTAAATACGATCGTTCCGCTGTACCGGGTGTTCGGTACCTTACGTACCTGAGCCATTTGGGGTACCTAGGTACCTACCTACCTTACCCACCTACCTCCTCGACCGCCAGCGTCAGCCCGTGGGAACCACACAAGTACTCTGGGTAGCTTCCAATCGTAGCGTTCGATACATGGGCGCATCGAGAAGCGCTCGGTTATAGGCGCCTCCAGCATAGCAGATTCCAGCCTGCTACCAGAGAAAATAAGTCTTATACGTGGCTACGCCCAGGGTATCGTGTCCCGCATCTCGCGGCTGGCTCTGGGTGGTGGTTACACACGAGTGCGGGTATACCGCCGGGTGCCCCGTTGACGGGACAAGACACATCTCTCCCTGGCCATCTCCCAGCATGTATCTGCAGGTATCTGGTCGCGGCCATCAAACTAAGCTCCCAGTACCTCCGATGCACGATGATAGTAGGCGGTGTACTTATATACCCACTGCAGGTGACCGGATAGGTACCTTTGCAGTACCTACCGCCGCAAGACATCCACCTGCTGAACCCGCGTCGGAGGTAGTGATATGTAGGTACCTAGGTACAGATACCTAATGTAGGATAATTCCATTTCTCTTACAGACAGGTTAGGTACCTTTTCAAATGGATCTCGTCCCGTCTCCACTCCCACCACCATGTCAGCTTACCTCTCAACGCATCTACGCATAGCTTTTGCTTTCTCTTTTCTCTCTCTGTCTCCCTCCCTCCGTTCTCCCCCCCCCCTCTCTCTCTCGCGCCCCGGGAGAAAAGCATGCCGTCTCTATCCCCGTCCCATTAAGCCGGGCCACCACCTGTGCTCGACGCGCCAACCACCGGCTACCCCGCCCCTCTTCCCTGTCTCTCTCCCTCTCTCCCCCTCTGTCTCTCTCGCTGTCGTAGCACCGGCCAGGCCCTTCCCCCCGTCACCAATACCGTTAATGCGCCCGCAGCCACTTCTGATTACGTGCGGACCTGGTCCTGGCTACTTTCTCGACGATCCTGGTCGGGCTAGGTCAGGTAGAGTGGTCCTTTCTGCACTCGGACGATGGTCAACCCTCGCCATCGGGTTGTTGTGGTCACATATACCACCCTAAGACCGGGCCAGGTGCACAGGGCGTGATATGAATACGTCCGGACGAGCCAACTGGTCTTCGATGCTGTCGATTTGTGTAACGAGCGCACAGCTATGAACATGCTCATTTATCTGCGTGTGGAGATGTCGACGTCGCTCTCCATTGGCTTGCGACCTCACTCGGTCCTTTCGGCAAGTCTCTTCTGCTAGGTTGCCAGTCTGTTGTCCGACGTTGACAGGAAACTAGCAATCCCACCTACTCCTTAGAGAAATGTATGACTGAGAGTCTCACGCCGCCAGTACTACCCGGCGATAGTATCGTCGTCGGCTCGACAGGGCCCTGACCAAATGTGGTCCAGTCCCGAGTCTCACGGCTTGGTTGTTCGTATTTCCCTGCTTTTCTGCCCGTTGGGAGCCCCGTTGCGTAATCCTTCTCTCGGGCTTGGCTACAGCTCCGATGGAACCTGGAAGGCGATGGCAACGATTGCAGAATGTAGGTACGAATGCGCCTATGGCATACACCGCATACCCCGCCGTCGTATACCGCGCCATACCCGGTCCCCTACATCCAGGCCCGCTATCCTCTTCCGCTCAAGCCTACCGTACCTTGGGTGGCGCGCGACGGGTCCCGTCCCTCCCTCCCTTCTTCGCGCGGAGGTCCAGCTGCTCAACCCGCTAGGGCAATCTGCCAAATCCTGGCATGTGCTTCGCTTATTGGGGCCTCAGCCATACAACGAAGGTGGCCACAATGCCTATGTAGGGATCTACTCGCTTCCGTCCGTCAGATATACTTGCAGTTCTCGTCAAAAACTGACCGACCTGCTGAACAGCGTCTTGTGGTAGTCCTTCTCCTGGAGAATCCATGCCTCGGTGTTTCGTCTTCTATAATGTCGGGGGAGTAGTCAGTTACAGGCTTACTCCTGCCACTGTAGATATCAGCTATCTCAGGCAGAGATTCCACCATCGCTGGCTAGCGTCGTAGCATGTAGGTAGGTATACGTAGTAAACACTGACGACGCTTATTACCCTCCCCTCCGCTTCCTGCCTGGGGGTTGGCTGACGGATATCTTGTTCGCAGGGGTGCCCGGCCACGCATGGCTCTGTGGAGACCTATGTACAAGTCATGCAGAGCCAGACATATCCTGTACCCGATCTGCACCGATGCTTGGTTCCTGTCGATTCCAATAGGGTTTGTTGACATGGCGGCATCGAACTCGCCCTAGCTCTCAGCCTTATTCATGCCGCCGTCCCCCTCCCTGAGCTATCCAGCTTTCTTTCCGCTTCCGATGGAAATTCGCCTCAACCGGGAGTCTCTTTCCTGCTCGTGAGGTCGTGCTTAGCTTGTCATTGAGAGGCGACCTAACTCCCAGCCATAGCAACTACAGAGTCCCAGGTGGGTAGTTGTTCGTCAAGATCGCGCTATGAGGAGACCTTTTAGGACAGCTTGCCCAGCTCCCTAATACGCAGCTTGCGAGTCCCGTCATCCCGTTGGCTACTCGGAGTTCCAGGTAAGAGAAAGCTCGAGTTTTGCTTCTCTAGACAAGCTCCCCCGGCCTATCTCTATAAGAAAGCTCAGAACCCAGAATCGCTTACCCGATCAGTCGTTCTTTCTACGTCAAGTCGCCGTTGTACTCTCGTTCTACGAGTCGCTCGTTCTCGCTGCGGACGGACGAATAAACGGACACTCGCTATACCAATACGCTTATCGAGACCGAGGATACGTTTCATAAGTTGAATAGTCCAACAGGCCGTTTCGGGGCCATTAGCTAGATTGTTCACGATGGTTTTGATTCACTACCTCGGGGTCCTGTCGGCCGTCGCGCTCGGCCTGGTGAAGGCGCAAAACATCTCTGCTGATACTTGGCCTCATCCCACATATCCTCATTGCGAACCTGAGACGATCACCAAGACCAAACTTGCAACGACGACAGTCTAGTAAGTATCCTAGTTTCTGGGAACCTCGGAAACTTGGGGCTAACTCACGATCAAGCGGTACCACCACAGTCTTCGCTACTGTTTCGTTTGGCATCACAGTGACAAAGAAAGTTCCTGTTACCACCACTGTCAGCCGTAAATACACAGTGACAGAGAAGGAGACTAAAACCGCCACTACTACTGTTAGTCACGGATATACAGTGACGGACGAAGAGACTGTTACCGCCACTGTTAGTCACGGCTACACGGTAACAGACGAGGATACTGTTACCGCTACAGTCAGTCATGGATACACGGTAACGGATAGTGAAACTATCACCGACACCATAACCACGACTTACACATCACTTGTTCCCACGGTCACCACCACCACTTACACATATTCCACTACGATCCCGACCACGATCATATCCGACAGAACCTTGATCACCACCGAGTACAGCACGTCAGTTTATACTACCGTCTCTACTTATACGACGAGCGTCTTGTCTACGTTCACCGACACCTTAACAGTAACGGAGATTTCCGTCTCAGTGTCGCCAACCACAGATACGGCGACGGTGACAGCGACAGAGATTTCCGTCTCAGTGTCGCCAACTACAGATACGGCGACAGTGACCGCGACAGAAATTTCCGTCTCGGCGTCGCTAACTACAGATACGGCGACGGTGACCGCGACCGAGGAGACTACGGCGTTTGTCACTCTAATCTCTACCACTACATTCATTACTACCTCAGAGATAACGATCACCGACTCGGTAGTTAGCACGGCGACCTTCACGACGACGGAGGTGATAACCATCGTGTCGCAAACCACGTTTATTGTGCCTCCGACGACGACAACGGCAACGGTGACTACTACCGCGAGCGTCTGTGCCATTCCATCCCAACCACCTAGCTTATCCGTGCCATACGATCCCCGGTCCAACTTGACCTGGGGATGCTTTCCCGGAACCGTGTGCTCTCCTCCCAAGCCACCTGGGTGTCGCGTATGGGCTCAGGCGCCGCCCGAGACATATGTGTGCGACAACCAGGCGTACTGCATCCCCTCTCCACCCTGGACCCCGGTTACGTGGGAATCTGAGACGGGATACTACCCCCCGACGGAGGGCTATTTCAATCTTGTGCCGGAAGCGTTCGGATTGAGCTACGGCATCTTCGATATTGAAGAATATGTCATAACTACTATCACGGCCCCGAAAAAAACTTATACGACCACTTACGCAACCGGAAACTGGGAGTCGCAGTCGGATTTGACGGACTGGACCACTACAACGTCAGCGCCAGCCCGCACGACCGCGCTGGCTCCCCGAATGTATCAAAAACACGCCGCTCTTAGCAAGAGGGTACCCACGATACCGGCAAGATGCTACGCCACGTGTAACAACGGGTTCCGTGAGGCGCAACGGGTCGGCAAGGATCCTAGGCTCTGCGACCAGGACTCCGCCTTCATGAATTATTACCGCAACTGCCTGTTGTGCGCCGCGGAATCAGATGACTGGGTAGACCCATCGCGCACACATGCCGCGACTGAGATGCGGCAATACCTCGGTTTTTGCGAAGCTCGTGACGCCACGCCAGAGCCGGGTACGACACCCGAGGCCGAGTTGGGGACTTCCAGGGAGGCGACCACGTTCCCCGGGGGCGCGCCCAACAGCAATACCGGCGTGGCCACGCAGTCGCCAACCTTCCCGTCGAGGACGGTCGAGATCTCGTCCACGACGAGCCCGCCGACAACAAGTACGCCGACGAGTCCGCCGACAACAAGTACGCCGACGACGCGCCCCGGCAACCTAACGACCTCGCCGACTGTCACGGCGCCGACGACGATCGCGACGGCCGGCGCGCGGGCCGTCTTCGTCGGCGGGGTGGCGTCGACCTCTGTGCTGGCGCTCGCTGCGCTGCTACTCTTCTTCTAAGGGGAGGGGGGCCGAAGGGGGCGCTTTCGCCTGTAATGTTTAGACGTCGTGTTCCGAGAAGAGAGCGAACTAAACCTAAAAGAAAAAAAAAGAAAAAAAGAAGCTGGGAAGGGTGACGTTATCCCACGCAGTTCAGTTCGCACCTATCCTTCAAAGCATAGTTATAATAGAATATATAGCTCCGAAAATGTCTCGATTGCGGTGGCGGGGGCGGGGGGTGAATAGGGGCTGGCTTGGGATAATAGCGCAAGAGGATGGGTGGGACGAATGGGGGACTCTCTCTCGATATACCACGGCGGTGGGCATGGCGTAGCATGGTAAGGGAGAATACTTAATACCCATTTCTCCCGGGGATTTATTGTTTCATGTTCTATTTTTCGTTTCATTTACGCTCCTTACGACTGACGATTGACGCTTGATGGATCTCGGACCGGAGATGTACCTACACTTCGACATAGGCACGTTGTTAAAAGGGGGGCAGCAGCACAACATGCTACGGAGGTAATGGCTTTTTATCGGTGGAGTTGTCGAGCTTGAGCTTGTGTCCCATACTACAGGACAGCGAGCGGGAAGATGCAAAAGAATAAAAATTTTCGCATTAAACGTACCTGTGCTGTCGTATATGTAAGAACAACGGTATGCCTCCTGTTCTCTCGCGCCCTTATGAGGTAAGTGAGCATCAGCTATGATACAGAATTGATGACGTTGAAAATGTTTCGCGTTGGATAATCACCGAGCCTACCGGCTTACTTGGCATCTGTGATGTATCATAGGTACATACCTCCTAGGCACCTCTAGGAGGCGGGTGGTAGGTTTAGTACATGCGATGGAATCTCGAAGAAGCTTACCTCCTCTCGAGGGGTTACCTCTTTAGGTACCTCCTGGAAGGAGGAGGTACCTGCCCTATGTACTTACACAGGGCTGGAAGAACCCCCGGGCAGTAGGAGGCCTGAGGTACCTGAGGTACCTACCTACCGTAGGAGGTAGGGTGCCCGTTTGCTGAGAAATCAGCTCTCGCTGTGGACGTGATAGAGGTAGGTACCTATCCGCTTACCTATAACTACTCTGCCTGGGTCCCTAGGCGTAGGAGGTACCTACCTCCTGCTACACCTCCGATAGTTTCAACAAGATAGGTACATCGGATAGGTGCCCGAGGTTGACCGGACCACGCGCCAGAGGGAGGTACCTACTGCACTGACAGCTTCGCACGTTCACCCTCATTTTCTCTCCTCCTCCGTCCCCTTCCATCTCGAAGAACTGCGGTCGCTGTGGGGAGCAAAGACAGGCCGGCCGAAGCTCCCTCTGAAGAATCGATCGAAGCCTTCTATAAGAGAGTACCGGCGCTGCACTTGCCTGGCTGCCCTTCATCATCCCTCGTACCACCGATCCATCCAGAATCAACCCTCTCTCCATCTCTGCCAACGACGTCATCTCTAGCCGTTCTCTGACTGCTCAACCGCAGGTAAGTCGGATGCCTGGTGTTTCGGTGGTGGGGTTGTTGACCTTGGCCTGCTTTTTTCCGCCTCGTTTTCCCCTCCCCCCACCTCTCCCTTGCGCCGTGTATGGTTGCTAGCAACATCGCCGCCTTCACCTTGACCCCCTTCGCTACCGCCATCTTCGTCAACGCCAACAGCATCCTCCTCCTATACCGCCATCTGAACCTCCGCCATCCCGCCCTCTTCTGCCTCCCCTCCTCCCCGGAGCTACCAAGCCGCGCTCTGGACGAGCAAAACACGCCAAGCTGGGGAAGCGCAAGCTCGACAACGGAGACTTGCCTTTCTCCCCCAAGAGAACCATGGCCGTGAGTAGGCCTGTGCAGCCACTGGCGGACGCACACAGTCAACGCCCTACCTAGCTGCTTGCTTCCACTCATCCAACGCCCCGCCTGTATCGGCCAACCTATTCCACCTGTCTAGCATCTACCTGGCCACTTCGACCTTCATCGCCGCCCAGTGGCTGCAATTTGTTTACCCCCTCGCGTCTTCACACCTATGCTAATACGTTTTGGTGGCATACAGGACACCATAATGGCTTCGGGCATACCAGAAGTCGATCTGGTCACCCGAGTCCAGGTCGACAGCTCCGTCGCCGGCGCTGGCGAGATCGACGAGTCCCTCTATAGCCGGCAGCTCTACGTCCTTGGCCACGAGGCTATGAAGCGCATGAGCGCATCTAACGTGCTTATTGTTGGTCTGAAAGGTCTCGGTGTCGAAATCGCCAAAAATATCGCCCTTGCCGGTGTCAAGAGCTTGACACTGCACGATCCTACCCCCGTTGCCATCGCCGACCTATCCTCCCAGTTCTTCCTGCGTCCGGCAGATATCGGCAAGCCCCGCGATGTCGTCACTGTCCCCCGTGTCGCCGAACTGAACGCATACACACCTGTGAGCATCCACAAATCATCTAAGTACGTAATGATTTCCACCCGTCGGGACGGCGAGAGATGGCCAGCTAACGAACGATCAGCCTCGGCGAGGATTTATCCCAGTTCGATAACTACCAAGTCGTTGTCCTCACCAGCACCCCTCTCGACCTTCAACTCGTGATCGGCGACTACTGCCACTCCAAGGGTATCTACGTTGTCGTCGCAGATACTTTTGGCCTCTTCGGTTCCATCTTCTGCGATTTCGGCGAAAAGTTTACCTGTCTCGATGCAACCGGCGAAAACCCGCTTAGCGGCATAGTAGCCGGCATTGACGACGAAGGATTGGTCTCCGCGCTGGACGAGACGCGCCACGGCCTCGAGGATGGCGATTACGTCACCTTCTCCGAAGTCCAGGGCATGGAGACCTTAAATGGATCGGAACCGAGGAAAGTCACGGTGAAGGGTCCTTATACCTTTTCGATCGGCGATGTCTTGGGGCATGGTCAGTACCAGAGCGGAGGGCTGTACCAGCAGGTCAAAATGCCCAAGTTTATCGATTTCAAGACCATCTCTGCTGCCCTTCGCGATCCCGAGTTCGTCATCTCCGATTTTGCCAAGTTTGACCGGCCGCATCAGCTTCATATCGGGTTCGAGGCGCTACATGCCTTCAAGCAGTCGCAGGGCCGTCTACCGCGACCTCTCAACGACGAAGACGCTGCGGTCGTCGTTGCTTCGGTCAAGGCCTTCGTCGAGAAAGAGAATGTGGACATTGAGATTGACGAGAAGCTCATCAGAGAGCTCAGCTACCAGGCACAGGGCGACCTCAACCCCATGGCCGCTCTATTTGGTGGTCTCGCCGCGCAGGAGGTTCTCAAGGCGGTCTCGGGAAAGTTCCACCCGATCAAGCAGTGGCTCTATCTCGACTCGCTCGAGTCGCTTCCTACTAGCACCGCCCGAACCGAGGAGCTTTGTAAGCCGATTGGTACCCGGTACGACGGTCAGATTGCCGTCTTCGGAAGAGAATACCAGGAAAAGCTCGGGAACGTCAAAGAATTCCTGGTCGGCGCTGGAGCCATCGGCTGCGAAATGCTCAAGAACTGGGCCATGATCGGCCTCGGCGTGGGACCCAAGGGCAAGATTACCATTACCGATATGGACTCGATCGAGAAGAGCAACTTGAACCGCCAATTCCTATTCCGGCCGAAGGATGTCGGCCAGATGAAGAGCGATTGCGCCGCTAAGGCTGTGCAGGCCATGAATCCCGAGCTTGGGGGTCACATCGAGTGTCTGAAGGACCGCGTCAGCCCGGAAACGGAACATATATTCAACGAAGAATTCTGGGAGTCCTTGGATGGAGTTACCAATGCCCTCGACAACGTCGAGGCGAGAACCTACGTTGACCGGCGATGCGTATTCTTCCACAAACCCTTGCTCGAGAGCGGGACTCTCGGCACGAAGGGCAACACCCAAGTCGTCCTCCCCAGGTTGACCGAATCCTACTCGTCTTCCCAGGACCCGCCTGAAGTGTCGTTCCCTATGTGCACCCTGCGAAGTTTCCCAAACAGGATCGAGCATACGATAGCCTGGGCGCGAGAGCTTTTCGAGACTTCGTTCGTCAAGTCTGCCGAGACTGTTAACCTCTACCTAACCCAACCCAACTATCTAGAAACGACACTAAAGCAGGGCGGGAATGAGAAGGCAACTCTGGAGACGATCCGGGACTACCTCGTGACGGACAAGCCGCTGAGCTTCGAGGACTGCATCATCTGGGCACGAATGCTGTTTGAGAAGCAATATAACAATGCGATCCAACAGCTTCTGTACAACTTCCCCAAGGATTCCGTGTCCTCTAGCGGTACTCCCTTCTGGTCGGGCCCGAAACGTGCCCCCGATCCACTGAAGTTCGATCCGAAAAACCCGGTTCATTTCGAATTCATCGTGGCGGCCGCTAATCTCCATGCCTTCAACTACAACATTAATACGAAGGGCGTAGATAAGGCGCTCTACTTGAAGGTCTTAGAGAACATGATCGTCCCCGACTTCTCGCCCGACCCGGGCGTCAAGATCCAGGCAAACGACAGTGACCCCGTGAGTTTTGCGTGACCTAGTAATAATACCGCTACAGGCAGTGGCTAACAATCGGGCAAGGACCCGAACGCCAGCAATAGCAACCCTTCTGCTTTCGACGACAATACCGAGATACAGAAGATTGTCGACAGCCTTCCCGCCCCCAGCACGCAAGCAGGATTCAGGCTGACACCGGTAGAATTCGAGAAGGATGACGATAGCAACCACCACATCGACTTTATCACAGCGGCGAGCAACCTACGAGCCAGCAACTACAAGATCGAGCTAGCCGACAGACATAAGACGAAGTTTATCGCCGGCAAGATCATCCCGGCCATCGCGACGACGACGGCACTGGTGACCGGTCTCGTGGTCCTGGAACTGTACAAGGTCCTCGACGGCAAGGACGACATCGAGCAGTACAAGAACGGGTTCGTCAACCTCGCGCTGCCGTTCTTCGGCTTCAGCGAGCCGATCGCCAGTCCCAAAGTAGAGTACAAAGGGCCGGAGGGCAAGGTGACGTTGGACAAGATCTGGGATCGGTTCGAGATCTCGGACGTGACGCTGAGGGAGCTCATCGACGACTTCCAGGGCAGGGGCCTCAGCATACAGATGCTCAGCTCGGGCGTGAGCCTGCTCTACGCGGGCTTCTTCCCGGCGGCGAAGCTGAAGGATAGATACCCGCTCAAGCTGAGCCAGCTGGTGGAGACGGTCTCGAAGAAGCCGATCCCGGAGCACCAGAAGGAGCTCATCTTCGAGATAGTGGCGGAGGACCTAGACGAGGAAGACGTCGAGGTACCGTACATCAAGGTCCGGATCCGGTAGACGGACGAATCAGTCGAATGGCCAGGCCGGTAGGTAGGGTGCATCAATTGGGCAGCATTGTACGAGTAGTCCCGGCGGTTCGCCGCTCTCACGGACTCGCAATCGGCAGAGCAGCAGGTTCAGCTTCGTCGACGATCTAACTCGGTTAGAGCGTCGACATACCCATGTTGCGTACGTGTGCGCGTATGCAAGCTCTCTCCTTTATACCTAGGTTAGTAGGCAGGGCCCGTCCCCGAGTGGCCGAAACGGACAGTCGTAAATAGACTTGATTTATTTTTGAGCCGACCCGTGGATGTCGCTGCTTTCCCGGCTTCGATATTGTCCTGCGCCGGGTCCCGGCGTCGCCTCTCGTCCCGTGCGATATGGAGGTACCTACCTACGGTACCTACGTCATTAGGGCCAAAGTTGGTACAATACATTTAGAAGAGGTACCTACCTAGCCTAAGCTGCCTTGAGGCACGTAAAGCACACTCAGTACCTCTACCTCTTACAAGTTCCAACTCGGTCGATACATTACCTAAGGTACCCTCTATCTCTATGGTAAGTCCTTAGTAATCTATGAGGTGGCGGGCGTACTTACGTCACGATCCGTAATCGCGGTATATGAGTAATCGCAACGTTGCCGTCGCCGGAGCCGATGACAAACCGGGGCGTAAGTCGAGCTAGGCCGGTTCCATCGTCCTCCATCTCTCTTATTCTACCCTCCCACCACCATCTCCGAAGTCCCCAGCCCTAAGAACACCTACGACCGAAGAGCGCAGTACTTCTTGGTGCCTACTGCCACCTATATCGCGGGCCGTTTCGAGACCGCGCCGGCGACAATTCGACCAGGTTAGTAGCCGTCTTCAGATAGCTCGCTTCCTGCAGGTAGGTAAGTGAGGGAGTCGGGATACCTAGCTGGATTGATATACCTACCTACCTACCTACCTAGGTATAAAAAGTGCCTAGAGATTCCCTGCCACCACCACCGCTAACACTGCTACCTACTGCGTCCATCCATCTTCTCCTCCCCTCCCCTCTCCTCTCTTTCCACCCCCTCGCCTCCAGCGCCGCACTCGGAGCCGTCCATGAACGTCGGCGCCTGCTCGGTCCGAGTTGGAGTCGTGCCGCGCCGCTGCCGTGCTGCCCTGTCTTCGCCGCTACCGTCGGCGTTTTCCTCTGCTTTTTCTTCTTCTCGTCCGTTCCCGTCGTCACCCACCCCCTCGCCGCTGTTGGCAACGTCACGACTGGGACAGGGAGCCGACGTTATTTGTGGGCGGACTAGCGGCTATAGAGGGATCGTGTCGGTGTCAGTGTCCCAGAAGGGCCAGGCGTTCGGTGCTGGGTTGACGGGGTTCTTCGCAGAGGCTTATAGATCGGGATTAAGCAGCAAGAAGCAGGTCGCGATGGTGAGAAAGCCCTCCTCCCTTTCCCAAGACCCACCTGGCTTGCTGACGGGTTGGAGCAGGCGTCCAAGATCACGGACTGGGTCAAGCCCGGCGACCCGAGCGGCGAGTTCAAGCGCCAGGCCAGCACGTTCCGCGACTGGATCTCGGATGAGCCCGGCGCCAAGTTCCCACCCGAGAAGGGCCGGTACCACCTTTATGTCAGCTACGCTTGTCCATGGGTACGATCTCCTCAACTCCCCCGTTACTTTCCTTTTTAGCAAAGAACTTGCGCAAGCGTCCGCTGCGGCTGGGGGCTCACGCCGGTCATATAGGCTACGCGAACCCTCATCGTGAGGAAACTTAAGGGACTTGAGGACTTTATTTCTTTCTCTAGCGTGCACTGGCACATGGGGGAAAATGGTGAGTTCATCCCTTTTCCGTTTTATGTCCCCCCCTCGCGTATTCCTGTATGACGTTCGACCGGAGACCAACTAAATGCCGGAAGGATGGCGCTTCCCAACTCCCGCCGACACGGACGCGGCGGGTGAGAATGTGGTACCAGACCCGGTGCCAGGACACGAGGGGTACACACACCTACGACAGGTGTATCTAGGGGTGGACCCGGCGTACGCGGGGCGGTTTACAGTGCCGGTGCTGTTCGACAAGCAGACGGGCGTGATCGTGAACAACGAGAGCAGCGAGATCCTGCGCATGCTCGGGCATGCGTTCGACAGCCAACTGCCGCCCGAGGCGGCGTCGGCCCGCGCCCTCGACCTATACCCGGAGCAATTGCGCGCCGCTATCGACGAGGCGCACGCCTGGACCTACGACAAGATCAACAATGGTGTGTACAAGTCCGGCTTCGCCACCACCCAAGAGGCCTACGAGCGCAACGTTACCGCCCTCTTCGACGCCCTCGACAGGGCTGAGAAGCACCTCGCTAAGACCGGCGGGCCGTTCTTCTTCGGCGATCAGATCACCGAGGTTGACGTCAGATTGTGAGTTCCCCTGTTGCCGGTTCCTCCGCGTTCCCACATGTTCTGTTATTCCCTCACGGCTCCCTCCCCCCTGAACCCGTGTTGAAACTCGATGCTCTCTAACAACCCCGGTCACGGGATATGCCAGGTTCCCAACGCTAATCCGGTTCGACCCGGTGTACGTGCAACACTTTAAGTGCAACCTACGGGACATCCGGTCGGGGTACCCGCACCTTCACGCGTATACGCGGCGGCTCTACTGGCAACACGCAGCCTTTGGTGACACGACCAACTTCCTCCACATCAAGAACCACTACACCCGCAGCCACCCTCAGATCAACCCCTTCTCCATCACCCCCCTCGGCCCCGTCCCTGACATCCTGCCCCTCGATGACGAGGTTCCCGCCGCAAAGGCCGCGGTCGCTGCAGCGACAGGGAAGGCGTCATGATGGGATAGACACGAGTTTACCTGCCGGCTTTACTGAGAAAGGGAATGCGGAGAGAAGGGTGGGCTTTCGAATGTACGTGTCCGTAACGGGCCTTGAACCGATCATTTGCCCCCGAGCTTTTTTTCCCCTCTGTCTTTATAGGTTCTTCCTTATTGGGTGTGGACTACCACTACTCTGAATGTACGGGGACATTATCTACATCTGTATGATGTCGTTGAATGGGGACAGCCGACGCTTCAGGATACGCTGTGCGCCGTGGCTACCTGCGTATTGTGAACTCATTTAGAGCCTCGAGGAAGGACTTGTAAGCATGGAATAATGGGATTATCTAAACGAACTTATGAAGCAGGGCTTAGTACGGTCACAGACTATTGGAGCATATCAATTTAGTAGAAGCCTATTATCGACATGGGCTCCGCCTATACTGACGTTCGTACCGTGATCGAACCAGGGCGTCAATGACCTCTTTTGTACGCGCACTTATACCTAAATCTGACTCGACGACCTATCCACAGCAACATTTACGACATTCACATCTCGCACAAGCAAAGTAGAAGCTACAACCTAGTTTCTAGGCTTTCTTTTTAGTGGTAGGCACTGTTACTGCGCTAGACCCCTATTTGTATCTATACATTAACACGTCCTCGTGCCAGACAGAGCGTGTGCAGCGCAGCGCCCGACGACCTCGGGCACTGGAGCCCACCGCTCGACGGCAGCAGAGGAACCTCTGCTTCGTCTCTCCTCGCTGGCTCCTTTCCCTTCCCGCTAAGTCCTTCTTCCTTCCGCCCCCCCGGGTCGCCGTTCCTCACACCGCCGCACTCGACTCCCTCGCGAGACGGGCAAGCCGGCGCGCGCGCGGACAAGCAGACTGCGGGCGTGCGAGCGCGCGAGTGGTAGAAAAGGGGGGGGGGGTTGCGCCAGCGCCCTAGCCGAGGCGCCGGCCGGCCGGGCCCGCGCGCCGCGGCGGCAGGAGCGGCTGCTCGGGGCCGGGGCCGGGGCCCGCGCGGTGCGCGCTGTCGCCGTCGCCGTCGTCGTCGTCGTCGTCGTTGTTGTTGTTATCGTCCTGGTACTGCTGCCGGCCGCCGCGGGCCCAAGCGACCGCGACGTCCACAGGCCAGGAGAGCCAGGCGCCCCCGCCGGACGACGCCGAGGTGTCGCTCGAGGACGAGAGGTCCTCCACCAGGCTCGGCGGCGACTCGTCCGGCCCCGGCGTGTGGCCGGCGTGGCGGACGGCGGCGGCGTCGTGGTCGTCGGGGGCTGCGGCGTCGTGGTCGTCCGGGGCTGCGGCGTCGTGGTCGTCCGGGGCGCCGGCGCAGCAGCACGGGCAGCAGCAGCAGCGCGCGAGGGCCGCCAGGGCCGCGCAGACCCCTGGGGCGCCGGTGGTGGCCTCCGGGTTGGTAGTCTGCGGATTGGTAGTCTCCGGGTTGGCAGCCTGTAGATTGGCAACCTGTGGATTGGCAGCCTGTGGATTGGCAGCCTGTGGATTGGCAACCTGCGGATTGGCAACCTGCGGATTGTCGGGCTGCGCGTCGCCATCGCCGTCGCTGTCGTCGTCGTCGTCGTCGGTGGGGTCGGCGCCGGTGCCGCGGACGGCGACGAGGCCCAGGCTCGCGCGCGCGTGCGCCGTGGCGCGGTGCGTGCTGGCGAGGTCGAGCCGCGGCGGCGGCGGGTGCCGCGTGCCGCGTGCCTCCGCCACGACGGCCGGGTACGCGTACGCGGGCCCTCTCGGCGGCGCAGACCACAACGGGTAGCGGGGCGGGGGCAGGGGAGGCGGCGCGGCGGACACCGGGCGCGAGCGCAGCCGTGCGGCGGCCGAGGCCGACGGCGCGGCGACGACGGCCACCGGGTGCAAGCTTAGTGGTGCGGCGTACGCCGGCTGCACGGTTCGTGGTGCGGCGGTTAAGGCCGAGGGCCCGGCGCCGGCCGACGCCGTGTCGAATGATGCTCGGCGAGAGCTCCGGGGCGCGGCGGCCGAGGTCGATGACGACACGGTGCCGGCGGACGCCAGGTGCCCGCCTCGTAGTGCGGCGGTTAAGGCCGAGGGCCTGTTGCTGGCCGGCGCGGTGCCGGCTAGTACTCGGTACGAGCTTAGGGGTACGGCGGCTTCGGTCGACAACGCGGTGCCGACTGGCGGCGGCTGCGAGCTTTCGGACGCGGCGGGCGCAGGGACTGGCGCAGGGTCGCCAGGCGGGGAGCCCATGGGCGCATCAGGGGCGCGGGGGCGGTCGGGAGAAGACATTACTATAATATTTAAGTTGCTATGATGATGCACACGAGGGCAATGCGAGCTTCGTCCGGAGGCGGATTTTGGCGTGGCACGGCGAGGCTCGGCTGGCCCCGTTAACAGAGATAGATGTGTGCGGGAGAAGAGAGAAAAAGAGGGAAATGGAGGAGTAGGAGTATATATCAGACCAAGATTCCCTGCTGGTGTTTGGAAAGAGAGCTGGGAGGTGCTGCCGTGCGGACTTGGTAAGCAGAGGGAGAAGGCACCGTGACGAGGGCGCTGCTCGCACGGCAACCGAGTCCTGCCCGAGCAACGGCAGACGCGCCGCGTCCCAGCCGAGATAGCAGACCGGCGTTCTCAAGAGGGTGCTCGTCTGCGATGTTGAGAAGGGGGGAGGTGTAGGTGGGAAGGAAGAAGGGAAAGGAGAAGGGATGGGTGGAGTTGACGGATTCGACTAGAGTTCTCGTCGGCAAGGGAGGCCTCGGCACGATGCGCGTCGGAGAGAAAGCCTACGTGAGAGAAAACCTAAGTGAGAGAAAACCTACGCGAGAGAAAACCTAGGTGGGAGAAAACCTAGGTGGGAGAAAACCTAGGTAACCATGTTATGTGTGCCCGCCCCTGAACCCCTATTCCAGTTACCTTCCTAAGAAGCTCTATCTATATGGTAAGTATTACATGTGCCTTTGCTGTTCTTGTTGCTGCCTACCCTATCCTCCGGCTACCCCATTCCTTGGTTTCGATTCTGATCGTAGATGCTATACACCAGCTGCAGGGAACAACTATTTAGGTAACAGATAAAAGCTCCCTTTACAGGGACAAGTTACTCCGGGGCCTATGTTCCCAACAGCATTCACTTAGCCTTTTCCACTAGATGAGCAGACATGTATACCTCTACCATACCTACCATACCTTGCTCTCCTATTGCTTAATACTAGGCATCGCGGCCTAACTACCCATCCTGACCCGACAACTCCCGTTCTCCTATCCGCAGGGCACGACACAGTCGGCACTCCCCCTCCCTGTCGCGTCTTGTCGGGTCCTCCGAATCGTAACTGGCCAGACGACTTGTCTCGTCTCGTCTCTCTACCGAGGCCAGCTGACTAGAAGCATGGCCCCCGGATGGCGAGGCAGAACTGGCACACCCCCAGCGATAGGAGGGCAGAAGCCACACGCGCCCCGATACGCGCCGCCGAGGTATCCCTCGTGCGTATTAGAAGCAGAATCAAGTGCGCGTCAAGGGAACCCAAGTACCCTAGGCCCCGGGGGGGCCTAGTGAAGAAGTGTCCTAGACTAGGTAACGTGGCTTCGCATTTACGATGTGAGGACCGAAGGTGGATAAGTATAGATATATCTAGACCTGGCGACAGCAAACAAGAAAAGGAAAAAAAAAGGAGCACACGCAATAAGACGAGCATGACGCCTTTCCAATACACTGGCAACTATTTCCATTTCTCTTCCCTACCTACATAAAAATTGACCGGACCCGCTAAATACAAGCATCATGGAGGCTTATGGAGATGACCCAAGATTAACCACTCATTATTATGCGTATGCGTCAGAAAATGTCGGCGCCGCTTCGTATGGATATCCCAGATAACTCTTCTCTCTCCCTCCCCTCTACTTTTATTCAATTCCATTATACAATGCTTCCTGTCCAACCTTCTGGCCTGGGTGAGTATATCTCCCCTTAGAATACTCTCCATGCGACATTATATAAATGTATATATATACCTAGTGGAAACGTGACCATCCGAATATATGCAGAAATATGACTGGGAGGGATGGATCATGACGTTTGAGACACAGCTTGGCCTTGTTTCCGTTATAACTGACCGGAGAGTAGCGCCTCGGTTGCTGATGACTTTGTTAGCAAATATACGGGGTGGTTAGAATATGCGAATATACGTACCACTGTTGATGTATAACCGTCGGGAATCGAGAGGCACGTTAAACCGTCTCTCTAGCTCCTGCTTGATGCCCTTCTTGGTAACGGTCATCAGATCGGCTGTCCGGAGAATCTCGCGGATCTCGGCCAGCAGGGCATCGTCACTTGGCATGCCTGCAAGATTGGACATCTCAACTTCGTGCGGTTGGCTGCCCAAGAACTGCGAACCGCCAAATTGGCTCATCCGGTTATCGGCGGGAGCGAACGACATGCGGCTCAGGTGGCCGGCATTCTTGATGTCGTAGGGCGGGATCATTCCGACGGTAGACCCGGGATGTGAGGGCGCGTAGCCGTACTCGCCCATGCCGATGTTCATACCCTGCTTGGTGGCATAGCTGAACCCGCTCACTTCGGAACGGGAGTCGTCCCGGGAGGTCTGAGCATCCCACAGCTCGGCTTGGTATTCCTCCCACTTCTTGCGCGGGATCGAGGCGGGGTCGAATTTACCCTCGTCCGTGATGACGATCTTCTTGCCCTGCTCACCAGCAACCACACGGGTGTTACCCCAGTTGAAGTCGTCCATGTGCCAGAAAGCATACAGAGGAAGACCAAACGAAAATACGGGGATGGCCAACACGTACATGATCATCCAGCCGATCATCTCCCACTTGCGGCGCAGGATGAAAATGATAGCCTGGAGACCGTAGATGGCACCAAGCATGATGAAGGCCGTCACGGGTATGACGCTCGTCTGCGTCGTGACCAGTACGATTAGGTAGATGATGTACGCTATAACCACGGGTTGGACGACCGTCGACAGCAGGTCAACAAATACGACGAACCGCATGCTGAAGCAGCAGAAACCGCACAGTTGGGCCATAGGCATGAGCTCCACCAAGTTGTGTACTGTCGAGTTGATCCAGCGGCGACGCTGCGAAAGGAACACCTGCCAGGAGTCCGGAGCGATGGTCCACGCGTGGGCGCTGAAGATGTACTTGGTCTTGTAGCTGGAGTGATACTTGAGGAGGAGGGTCGTGAGATAGCGATCTTCACCGAGGTGAAGCAGATTCTTCATATGCAGGGTATCGACACGGATTGTCGCATAGCTGTCGACGACTTCGCGGCTGACGAAGAGGGGCTTACCAGTTTCGGCAGCGCGAATACGATACATGGAGAAACAACCGGGCAAACAGGTGACGCTGCCGAACAAGCTTTCGAAGGCTTTGACCAAGTTATGCGAGATGTAGTACTCATACACCTGGATCATCGTGATGAACGAGGCCTTGGCGTTGGTGAGGGCGGTTTCACCGCAGACGGCGATGAGTCGCGTGTCGTCCAGGAAGGAGGAAACCATGCGTGTAGCCGAATCGGGTGCAACCACCGTATCGGCGTCGATCTGGAGCATGAACTCGTAGAACGTAGGGTTCACTCCGATAATGTTCCGAATCTGGTGATACATCTCTAGCTCCAGCGGGCTCATGGGTATGTTATAGTGAACCCGGTTAAGGAAACGCATCATGACCATCTGGGAATCTCGCTTGCCGCGGTTTCCGGGACGAGAGACCTCCGAGGGTTTGCCGACCTTGACAACGACCAGGAAGGGAACGATGTGACCTTGAACTTCGTAGAGACCAGAGTAGACCTTACCCATGTTGTGTTGCTTGAGACCTTCACCGAGGGATTCGAAGCTCAGAGGTTCCGGGTCTACCGTCTCGGATACGCCGAGAATATCGAGCACGATGCGAGGCGTGGGTCTATCGTTGCCCTGGCCGATAATCATGCCGTCACAGATAATGACGAGCAACTTGCGCTTGTCGTCGTACCGCATGCGGGCGGCCGAATCGATAGCCCGGCGTAGCGAGTCCTCGTCTTCGGTATAGGCGGGGATCTGGCACATGATGAATTTATCTAAATTCTCTGGCATGTTCTTCCCTCCGAATTGGAGGGCAGCCAAAAACTTGAACCCGATGATGGAGCAGAGCAAGATGGACACGGCGAGAATGAGATACTGCGAGAACTGGCATTTCGTCGAATTTCGGGTATCGAGATCACCGATGTAGAACAGGTTGTCGAGACACAACTGCATGCGCTCGCGCATGCCGGCGTCGATGTCAAGGGCGTACCAGAGCTGCGTTATGTCAGAGCCGGCCTTCTGCTGGAAGAGATCCACGACGAGCTCGTCCATGAAGTCGACAATGGTGGGGTCGGTGGGGAGCTCTTCGCCCTCCTTCACCACCACGTGTCGACCGCCGACGAGGTACTTGGTCAAGTCGTATACGCGTTCATTGAGAATAGCGATCGTGTTCTGCTTACTCCCAAGCGTGGCCACATACTCCGCCGAGTACCCGATGGTACCTTTCTTGAAGGGTTTCAGTTCCTGCATCTTCTCGTAAAACCAGAATGGTTGGGGTAGAGACGTGAAGGAACGGAAGTCGTGATAGTGCGCATTGAGATCCTGGCTGTTGATGACGTTGGCCGAACCGGTGATGTTCGTCGACTTGTAGTCCAACGTGACGGCGGGGTTAACCGTTCCGTCTTTGCCCCGACATAGAGCCGAGACCTGGATGGGGAAGAGAGATGTGATGTCCATACCAGCGTACTGCGTCAACGTCTTGATGGACACGGAGCGCGGGTAGTGAACGGGGGCATATGAGCCAATATCGATGACCTGGCCACGAATCGAGGCGTACGCGTCATTGCCGTCCTTGCCGTCGTGGGAGGAGAGTTCTTCCGCACTGAAGACATGTTGTCTCGGGCAGATGAGCATCGGGAAGACGATGATGAAAAACACCGAAATGAGACAGCTGAGCCAGATCATGATGTTGATTGCGAGCTTCTCACGCCAGGCCATGCGGACATCCTTGCGGGGCATCCGGCCTAGCCAGCGGATCAAGAAGTCGGGGACGAACCAGGTCAGCGCGTAGACGACGAAAATCCACCGCTTCCGGCTGGGACTATCTTTGTACTCTTCGACTTCAACCAGTGCCTTCTCGTTTCCGCGCTCGGCCATCTGTTCTCGTGTGTCCAGGTTCTTAAACATGTCACCACCTCCGAAGGCCGAAGCGCCGGCTTCGGATCGGGCGTCGTCTCCCAAGTATCCGCCTCGGGGCTTATCGCTGTACTGCGGAACACCGCCAGCCACCAGCCGCTCCTTCGACGCACCGAACGGCAAGTCGCCGGGACTAAGTCCATCGCCGGCGTCGGACGCGAACCTGTTAGATCCCGAAGCGCCTTCACCCAACTGGGCTATTTCCATCCAGGACCGCTCGCTGAGGAACACACCGGTAGAGCCGACCTGCACCTCGTTGCTCGGCCATTGCTTATTCTGTACGACGGCCTGGACCTTCTCCCGCTCGCTTCCGACGAGGATAGTCTCGGCGTCGCTGAGGCCGAGGAACTCGCCGAACGGCAGGAACAGGCTGAAGTCGGCCGACCTCAGCCGCTGGCTTATCTCGGCGATACCAAATGTCTGCACTTGCGTACGGACGCACTTGCTGTCGAACTGGTTCGCAATTCGCCTGTCGTTGGGTTTGAGGCAGAACACGAAATAGGTGTTGGTATTCGGCGCCGTGATGGCCTGATTCATATTCTCCAGCGACGACAAGAACTGGCCAGATGCGCCCTGTTCGGAGTGTATGATCGATTTCTTTGCCCCGTCTCCCTTTGCGCGACTCTCTCCCCGACGGTCGGTAGCCTCGCCGAATTCGTCGATGGACTCTTGCCGCCGCGGTCGCCGGGACCCCATCGTTCGCGTCGTCTTCCTCGACATGACGCTAGGTGCTCGCATAGGCTTGGAGCTGACGGACGCCTGCATGACCGTGGTCCTTTCTTGCGGGTGCATGACTGTCTGGAGGGCTTCTTGGCCGAAGAGGCGAGCAACAAACTCGCTCTTGCTCGATTTGATGAGGTTCATCACGTCGCTCGAGATGACTTCCCCGTTCTCCTCGACGAGCCCTTTGATGGGGTATTCGACCTCACCGGCGAAGTGTTTAACCGAAAAGGTTGCCGCCGTGTTCTCCGACAAGAAGTTGCTTCCCGGCAATCTAGCCGTCGCCGAGCCGACGTTGATGGCTGGGTTCTTGCCCTCGAAACGCTTCCTTAAACTCTCGAGGAACTGCATGTCGGTCCGGTGCCGCCGAGTCTGGTCGTCCAAGATGCTGAGTAGACCGTTCCCGGGCTTAAGCATGCCTTTGACGGCGTCGGAGTTGTCGAAGTAACTAGTGGCGGGGACGGTGACCTCTTCGGTATCTAGCATGTCAGCTGTTCGGTCGAAGAAGTTCTGGAGGGTCAAGTTGTAGAGAGATTCGACAGCAGCATTGTTGAGGAGCTGGTCGAGGGCGGACCCAGTCGAGGACTGCTGGGAAAACCCGGGGAAATCGATGATGCTGATGGTGTTGGCGATAGACTCCTCCGGAGCACAGATCTTCTGGTTGGTGTTTTCGATGACGTAGGCAACCAGGAGAGAATAGAGAGTCCTGGCCAGTTCATCGGCGTTGGCTCGCGCACCCTTAGGGTCCAACATGACCGTCACACGTTCGCGATGAATCATTTTCGTCTTGTATCCCATGGTAGTCTGCAGCTCCTGCGAGCCGACCCCGAGGAAGGCGGCAATGATACCCAGCACATCCTTGTTCCGTGCGGCCGTGATGTTTTGACCGCCTTCGTGCGAGAACCCGCCGCTGTCGTCGGCCGTAGCAGTGGTGCTGGAGGTGGTCTCGAATTCTAGCTGGCCGATATGCAAGATACAAGCCAGGATCTGGCAGACCTCGGCGATCTCGCTCCTCGGAAACTCCAATTTTCGCAGGGCCGTCTTGAAGAGCTGGAATCCCTCGGCGTCGTTGATTCCGACCTTGAGCTGGGTGGGGTGGCCGAGGTACTTCCACCGCCTCTGGCCGGTCGCGTCTCTAGGCGTGTCGATACCCAGATGGGCCTTCTCAGCCTCGCTAGTGCCGGCGAGGAGATAGTAGAGGATGTGGAAATTGCGCTCGCCGGTAGGCACATCCGTAATCCTACTCCTCTCGAGACGATGATCTAGCAGTTTGCCGCCGATGAGAACGGGACTGGTTGTCGAAGCGGTGTCATACTGAAGTTCGTAGAAGAGACCAGCTTTGGATGCCGTCGGAGTCGTCGCGGTCTTGGTCGTCGTGAGCGTATCAAACACGTAAGCAGCAAGAGAAACTTTGGTAGAGAGCGGCGTCGAACACTTGTTCAAGAGCGCGGTCAAGAGGTGGGAGCGAATGGTAGTCTTTCCCGAGCCGGACTCGCCCCTGCAAATTGTGGCATCAGTCCCGTACTCTCTCGCGCGACTCTGGGCTGCGAATTTCTGGGGGTCGACTTACAGGAACAAGATGGCCTGGTTTTCTGTGCGGTGACCTAATCTGAGGAAGGCCCGGTCGGCCATGTCCTCGGCGCCGGCCATGGCGCTGCCTTCCTTCCCTCCATCGAGACCCTTCGTCGACGAGGTGTAGGTGTTGAGGGAGATGAGGGCATGCGAAGACAAACGGGCCGTCGGGATAGACACGTGGAACCGACTAGCAAGATGTGCCGTCAAGTGAGTATCGGACTGGAGATGGGCGGGGAGCGACGGCAGCGACGGCTGCGTGTGAGCGCCTCCACTGCCGCCCATCGAAGGCAGATTCAGAGCCATGTTGGATCGAGGGCCAGAGCTGGCGCCCTGTCAACCGGCCGACGGGAGTCCGACGATGCTCTCAGCGTCTGCGACTGACGCTCGCGGGCCGCCCGAGCAAGGGAACACGGAATTCAGAAGGGGTTGTAGTAACCTTTCCGGGTCCTGGATGCCACGAGGCACGAGGCCGAGGATCGTCCCCTTTAGCTTTTGCCGTCCTCTCGATTCCTCGTTGTCTACCGCGCCTCTCACTTATTCTGGAGGGACCACGAGGATTATCGGGTCACTTCGGGAAAGCAAGGGCAGAATTACGCGTAGCGAATGTACATGAGCATGCAATAACGAGTGTAGTTTAAGCAGGGCGGACAGCGAGAGGAGAGGCAAACGGAGAAAGAGAAAAGTCAAGAGTGACTTGAAGCTCTCCCCAGCGATGCCCTTTTTTTTAGGAGGGGGGTTGTTCCGTCCAGATGAAAGGGGACTTGAGTCCAGGGCGGTCTCTCGCCCTTGGACGGGTTATTTCTGTCGGATGCCCTCGCGGCATGCGTCGTGGTATTGTAGGTACCTGCCTACGTAGGTACATAGCTACGTGTAGGAGGTGGGCAGTAGCGTAGTGGGCGATGTGTCTAACCTATTAAGGTAGTATATCAGGCAGCCCATCCATTGGACTGGCTTGGTGCGTAGCGACTGATTCGTCGGCGTCTATTGGGTACGTACCTAGCTATTGAGGGATTAGGCGGCGGGTTGTAGCGCGGTACCGTACTACAGTGCGCAGTTCGGGGTGCACGGCTGCCCACCGTAGTGCCTCCGTCGGGCTTGTGGCAGGGGTTCCCGAGGCGCAGGTTCCCATCATGCTACAGGGCACTGTGACCCGCCCATCCCTTCCGATCCGGACTAGTGCGCATTGCCATTCCATGTTTTGTTCACCCATTACCCTTGCCCATCTCGCCTTCCCCGTCCACGGTCGACGAGGTGCTGGACGACCCGCTGTTGAGTGGGTCTCGCTTTGCCTTAGTCCCAACCCTGGCGCCCGCCGTCATTTGCATATACCACGCAGTGAGTACATAAACATATACTATAGCTACATATATTCTATGCAGATAGGCAGGTTATGTACCACAGCGAGCCGACGACGTCCCTACAAGGCATAACCGCAGGTACCGAACAGGGAATGAGGTCAGCTTGGCAAGTTTTCTCTCTAGCTACCTTGCAAATAAGTAGGCATTATAAGAATGGGCGGGTCTATGAAGATAGGTATACTATATATGCACATGGTCTATACGATCGAGGAGACGTGCATCACCAACATAGGTATGGCCATCTTGCATTGGGGAGCAAGTACCGTAGTAATAGGGGCCTTGACATCGCTTCTGTTTTGCTGGCTTCGTATTCGTGCGGTCAAGACCGTACTTCGAATAGAGGAATAAGAGAAAAAAAACCCCCCATAATTAAAAGAAAGGGGAGATCGGTAGGTGCATACAGTGAAAGAGATGACGCTTCACACGCCCGCTACGTAGTAGCTGGTCTCACATACGAGCCTACCACCCACTCCGTTGATCGATCCGCGCGGAATTTTCTAGGATACCTGCATGGTAGACCCGAGAAGACGAGCATCGCCTCCGGCTAGTCTCGACTGGTCAAGGATGGGACCCGCTTGCCCTCTACCCTTCATGATCTCTTCGTGATCTTTGCTCTTCCTGCAAGGAAGACATCGTAAACTTCGCGCGGCCATGTGCGGGAGCATATGCGTAGCATCCTGCTCGAGCTAGACCTGACTTCCATAGATCGGGACATCTACATACATACATACGTACATACATCAACACACTATCTGACCCATCCCTGGCCCGCGTTCTCCGAGGAGATATGTATGTATATGGGTAGGTATGTACATAATCTCTACGTATGTGCGTATACACGTCGTACGGGCATTAGTGTAGGGTAGGGGTTGGTGCGGGAAGGGTGAGAATGAGCAATCGCGAGAGCCGAGATGTCGATATTGAAGATTTACGTAACTATGTAACAGCGGGCGACTCGGGACAGAATCCTAGCAGTTGTGACAACATCATTTCAGGGGAGGCTGAAGGGGAAGTCTACCATGGCGGCAGTGGTTGACATCCGTACACGTACTTGCTTCCAAGCCCTTTGGGAGCGAGACAGGAGGTTAGTGATCGTTCGAGCCGAAGGAGGAAAGGACTCGGCAGAACTGGAAAAGCTGAGAGAGTGCGCGCACACACGCACACACGCACACACAGGGACGCCACATACTGTGGATGAATGTATCATTATGCGGGTCGTATTGAAGAATACCTAGGTCTCTCACAACACATACCTATGGATAGTGTACTCATAGGCACATGTGATGATTATCGCTTGCCGGGTTTGAAGCAGGTAGCCGTCCTGCCTTATCTCCCCTCTCGTCCCCCCTCTCTCTTCTCGTCTCTCTCCTGTCGCGAGATGTCCATTGGTGAGACAAATGTCAACAAACAACTGAGGTATGGATGTTGTTGACGTGCGAATCGCCCCCCGGTCAGCTGCGGTGAAACTAGTAACGCCACAGTTTACGGGGACAACGGGCCTGGTAAGCTGCTGCTCGTCGGACAGACGTACCTAGTAAAGGTATCGTTTACGCCATCTACTACATTGTATGGGTGTATGCGCACGCGGGATCCGTTCACTTACACTACTGCCCAAGACAGGATTGGCTGGCGACAGTGGCTGCATCCAAGCCCACCCAGGTCCTTGGTAAATAAAAAAACGAAATGGCCTAGAGAGATGGATGGATGTGTTGCCCCCTCGCCTTCGCGTGAAGCAACGATGCCGACTCTCCAGGCTCGGTACTTTAAGTGCCCTGTACCTACGTGTAGATATATACCGCTGCCCTAATTAGATACCTACGTCAGTGGGACGGGTTTCACGTATACTATAGAATACCGAGAACGCGACGGACTGCGCTGCCACCGACACGGTTTTGTCCGCCGAAGTTTCTCGGCGTCTAGCAAAGAGAACTACAGATTTCTGCGGCGGACATGCATATACGATTTTCCTAGGCGAAGAAATCCTCTAACGAAGCCTCTCGTGCCGGAGTTAAGGTTATTCTCAGGGCTAGTTGGGGCGAATTGCTGTATCATCAATATACTCCATCTTCGTTCTCGTACCCGTCGATCACGTCGTCCCTCTCCTGCTCGGAATAGGGGAGCCCGATCTCGAACACGGGGAAGCGGGAGAAACACACGAGCGCACACGACAAGAAGAAAACGAGGGATGAGGGTGACTGTGCTCGTATCGGCGAGTTGGTGTGTGTGGCTGTGTGGCATTGGAGACGTTGCGTACAGATCGAGCGCGAGAGCGCAGAGAGAGAGAGACTGAGAGACAAAAATAAACAATAAAAGTGGTACCCGCAAGAGTTCGAGAAGGCTATTCGACCTTGGTCGAGCCGGCTCGTCTCCATTTGTTCGTTGGTCGCCATTCGTCCCCTTCCCCCTCCTCCCCATCTGACCGGCTTCGTATTTCCCACCCCCGCCCCGGTCTCTTCCCTCCATCCCTCTGCTGGTTCGTACCCGCATGAGGACTAGGCGTCCTCAATCCCTATCCGTTCGGACGTCCATACGCACCGAGGATGCGCAGGCCCGTAGGGGGGTGGCCCCCAAGTTTTGGCCAGTGTGTCAAACCGTACAAATCACCCCATGCCGATTGGTCATGCCATCGCCACTACATCAGCGAGGCATCGGTTGTGTACGCGATACCCGTGCCTCAATTGCGGTGGTGCCTCAATTGCGATGGGATCTAGCCACGATTATGTGCCACGTCAATTCTTAATTCGTCCCGAAGCTGCACAGGCAGTAGGCTTGTATATACAGAACGTCTGGGGGAAGTGAAAAAGGTGCCGCTTTTCTCTTCTTCTTCCCCTGCCGTGCCCTGCGCGTCTTTACCTGATCTAGAGCGGACAGCGACGATCAGTCATCGATACCTGGAAACGCCCTGATAGGTAGTAATAGAGAGGATCCTTGAGATGGTGGTCGATCGGAGAATGGGAGCCGCCGTCGGGTCCAGACGAGAGCAAGAAAAAAAAACGCAGGAAAAAGGGGGGGCATCGGGAGGGTGGGATATTGCTTAGTAAAAGAAGGGACGCGCATTTATGTCCTACCACCTACTCGGTTAGGCATTGTAACCTGGGGAGAATATTCCCAGGAAAACATTAGGCGTGCATCGTGTCTACCCGCAAATGCACTTCACTACCTTAAGTATCGGTAGGAAGCTCTATTCAATTCAATAGTTCTGGCATCAGGACCCGTCCCTTAACTTTCCTATGTGCCCATCTACGCACGCACACAGAGTACACACCTGTAGCCTATCGGGCGCGGTCGAAGAGATGTATTTGTTTCGCCTGCATTATGCCCTCGTCCACCGCGTACGACCGTGACAGCTCCGCCAGTGTGCCCTACCTGTTCCCAGCCTATGAGTAGGTGCCCACTCAGGCCTGGCACTCACTAAGCTTAGCACCTAGATGCGTAGCTGACACCTGAAGTACGGGTTCACCTTCGACGGCCTAGGTACCGCGTACTACCAGAGGAGTAGTGCGAGAGCCGCTCCAGGGGCAGAAAAATTAGATACGCGCTAAACCCGTCTCGACAGCTGGGTCTGCACAGTCTTTCGCACGGTGCCTTGTACTCTTTCTGCGGGCTGCCCCGATCTGCTCATATTTCCCTGCTTTCTCCATCGCTATAGGGGAGAGGGTCTGTTATGAACCTCTCTGCTAGCATCTCCTGGCTCGCGATCTTGGATACCTGAGCTCGCTGCTGCCTTTGGGCCGTCTTTTTTATTTTTTATTTTTTATTCTACACCTACCATAATTCCGTTCGTCACCATCTCATTCGCTCTGGTGGCCTCCGTTGTCTATCGCTTCTAATAACCACTGCCTGGCCGTAATCGTCGTAGTGCCGGGAAAATAATAAGACGTCGTCGTTATTCACGTCGTTCGCTTCCGACGCCCTCTCCACCGGCCCTGTTTCCTGTAATCTGCCCGAGACTGTGGCCCCGGACGTACTCGACGCACGCTCGTTATCCCTTCGTCGAACCCGATCGGCGTATTGCACAGGCTCGACGACGCTTCCGAGTCGCTAGGAACGTCCTGGTAGACCGAACCCAACCCATCCCGAAACTGGCGGGCCGATTCTGTATCCTGGGCGTTTTGTCATACGGAGTGTAAAGAGCTTCGTGATTGTCCGGAAGGACACCACGGTCTCGCTGTGCCCAACATGGCGAACCCGCAAGCCCGAATGTCCATGTACTCGGTGGCCTCCGAGGCTATGGGAGGCCCCCGTGGCGCCGGACAACAATCGACTCAAGTCTCGACGACTACCCTCTTGAACGGCATTCATAACATCTACCTATCCTCTCAGCCTTACCGGTTGGACGCCGGGACGAGCCTCGTCGTGAACACCTGGCTCACGGCGACGCAAGCAGGACCCGATGGGAAAACGGGAGGGACTGTCGACGGCGCGCTAGCAGCGAGAGCCTGGGAACATGCTAGACGCCGAGCTGAAGATGGCTGTATAGTTCTGGGGTATGTTCCGTCGAGCCACGATAATTCCAAATATCTAACTGAGTGGATTTAGGTCGCTCCATTCTTCAACCCCTTCGCTCCTGAACCCCTTCCTCTCGTCGCTGCCGCTTTCTCTCCCGTCGTCTCTATCCACTGCCCTCGAAGTTATCAAACCATTCATTCGCTGCGTCACCCCATACAACCCGTCTACACCACGACAATCGGCCCTCGGCGTAACTCTGACTCTCAACCTAGCCGGGAACTTGACTGCCGCTAGCGTAGCTTTGTCGCAGGGCGGTATTGATACCGTCAAGGGGTTGCTCGAAGTCCCCGCCGAACCCGGCTATCGTGCGTTTGATGTCTTCTACTATCTCTTGACCTCGGCCTCCACCCCAGCTGAGCGGGAGTTTCTGGGTCTTAAATCTGCGGCTAGCTACTCGCTGTTGGCCCGGTCCGGCACGTATACCCCGCCGTCATATCTGCCGACGGCCGATGATGCTGCTGCCGCGGATGATTTCCGAACGGCACTTAAAGAAATTGGCATCAAGGGTTCGGCCCACCGAAACTTCATATCTACCCTTGCTGGGCTCCTCAAGCTGGGAAATACCCTGGACTATAATGTTGATGAGGATGTTCTCGACGAAGTCTGCGAAGATGTAAGTGGGTTACTCGGCATCGATCCCGAGGTCCTCTCGAGGCAATGTTCGACGGATGATAGACGAACCCTGGTGGGAGGATTGTACGAAGCTCTCGTCGATTGGGTAGTTACGAAGGCAAACGAAGCCATTGCTCTCCAAATGTCTCGGATTCGAGACGGGGAGGAGTCTCTCGATGGCTTCAGGACGCCAACGTCTGCCGAGGACCATGGCGACACTGTCTGCATCACTGTCGTTGAGGTGCCGGATCCCAACCTTGGCAAAGCCATCGCCCTGCGTGGCATTTTCGACGATAGCCTAGGAATCAACGCCGAAATGAAAGAAGACGGCGTGGACGTGGTGGCGGTGGGAAGCTCCGTTCTCCGCGAGATGGAAAACAGCGTCGCCGAGGTCGCCCCGGATTTAGGCATTACAAATAGCCCGGTGGCGCGAGAACGACAACGTGAGATCGAGAAGAGGGAGTTGGTCCTCGAGAAGGTGGGCTTCGCCGGTGAAGAAGACGGCTACTTAAAGAAGCTGCTTTTCCCTGTTGAGGGCCAGGGCATCAACCTTGGCCAGAACGCGCGATTAGACCTCCCAGCCGTCCTCGGCGCCAGTCGTGTATGGTATCACCTATCTCTCCACCCCACGGATGAGACGCCAGCCAGCCTGGCGGCTTTACCCTCCATTACCTCTGCCTGGTCGGCCGGCACTGTATCACGCCAACTCCGCGCGTGGAGGCTGCCTGAGTGGGCTAACCGTCGTAATAAGAACCTTGACTTTACGGCGGACTACGACATGGATGAATTTTGTCAGCGTTTTGCTCCCCTAGGTTGCCGAGAAGGTCGAGAAGGAATCGAAACCTGGATCCTAGAGAGGGGGTGGAGCAACGGCGAGGTCGTTCTCGGCAAGGAGCGCGTTTGGATGCGGGAAACCTCCTGGTGGGAAGCTGAGACCATGCTCGATCTGCGGCCTCAGCAGGAAAACATGCCAGCGATGGGCGGCATGCTCGGAAATCCTGGTTTCGATTCCGGATACCCGAACAACAATAGCGGATTTTTCCCTCAACATATCCCCGACCATGTCTCCAATAGCAGTCGAGACCAGCTTCTAAATCACCAACGCAACCAAAGCCAGTTGACTTTTGCGCAGAGTCAGATGAGGGCGCCCTCGGTAGCTCCATCGGCGATGCGTGCCGGTAACGGTGACTACGGTCTAGGGACCAAAGGCGATCAACATCAAGACCAGCTCTTCTATACTCCGGAGGGCGATTTCATAAACCAGCTCGACCCTGCTGACGCGAAGGGGAAGCATGTTGAGACGACCGATACGACCTTGACTCGCCGTGTCTGGGTCGGCTTTGTTTGGGCATTGACCTTTTGGATACCCTCCTTTTTGCTCACGCACGTCGGGCGTATGAAACGACCGGATGTTCGGATGGCCTGGAGAGAGAAGTTTGTTCTGGTCTTCCTCATCTTCCTCCTGAATGCCATGATTGTTTTTTGGATCATCGCTTTCGGACAGCTTATCTGCCCTAATTTCGACAAGGCATGGTCGCAGGACGAAGTCGTCAATCATCAAGGCGGTGATGACTTCTGGGTTAGCATCCACGGCAGAGTCTACGACATATCAAACTTCTGGAGACGGCAGCATAGTGACACGAACATCGCGACAACCAATGACCTCATGCAGCAGTTCGCCGGTCTGAATCTGGATGACTACTTCGTAGCTCCCCTTCCTCTCACTTGCCCAGGCCTGGGTGTTACCGAAACCTACCGACTATCACTGAACAATACGCTCTTGCTCCCGCAGGGTGCGCATACGTCCGGATACTTCCAGCCTGACCCCACGTCGAAGTTGAGGTCCGATACCTGGTACCGTGACGTATTTCAACCCAAGATCAAGGAGTTCTACCATGGTGATCTAGTCTGGGACCTCCAAAGCGTGAAAGATGACGGCAAGAATAATAACCACATGTGGGTCATCTACGAGGATAGGATATACGACCTTACCAATTATTTTGTCACTGTCGAATTTTACAAGAACCTGGACCAGTACAATTTCTTGGACACAAAGCTGGTCGACTCCGTCAAGGACAACCCGGGACAGGACGTTACCGAGCTCTGGAACGAACAGATTGAAAACGTGAAAACAAACCAAACGGCCTTCGCTCGGAAGATGAACAGCATCAATTGTATCAAGGAGACCTTTTACGTGGGCATACCCGACTTCCGCTACACGCCCAGATGTCAAGCCAACAATTACATCCTCCTCGCCTTCGCCATCATCATCTGTTTGGTGATCTTGATCAAGTTTCTGTCTGCTCTGCAGTTTGGCTCCAAACGCCGTCCAGCGCCGCAGGACAAGTTCGTCATCTGCCAGGTCCCGGCGTATACCGAAGGAGAAGATTCGTTAAGGAGCGCCCTCGATTCCCTCACGGCGCTGCAATACGATAACAAGAGGAAGCTTATTTGCGTCATCTGCGATGGTGTCATCGTTGGTGAAGGCAATGACCGTCCTACCCCCAAGATTGTCCTGGACATCCTCGGGGTTGATCCAAAAGTCGATCCTCCCGCCTTGCCTTTCAAGTCCGTCGGTACCGGCAGCGAACAGCTCAACTATGGCAAAGTCTACTCCGGCCTTTACGAGTACGAGGGTAACGTTGTTCCTTACCTCGTTGTTGTCAAGGTGGGCAAGGAGTCGGAGCAGAGCAAATCGAAGCCTGGAAACCGTGGCAAGCGTGACTCCCAAATTTTATTGATGAGCTTCCTCAACCGTGTCCACCACCGTGCTCCGATGAATCCTCTCGAGCTTGAAATGTTCCATCAGATCAACAACATTATCGGTGTCGACCCTGAGTTGTACGAGTATCTTCTGATGGTCGATGCCGATACTTGCGTCCGTGAGGATTCTCTCAACCGCTTGGTCGCCGCCTGTGCCAACAATTCCAAGATTGCCGGTATTTGTGGTGAAACCGGGCTGCAAAACGAAGAAAGGTCCTGGTGGAGTATGATTCAGGTCTACGAGTACTTCATTTCCCACCATTTGGCCAAGGCTTTCGAGTCGCTTTTCGGCAGTGTTACTTGTCTTCCCGGATGGTACGTGTTCGATTATTCCTTTCCCACGTAAATCTTCATTACCTGTGTGGCTAACCCTCTATCTAGTTTCTCGATGTACCGTCTGCGCACCGCGGACAGGGGCAAGCCTTTGATTATTTCAGACGGCGTCATCAGGGACTACAGTATTTGCAACGTGGACACTCTCCACAAGAAGAACCTGTTGTCTCTCGGCGAGGATCGATACCTTACGACGCTCATGACGAAGCATTTCCCGTACATGTCTTATAAATTCATCCCCGACGCGTACTGTCAAACTGCCGCCCCTGAGAAGTGGAGTGTCTTGCTCTCTCAGCGGCGTAGATGGATCAACTCGACGATTCACAACCTAGTCGAATTGATGATGCTCAAAGACATGTGCGGCTTCTGTTGTTTCTCGATGCGTTTCGTCGTCTTCATCGACCTTACTGGAACGATCATCCTCCCGTCCACCTGCGTCTATCTGGGCTGGCTCATCTACCGCTTGGCAACCCACACGGGCCCATTTCCCACTATCACCCTCGTCATGATCGCGGCAGTGTACGGTCTGCAGGCCCTGATCTTCATCCTCAAGCGAAAATGGCAACATATCGGGTGGATGATCATCTACATCCTTGCCCTACCCATTTACTCATTTATCCTGCCAGTCTACTCCTTCTGGAACCAAGACAACTTTAGCTGGGGTAACACGCGCATCGTCATCGGTGAGAAGGGCAAAAAGCAAGTGGTTGCGGTGGATGACGAAGGCTTTGATCCACGATCGATTCCTCTGCAACGCTGGGATGATTACGCTGCGCTGAACAATCTGCCCGGTCGCCGTGGCCTCCACAGCGAGAAGGGACACGAGGCATACGATGACACATACGAGATGGATGACATGAAATCGGTCTACTCATCAGTCCGACAGCCGTCGGTTCTAACCGGTCTTCAGGGCCGCGGGGGATACATGCCACCCCATTCGCCCGCTCCCTTCCAGAACATGCTGCGCCAATCCACGCACCCATATACCGACAACCCGATGAACCGTCAATCTACTGCTTCGTTCGGCGACATCCAGCGCATGCAAACGCCTTACCAGGACCTCCCCGCACACAGGCCTAGCATGACCAACCTTCGGGCGGTTTCGAACAATTCGCCACTCGAAATGAACCGGATCTCCAACGCGACGCTCGGCTATGCCGGCGGACCCCGGCCGCCGTTCGGCCAGGGCCATCAGCCCACAGCATCGTTCGACTTCCAGCGGGGCCACATGGGACCAGACGACAGCATGATCATCGACGTTATCCAAGCCGTGCTTCGCGAGGTGGACCTCGACACGGTGACGAAGAAGCAAGTCCGGGCCCTTGTCGAGCAAAGGTTACAGACGGAGCTGACGGGCGAGCGGCGGGCGTTCCTCGACCGCCAGATCGATAACGAATTGGCTAATATGTAGTGCCTTGCCGGGATGTCTTTCTATATCTCTCCCGATACCTACCGTAACATGAAGAACAATATGAGAGAAGCGGGGAAGAAAGGGAAAACGAACAGGGACGAAGTCCCGACTAATTGGAAAACCGGGATGTATATATAGCGTGCGAAGGCGGAAGAAATCTTATCTTACCTATCTACATCATGTTGTCCGATAATGACTGCCGGACGGGGCTTTTTTCTTCGGGGTGGGGGGGAAGGTTTAAGGGCCAAACGGGTTTCTAGAGATAGGTATATCGTCGTCGTCGTCAATCTGCAGAAAAGAACATAAATTCAATCTTGCTCCGTTTCATCCTCCTCGGCGCGCTCTAAACGTAGGAAACGGGTGGTCCTTTCTCGGTGGCTACGAGTACCCGTGATAGGGGCTGGCGTGGCTACTCACCACCCAACACAGGCGGGTAGCCCTGCGCAAACCCCTCGGAACGAGTTGACGTGCCTCTGCTTCGGCCCCTGATCAGCCGTCCCGTCCACACCTGCAAAGGGGGGGGAGTCGGTTGCCGGCGGAGCGCGGCCGCCGGGGGGGGGGGGGGGGGGGGCTCCCCTAGCCGCAGTAGCAGCAAGAGGAGCAAGAGGAGCACGAGAGACAACCGGGCTGCTGAGTCGGGCTGCCTGCTACCGACGAGGCAGACGCGCGTCCGAGGGCGCAGGGTTGGTTGCACATGAGTTCACCTGGCGACACTGCGCCGTGCCTACGTAGGGGGAATGTTGAGCGCATAGGTGCGTGTGTGATATTTACATTTTCCTTCTCCCCTTTTCCGGCCCGTCGCGTGTTGGCGTTACGTTACGTAGGTACAAGAAGTATTGCCTCAATATCCCCATCCGGTGCATCTGCGTCAACAGGTAACCGTCCCTCCCTCCCACCAAATCCCTGTATACGTAAAAGAGAAGTATAGTACCGCGGTAAGCACATGTGTGTACCATGGATTTTCCAACGTTTACGGGGGAGCGAGTACATGTGGGCCGTCACACCACCAGCGTCTCCCCCCCAAGAAGCTTTTTTTTTTTTCTACTTAATCTTGCCGACGCCCTTCAGCCGCAAGTAGACGTCGGTGCCCCAGCCGTAGAGGCTCTGGACGGCGATGCCGCCGCCAAAGTACTCGGCGTAGGCGCGGCTGAGGGGCAGGCCGTAGCCGAGGCCGGCGATGGAGCTGCCGCCGCTGCTCACGGCCGATATGACGCCGAGGGCGTCCTGGCCGCTCCCGGACGAGAGCACGTCGTCCTCGATCTCGCTGAAGGTCGTGAAGCTGTAGCTCCAGATGTTGGGGAGCACCTCGGGCGCGATGCCGCCGCCGCGGTCGCGGATCCGGATCGTCACCCCGGGCGCGTTGTCGTCGAGCGGCTTGATGGCGTCGCTCCGGAAGGCGCCCCGCTCGGCCGCCGGCGGGTCGAGCGTGACCCGCGGCGGGCCCGGGTCGGCCGGCTCGGGGGCGATGGTCACGACGACGGGCTCGCGGTGCCGGCCGCTCTCCACCGTCGCGCGGAACGCGTTCTTCAGCAGCTCCGTCACCATGTACTCGAGGTGCATCGGCACGAAGGCGAACGTCGCGTCGGGCTGGCCGTCGATGACCCAGCGCGGCCGCAGGCCGTACTTGAGCTCGCAGATGTCGGCGACGAACCCGGCGCACGAGTCGACGATGGCCGAGGGCGAGAGGGCGGTGTCGATGACGCCGATGTAGGAAGGGTGCTCGGGGCACGGAGTGGGGGAGGCGGAAGGGTCAAAGTGCGGCAGGCTGCTGTAGTGGAGGGCGATGTGCTGCTCCGCGATGAGGCGGGTGCCGATGCGGGAGCGCAGGTGGGTGTCGAGGAAGTGCGTGACCTCGGCGGGCGAGATGTAGCGGCGGCACTCGAGGAACCCCTTGGCAAGGGTGGGGATGGTGTCCTGGTGGGTGGCCACGAGCTCAGCTAGGACAGAAGTAAAGAGAATCTCGGCCTCGATGTTGGCGATGGTGCGATGCTTCCAGGGTAGCAGGGTCGACAGCGAGTGCAGGTAATTGTGGTAGATCTTGCTGATGTTAGGATTCGACACTACGATGAAGGGCAGGTTGCGCAAGGCCAGGATGCGGTGCGCGAGCCGAATTGGCAGCAGCGAGAGGGTGAAGTTGGCCGAGGAGAAGAGGGCGTCAGCCGAGAGGGGGGGACGGCCATGCCTGTTGCGTCTCTTAGCCTTGCCCGAAGTCTGTATACGTCGGATCCCTTGTAGCTACGGCGAGGAAATAATCCACCTACCTGACGAGGTCGGCGAGGCTCAGCGGGTGCTGGTGCTTTTTAGCGAGGTTGGCCAACTCCTCGTCCGTCACTGTCGCGGTGCTCGGCGGGTGGGACCATTTGTGGCCGGACAGGAAAGAAGACGACGAGAGTGGAGACGAGGACGAGCTGTGCCTGGGCTGGGACGGGTGGCACAAGCAGCTTCTGGGGACAATGCGTCTGGTCACGGAGGCATTGGGCGCAAAGGAGCACCACAACGACCGATGCGAGCGCCTCATGGCGGCATCGTGTGTCGCTATGCAGTGGCGAGGAGGACGGCGTGAGGAGGTTTCGAGGCAGTGGGAGGCGTAAAGAGGTTTCGGTGGGGTGTAGAGAGATGTAGGAAGGGCGGGAGATAGAGAATCATGAATGAATAAGACTGAGCTGCAGAAACGAGTCACGAGCCAAAACCCGGTCCAAGCCAAACAGCCGACGACGTCAGAACCGGGGAACGGACGCCGATAAGATAAGATAACGGTTAGCTGCATACATGCACTTACCAAGCTATCCGATACGGGCTGAGGGGGGGTGACCGCCCCGGTAGAGTGTCGATAGATCCAGCTAATAAGGATTTTACTGCAACCTCACAGCTCGATTGATGCATACAGTGTGGTTGCAGACCAAGTATAGTAACTTCATTTATGCAATATTATTACCTATAGGCAGGGTTGTAAAAAAAAGTTTTTAAGTTAAGTAACTTAAGTTTTCAAAAATCGAAACTTAACTTAAAAAAGGTTTAAAAATAAAAACTTAACTTAAGTTAAGTTTTAAAATTCGAAACTTAAACTTAACTTAACTTAAAAACTTAAACTTTTTTTCTTAACCCTGCCTATAGGCAACGTACCTGCGGCAACAAAGCAGCGATTGACACGAGGTACCTAACAATGCCAGCGATCACCGTTGAAAAGCACGACAGAAGCCACGCAGCAAATTGGTTGCGATACCTCGAGCTCAACGGATAGGTGAACATCTCTCCCCTTTCTCCCGGTTTCCGCATAAGCCAAGTCCAGTCAAGCTTTGTGTTCCCACTCGCTGCAGTAGCACCGACAGCCCACCGCCGGCCTTCCCCCGCACCGCTCTGTTGCCTGATTGCCCCTCATCATCACGATCGCCCGAGAGCGGCGGGCGGGACAGCGGCGAGGCCCTCTTATTGAATCCTCACCTCCTGGTCCAGCTCAACATCTTTGACATGCTCGTGCGACGCCAACGTGCTTATACTATCATTGGGGAAGGTAACCCTAAGTGCAACAAAGGATAGTTAGTAGAGCGACGCCACGAGAGCACCGAGGACGTGCGACGGGGTGAGGAGGGGGGACGGGGGTACGTACGAGAAACCCTTGATGAGGCTATATTCGTGGCCGATCTTACCGCCCTGGTCTATAGCATGCTGTTTGGCCGCGGCCACCTGCTCGGGCGTGGCATCGGGGTTGCAGGTAACCTATCGGACAGTGAGCAACACGGCCCACCAAGCTGGTGTGGCTCTGCCCGGCTGCAGGAGAAGTACATACGATGTAGGTAGGCATTCTGGCGGATGCGGTGGTGTGCAGGCGATGTCTCGCGGATAGGGTTGTGCAAGGAGACGTTCTAGCCGTGACGGTATTCAGGGAAGAGGAAGAAGAAGAAGAAGAAAAATGGGCGGACAGGTAGCGCAATGACGGCGGTGGTAATGGTAGTGGTAGTGGTAGCAGTAGTAGTAGTTGTTGTTGTTGGGAGAGGAGGAGGTTAAAGCGTTGGGCGGGCTGGCGAAAGGAAGGGCGAGGAGCGATGGGCATTTTTATGAGCCAGCAAGGTCGGGCTGGCCAGAGTCACACCTGCTGCATACGGAGCTAAGTGTCGAGGGATGGCAGCGGAGGCAGCCTATGGACCCGCGGAGGACGGGCAGGGAAGAGGTGCCGCAGACGCGTGTTGCGCTATTCTCTGAGGTGCGGGCCGCCCCCTCGTCGTAGTACGTCATCGCATAGGTCAGACGTGCGTCGGTCGGCGAGAAAAGTGCGCAGGACGACGCCGCCGCGACGGCTGGGCGCGCGTATTGGGCGTAGGCTGCTCAGCCAACTATGGAGCCTCTGGCACCATCGACTGGCTTGTTTGGCAGAGACGGTTCGAATTTGGCGCCCGCGTGGAGAGGCCTGGGACGCGTGATGGCCCGCGAAGCCGCTGGCTACGAGGTATTGGGGACGTGTATCGTCACGGTACCCAGGCATACTCCATATAAACCCATCCTGCCTCGATGCCGGTGTCTGGCCGGACCATCGACGTTGACCCAACCGGCCTTTCGCGGGTGGTACTCAGCCTAGCAATTTCTGCCTGTAGGTAGGTACCTTATGTATCCTATCTGCCCACGATACCTCCCAGGTAACCCTGTCGAAATCAAGCACAGAATTCGGCTTTACCTGAACCTCATGAAAGCGGCCGGCGAGATCGGGAACCACCGGCCGTCTCCAGCCGCCGGTAGCCCAACTTGGCATAAAAACCAGGACGTGCAGTGTGACTTAGGTACCTACGTAGCTACTACCTGGATTAGATAACGACCGTTATCGATAACCAGTATCCTCAACTCTCAACTTTACCTAGAGCTTTTTTTTTTTCCTTTTCGGGGGTTTCCGCAGCAGTCCAGCATAGGCAATGCCCGCAACCGTACACGCGACGGAAACCAGACAGAGACAGAGTGCTCGGTCGTGATCGCGAGACGGTCGCCATGGAGGAACAATCGCACAAGCCTCACCGAAAATCCAAAGAAAAGAAGAAACATGTCGGCGGTGCGCGGCGTCCTCCCGTCCCGTTCCTTGCCGCTCTGCTGACCCAGTCCAGATCGCAACCCCAAAGCTTTCGCCTTCTCGAACCCCGGCAAGCTTCAACGTGCCGCTGCCAGATCTCACGATGTAAGGCGCCGTCGTCAATCCATACACTACGCCAATTGATGCTTATCCCATACCCCCTAGATCAAAGAGAAGCGCCTCCATGTGCCCCTCGTCGACAGATTGCCCGACGAGCCTCCGCCTCGACTCGTGACCATCGTTGGGCCCCCGGGTGTCGGGAAGACCACATTGCTCAAGTCGTTCATCCGCAGATATGCCAAAGAAGCCATTTCGGACCCTCAGGGGCCCGTCACCGTCGTCACCTCCAAGAAGCAGCGGCTGACATTCCTCGAATGCCCCAACGAGCTCGAAGCCATGGTTGACATTGCCAAGGTCGCCGATATCGTCCTGCTCATGATCGACGGGAACTTTGGGTTCGAGATGGAGACTATGGAATTCCTTAATATCCTGGCCGCGACGGGCATGCCCGGCAACGTCTTCGGCATCCTAACCCATCTAGACCTTTTCCGCAAACCGCAGGCCCTCCGAGACGCGAAGAAGAGGTTGAAACATAGGCTATGGAGCGAGTTATACCAGGGCGCACATTTATTCTACCTTTCCGGCGTCATAAATGGCCGATATCCGGACCGCGAAGTTCACAACCTATCTCGATTCCTCTCCGTCATGAAGAACCCGCGCCCGCTCATTTGGAGGAACACTCATCCGTACGCCATCATAGACAGCTTCCGGGACATCACTCACCCCACTCAGATCGAGGAAAATGAAAATTGCGATCGGTCAGTCGTGCTCTCGGGCTACCTGAGAGGGACCAACTTCTCGAGCCACGACCAACGCGTCCATATCCCCGGCCTGGGCGACTTTACCGTCTCGAGCATAGAAGCGTTGCCCGATCCCTGCCCGACCCCTGCGATGGAGCACGCCATCGCGAAGGCCACCGGGAAGACCGGCAGAAGGCGATTGGACGAGAAGGAAAAGAAGCTACACGCCCCCATGTCTGACCGGAGCGGCCTCAAGATCGAGGGCGACGCCATCTGGATAACTAGAGAGAAGGGCTTCAACTTCGACAAAGACGCCGAAGACGAGGAACGCGGCGAGGGAGAGGAGCTTATCATCGGGCTCCAGGGAGAGAGGCGCCTTCTCGGCCAGACGGAAGACGGCATGCAACTCTTCCGGGGGGGCGAGAAGATCACGAGTGTCCCCGAAGAAGAAGACACTGGGAGGAAGAGCCAACGGACCGTGAGGTTCGCCGAGAGGGACGAAGACGAAGACGAGGCACCCGATGACGAAGGGTTCGTCAGTGGAGAAGACGAGGTCGCTTCCGACGAAGAAGTCGAGTTCAACGAGAAAAAGCTCGGTAAAATGTTTCGGAATTCGGACAAAGGCAGCGCCGCCGAGGAAGATATCGCGTTCGCCGATAGTGACTCGGACCTGGGTTCTCTATCAGGCGACGAGATAGGCGAGGACGAGGACGAAGATCAGAGCGGCTCAGAAGATGAGTACGGCGACGAGGAGGAATCCGCTCTCCGGTGGAAGGATAATCTGGCGGGGAAAGCGCAAATGCTCCACGGCGGCCGGCCGTCCTACCGAACAGCGGATCTCGCACGTCTGATGTATGACGAGTCTTTAACGGCGGACGAAGTATTGCAGAGATGGAAAGGGGAGGTCGAGGCCGACGAGTCGGAAGAAGAAAACATCGAGGACTCGGACGACGAGGGGGACTTCTTTAAAAAGGCAAAGCATGAGAAAGAAGGCGTGGTTTCAGACGATCGTTCGATACCCGTGTACGATTACGACCAACTAGCCGCGAAGTGGTCGCTAGATGACAACATCGAGCGCCTTCGCCAGCGCTTCACAACGGCTACTCTAGGCGGTGGCAGTGACGAAGAGGGTGGCTTCGAAGGGTTTGACGAGGACGGGGATAGTAATGACGAAGGAGACGGCGTGTTTGAAGATCTAGAGGCAAGCGAACAACAGAAAGCGGAACCGGAACCGGAACCGCTGGAGAGCCTCGAAGCGGAGCGTGAGAGAAACGCTCGCAGAAAGGAGGAGCTGAAGCTCAGATTTGAAGAGGAAGATCGCGAAGGAATCAAGAATGACAAAGCGATCGCTAGGCGAGAAGGTGCCGAAGACGAGGAATTTGGCGAGGACGAGTGGTACGATGCGCAGAAGGCTCTCATCAAGAAACAGCTCGATATCAACAATGCCGAGTTTGAGGCACTGGACGAACGGCAGAGAGTGGCAGTGGAGGGTCACAAGGCCGGGAAGTATGCCAAGATCGTGATAGAGAACGTACCGGCGGAATTCGTCACCAACTTCCAAGCTCGGATGCCCCTCATCGTCGGAGGCGTACTCACCACAGAGGACAGGTTCGGATACGTCCAGATCCGCATCAAGCGACACCGGTGGCACAAGAAGATCCTCAAGACGAACGACCCGCTCATATTTTCCCTCGGGTGGAGACGATTCCAGACGCTCCCTCTCTACAGCATCTCGGACTCGCGGACTAGGAACCGCATGCTCAAGTACACACCGGAGCACATGCACTGCTTCGGCACGTTCTACGGGCCGCTGATCGCGCCGAACACGGGCTTCGTCTGCTTCCAGTCCTTCTCGTCGGCGAACCCGGGCTTCCGGATCGCCGCGACGGGGACGGTGCTGTCGGTGGACGAATCGACGGAGATCGTGAAGAAGCTCAAGCTTACGGGGGCGCCGTACAAGATCTTCCGGAACACGGCGTTCATCAAGGACATGTTCAACAGCGCGCTCGAGATCGCCAAATTCGAGGGCGCGGCAATCAAGACGGTGTCGGGGATCCGGGGGCAGATCAAGCGGGCGCTGTCGAAGCCCGAGGGCCACTTCCGCGCCACGTTCGAGGACAAGATCCTGATGAGCGACCTGGTGTTCCTGCGGGCGTGGTACCCGGTGAAGCCGCGGCGGTTCTACAACCCGGTGACGAACCTGCTGGGGGCGTGGCAGCCGATGCGGCTGACGGGGGAGGTGCGGCGGTCGGAGGGGGTGGCGACGCCGCGGGAGCGCAACAGCCGGTACCGGGCGGTGGAGCGGGCGGCGCGGCACTTCAACCCGCTGCGGGTGCCGCGGGGGCTGGCGGCGGAGCTGCCGTTCAAGTCGCAGATCGTGGAGCGGCGGGCGCAGGACCGGCGGCGCAAGACGTACCTGCAGCGGCGGGCGGTGGCGTCGGGGCCGGAGGAGCGGCGGGCGCGCGGGCTGCTGCAGACGCTGGCGACGATCCGCAAGGACGCGGCGGCGCGGCGGCACGCCAAGAAGGAGGAGAAGCGGGCCGAGTTCCGCCGGCGCGTGGAGGCGCAGGGCGAGCAGCGCGAGGCCCGCGAGCGCCGCGAGAAGCAGGAGTACTGGCGCAAGGAGGGGCGCAAGCGGAGCGGCGGCGGCGGCGACGAAGGGGGGGGGGGCGCAGGGAAGCGGAGGAGGAAGTGATGGCGAGAAAAGGAGAGGTGGCTCTGTACATACGCAGGTTACTGACGAGCCGAACTGGAATCCTCCGTATCTCACACTTCTTGTCACGTGAGCATCGAGCTCCTTGTTGCAATCATGTGCGTGCATCCGCCTGCCGTCTGACCACGTACTTGGATTCTACGAGCCGAAGAAGCTTCGCAGATTCATCCGACTGTTACGCACATTACACTTATTGACAGTTTAATAACAGGCTGAGGAAGCTCTGGGGTGAGCGTGAGAAAAGGGGGGGGGGGGGGGGGGTGCGATGTTAGGAGTGTATATAGGTCAGGCAAGCGTGGGCAAAAAGATATATCTGGTTCTATTAAGAGTTGTACCGCGAAACTCGTACCTATGTTATAGTCGTTGTAGAATTCTCACGAGACACTGCATGCACGAGTTCTACACATCGACCCCAAGTTCCACCTCCCTTGGAGACGGATTTTTCTTTCAGTCACCTAGCTGGACTCGAGCAACGTGTGATAGTACAGGTTGCGCGTAGAGGTAGCAAGGAAACGTAGGTAGGAAGAGTATATCGACTGACCGTCGAGAAGGAAATCTACGAAAGAGTACGGAGCGACTCCACATATATGAGCGCCTCAGCTAGCTGAGGTTGCTCCCCGCTTGGTGGAGCTACTACAGGCGTATGCCTACGTAATACTTTCCGTACGCAATCACCCAGTAATGAATTTGATATTTAAAGGGGTGAATAGTATATTAGTTTATCCATATTTCCTACCGTGACGACCGTAATTTAGAGAGTGCGGGGCAGTGGAGGCCGGGCACTAGTGTCCGCAACCTGCTGGGAACAAGCCTGGATAACTTGAACCGTTCACACCCTGCGAACGAAAAGAACCCGAGTATCCGTTTGCCTGCATGCCACGGCCGTAGGTCGGTCGTATGGTTGTGACGAGATGACGCCTCGCAGCGGTCTGGACGTTGCGTCTCTTCTAAGGCCATGCCTTGCTATGGAAAACTATATCTTCGTCGGGGCACGGCGGACTCCGCGAGTCTCAGCCCGGGAGGAGCGGGGTCGAGCAGGGCACTCGGCACGAGTTTGGTATGCCCGAGGCCAGGTTGGAGATCTGCCTCGACGGCGTATCGCCCGCCCTCCGGCTGGGCCGTGCCCGGCTGACCTAGTGCTGCCGGGCTTTCCCCACGCGCGCAGATGACCATCTGCCGGGATGCCGAATCCGGGTCGGGGGACCGCGGCCGCGGCACGCGCGAAGGCTCGGCGCCGCCGGCGCCGGAGTAGAGCGTGTCGCCGACGGGCTCGCCCACGAACCAGCCGAGAAAGTGCAGGATCTCCTCCCACATCTTCTCCTTGCCGTCCCGGAGGTCGACGATCGGCGTCATCCGCACGCGCACCCGCCTCGACGCCGTGTCCACGTACCCCTGGGTGACGCGGAGCTGGCAGCCGGAGCACGACAGGATGGTGACCTTGGCCTGGCTGTCAGCTAGGAAGGGTCTGGCGAGGAATTGGGGGGGGGGTTGGACTCACGGGGACTGTCCGGTGGTGCTGGTACGGTTTTTGCAACAGGCGGTCGGTTGTGATGCCTTGGATCGTCCACAGCTCACTGTTGGACAGCACCATCTCGCGAAGGGGCGACGCGTCCGCGAGGAAACACGTTATGTGGGACTTCGGCGAATCCCATTTGGCTAGGAGGACCTGGACTTGCCAGTTCCAGCCGTCCCCTCGTCGGGACAAGCCGGCGGCTCCGCGAGGCCTATCGCCGGGTTGTAAGCATGCGATACAGAATGAGGGAAACCTAGGTTAGCACTTACAGGAATTCCTCCCAGTCCATCACATCGAACAGCCCCGGACCCCAGTAGTCTTGGTTTAGAGACAGGAGGGTCTCGAAGGAGTGCCACACGCTCCCCGCTCTTTCGTAGTCATTTAGGATCATTTCATCATCTATTGTCGGTAGCTCCTCGGTTCCGTAATGGTTCAGCCAGGGCTGCGTCTTGTCCATGATCTCGCGAATCTCGCTTGATGGGATAGGCTGGACGAACATCTCGCCCCCATCCTGCGGCTTGCCATCCGCGAGACAGAATGGGGTGAGTGTGACTCTCAGTTTGCGCAGGTCGTTACTGCTAAGATGGGGGGGGGGAGCTTAAGAAGGCGCATCCGATAAGTACCGGGGTATAAGGTACGGAGGTACTTATACCGGTACGAGGGTACCTTTTAAGCGGTAACCGTTTTAACTTACCTTATTTCTAGTTATATAAGCGACCGCCCTTTGCTAGGTAGGTACTCGCCCTTTTATCCTTTCGGAAGACAAGTACTTATTTACGTTACTACGGGAATATACTTATTACCTAGCTTAAGGATTCTATTATATTAAAAAGAAAGGAAATAAATAAAGGAGATACGAGTTACTTATATATAAATAATAAGGAGCTACAAGTTATATTATATAAACGAATTAATAGCTAAGTTAGGTTAGCAAGTAACTAGAGAGGGAGTAAGAAGCTATATATAGGTGCCTCTCTACGTAATAGAATAACTTTAATTATTAACATAATAATTATTAAGTAATACTTAATTTAAGTAGCTCGTAAAGAGGTAGCTCATAGAAGGGTAGTTTAACTTATCCTATCTAAAAGATAGTTATAATACGTTAAACTCTCTATTATACTAATTAATTATAGGGTTAAATACCTCTATAAATATGGAGTTATTTAAAAGATACTTTATTTTTATTAGCTAAAAGTTTATATACTGTAGTGGTGCGGTAAGACATGCCCTCTTGATGCATTACGTAATACGCTACGATAGGCCTTATGCCTATATAGAGTAACTATAGCTCCCGTAAGTACGGGATATGCCATGCTTATTATTTAGTTTATTATATAGCTAGATTATTATCTTTATTATTTTTATCTTAATTAAAGATTCGTTTTTATTATTAGATTCGCCGTTTTCCGATTAGTGCATTTATTTTAGTTATAGGCGCTTAAGTTACTTCGTCGTACCGCTATAGCCGAATAGGTAACTTTTACGTTTTACTTCTTTTCTTCCCTTATCTCTTATGCCTTCGGGTTAACGACTATTATATCTTTACGACTAAGGGGCATAACTAAGATACGATAATTACATTAGATTCCTTACCTTTCGATTAATATAGCGATATTAGTTTTATCTATCTTAGATTATCGTATATACTATAGTCTTCGGTAGAATATACTTTCGAGTAAACTTATCCGGGTTATTAATATCGCGTACGCTTTACTCTTCCTTAGTAGCGATTACCCTATAACTTTTTCGACCCCTTAACCTTTAATTTACGGAATTTTTATTACGTTATTAGGATTTAGAGGATACCGATCGCCGTCGGCGCTACCATTTAACCCGCGAAGTAGCCCGCGTTTTACGTTAAATAAAGTATCCCGCCTTATAGTTATTTATTTACTATAGGGAGGTACGTATAAGCCCGGGAACCTTTATTACGATATTATAGCCGTTAGGATACTACCTAGCCCTTAATACTTATAATATTAATAAGCTATCGATACTACGATATAATACGACGATTAAACCGCGTTTATACCGATTAAGATATCCCTCGTATCGTTATTTACCTACCTATACGGAGGAACCCGTAAGCCTAGGGAATTATCGTCGTAATACTACCGCTACTAGGAATAGTACTTAGCCCTCGATATTAACCGCTTCCTCGAACCGCTAATAGTATAGTATATTTCGTACGAGTAAATAAAGCTCGTAACGATTAAGGCAGTCCCTTTATAGTTATTTACTTACTATATAGAAGACGTACGAGCGCCTTAATATAAATTACGATAACCTATACGACCCGCTACTCCTTTATTAATACTAAAGGTAGATAAAGGCTAATAGTAATTATACCTTAACCGACCTTACGATAGCTTTTTTTTCCCTCTAAACCTATTAATCGATATAGATTAAATATATAAATACTAATAACTTATTATGCTAGAGGTATTTTAGGATACCTAGGCGTAGCGACTCGACGATATAGTATACGATATAACATAAATATTTATATTAATAATATAGATAAGAATTAATAAACTAATAGCTACTAGTAACCGATAGTTTTAAAGAGAATTAGGAATTAATATTAATAAAACTACGTAAATATAAAGGATTAAGGAAACGGAACTAAAGTCGAGTTAATAAGTATACCTATATATAGGTTAGCCTTATATTATTAATTAATAACTAATATAGCGAGAAGTATTAATATAGGCGTAAAACGGCGCCTAGCGGTAATACCGCTAATATTATTAAATAACTTCCGATAAATCGAAACCGGCCTATAGCTATAACCGGTATCGTATTTAACGCGATTCTTTACTCGGGATTTATCCCTTATACGTATTACTTTAACGAAGGTTATACGTTAGGAGTTTTAAACCTTAATAGGAGGAATTATCGTCGATTTATTTATAATAGTTAAACTATTAATCTAGGGAATACGTATCGTATTTTAATTAGGCGTTAGCCGATTAAAGAAGCTCGTATAATACCCGGATCCTATCGATCGGAATAGTATAATAAATAATGATATATTTATATTAAAGGAAAAGTATTAAGACATAAATAATAACTATTATACCTTTACCTTTATGTTAGATAATAAGACCCCTACTACCTCCCTTTTTACTTTATATTTCGTATCGATAAATTAAACGGAGTCCGTAGCTAGGAAACGGAATAAATCGCCGTTAGGACCCGAAGTAGTAAAGACTAAATTACTAATAAAGACCTTAAAAATCGATACTAACTTTCCGCCTTTATATCCGCCCGAAGAGGAAAAGGACGACGATAAAACTCCTACTTAATTATCCTTTACCCGCGGCTTTATACTTATCCCATTAATCCTTATAGCATTATTTTAAAATAATAATAACGGGGCCTTTAGTAGCTAGAATATACCGGTAGCTATCCCGATTATCGTAATACTAGTTATTAGATTCCTTAACCCTACCGATTACCCTAAGCTTAAGTTTAATAAATATAATATAACCTAGTAACTAGAGAAGGTAAATCGATTATTTAACCGCTACCGTATAAGCGACGACGATAAAATTAAGGAGATCGGCGAATAAATTACGACTAAGATTATTAGGGAGCGTATTAACGACGTTACGAAGGATTAAACGATTTAAAGAATTATCGTTATAGCCTTAAAGTATCGTTTTAGGATTACCGATAAATTAAGCTAAGTTAACGTTAAACGTAAACTCGTATAGCTAAAACGAAGTAACGTAATTAACGATCCTAAGGCGATTTTTATATATCTTATAAACTATGAACGCCTTTCTAAGCTCGTAAACGATAACGGAAAGCTTCCCTAGAAAGTAGGATACCTAACCGATAAACTTCGGATATTCCTAATTATAAAGTTCTATAAGACGGAAAACTATAATTATAATAAGATCGGAGATATCGATTACCGGATTCTCTATACCTAGCTTTATAAGTAAGCGGAACGTCGTATAGTAATATAAATTACCGATAAGGCCTAAGCCGAAGAACGACGATAGTAAAAAACGGTAACTTTCGAAGAACCCGAGAAGCTTATAATGTAAATAATTTAGCGATTAACGACTCCTAGCCTCTAGATACCTTTACTACCGCCTTCCTCGTAGCTTAAATCCTTTTACGGCTACCTAAGTATTAATTAAGAAGCTAGTATATAAGCCTTTTACGACCGACTTAACGCTTTAGAAATAAAGATAACTTCGTAAAACTACCGTTAAGAAAATAGCTTTTATAGCTTTAGAAATACGTACGGCGTCGATTAATAATATTAATAGGAAAATCCGTTCCTAGTAAACGCGGTTCGGAACCTAAGTCTTTATAACCTATAAATTAACAGAAGAACCCTAGTAGGCTTTAAACGTAATACTATGCTAGACTACCGAGGCATACGTAGTAGGATTTTACTAACCTAAACGAATAACTATAAGGAATTCGAATGTTAGTTTTATAGTACTTTCGATCGGCTTTATAACTATAGCCGCTACCCGCTACTAATGGATATAACCTAGAATCGGTTTTACTATAGGAGTAATAAGCGATTATATTACCTCGAGAACGGAAACCTAGATAAGTTAAAATTAACGTTAGTCCTAGGATCGATTATTATTTAAGCTAAGCGTAAAGGAGAACCGATCGCCTACTATATTTTATTTTACGTATATTAAAATAAGGAATCTCTAAAGTAGGTACGTAGGATAGTATACTATTACCTAGCGGAAAAGCTAAAGCTTATATTCCTTAACCTACGATACTTTAAGAACGAGAAAGTAGTATTAAAGTAGGAAGAGATATTAAGAGCTATATCGGAGATTAACGTTATTTAAATAATCGAACGTAAATATAGCTACGAATTATACGAAACGGGGATCTTAGGTTATAGTTAAACTAAGGGTCTTATCGACGACGAAGGTATTTATTATTATAAGGATATTATTAAAACGAACCTAATCGAAGTTAACGTAATTAAGCGAGCTAGAGGTCCTAACGGCGAATATATCGAAAGAGAAGTATCCGATTAAGAGGATATAGAAGTCCTATCGTTATAGCCTAAGCGTAAACCGATTAAAGCCGGTAAGAGCGCTACTTCGAATATAAACGATTAAATTAAGAAAGCGAAGACTATTAACGAGCTATTAAGAGAGTTTTAGCTAGATAAAATTAATAAGAATAATAGGAAACGCTTCGAAGTTTCGTAGGACGATTTAATTAAGTTTATACCCGGGTTTTCGGAATAAGTAATTAAGTACCTTACGATACGCGTTATAGAAATTAACGAAGGTTAGCCTAAGGTTATTAAGATTATAAAGGAATAAGTATAAAAGGATCGGGAAGAAAGCGTTAAGATACCTAGCGTACCGTAAACTACCGCTCCGTTTATTAATCTTTCGAGTAAAATAACGGTAAATTCCGTTATCGCGAAGGATATTAAAAACTATATCCGGCTTTTCCCTAAGTTAATAATTAACGTAAGACCTAACGGGAACGAAGCTCTCGTATCTACGGTAATCGATATAAGGACGTAGTTTAATATAATCGTAGAAAGCTATATAAAGAAGTAGCGTTTCCTTATAACCGGTACTAAGGCGATATAGCGAGGTTT